GCCACGCCGACGTTTAATTGGTGAGTTTCAGAACAGTAATCTCTGTTCTTCTTAAATACCTGACTGTTCCACAGTCGTCTCTCTTCTCTCATAGGGAGCTTAACCATCGAAGGCGGCGACGGCAGCAAAACGTCACTTTTAAAATGAATTCGCGTGTTTTTACAGTTTTTCATGTTTATTCCAATTCGCTGAAAATGTCGAATGTGGGCGAATTTCTCTGGAGTTGATTACTTGGGGACTGCACTCAAGTTTAAAAAGAGAAAGTAAAAATTTGTCATCCCTTGTTTACGTCCTCCATTCAACTTGCGATCAGGCGTTTTCACGTCGTAGTTGTGCAGTGACGGCAACGAACTGTACAAAAAAGCGTGATGCACTTGCAGAGTTGTTGTTTTGCTCATCACACCTACCTCTGAGATCGAGAGAGACAAGAGGTGGCTGGGAACGAGTCAGCTTTGATAGGATAAACGCAGAGACCTAAAAACTGCAACGAGAGGGGTGGGGGAGGAGGCTAAGCTTTAAAAATGTGTCCCATTAAACTGGAAGTCTTGACTCGCCATAGTCGTTAGCTTTCCCTGCTTTACTTATCAAAGTTGTGAACTGCAAAGGAAGGACGGAAGACGAGGTTCTGACTAGTATATGATTCCTTGCGAGTCAACACTCCAACAAATGAATTTGCGTTATCATATAATGGAAGTAGGAATAGGATCGCACCTGCCTCTATGATAAAATTTAGGCTATGTATTCTCATACACGACAAAATTACTTTGGTGCAATACAAAAATTAACCTAGGAGATCCTTATTTAAAAGTTAAACAATAAATTGAATCTTCTTTTTTAGTCCCAGCAGAGTGCTAGTGGGTGTGTCAGTCAGTATATCATTTTGGAGGAGGAGTGCGGATGTACGCTACGCAACCTTGCTTTGTCCAGTACGAGAAACCAAGTGAAGATAAACTTGAAACTACGATATACCTTCTTTATAATGTTCAATTAAGGCCCATGTTTAAACCGACTAGATTTCACACCGCTCAAGCTTGCTGTCGCCGTCCAGCATCACTGAATAAGAAGGGTTCCACTTCAATCTATAGGGATTAAATTCCGACAATTTGTTCATCTTCTCAACTTTTTTGCTATATTTAACTTTCTAAACCGGCCATTTGCTTCTAAACAGCAATGAGGTTGAACCTGGGCCTAAGTACTGAAGAGGTAGTACTTTTTTTCTTGGCTGATGAATCGACAACGGTTTAAGGCGGTCCATACTAAATGATCAAACTCTTTCAAAACCAAAATGGGGTTACCATACACTGAATAAAACTTCTTTAGCAGTACTTCATCATACTACCACCGTCTCGTTTTTTTTTTTTAAATAAGATTTTACGAACTGAGGACAGTAGATATTTATGAATTATAGATTAAGGTTTGTTATTCTTAAGGCTGACGCTATTAAGAGCCAAAAGGTTGCAAAAAAAGGGTTGCAAAAAAGCCGCACTTTATTACTTTTCATTATCAGTTTTGTGCAAGTTGAACGTTGCCGAATATACAGAAAATGTGGAAGCCATTATGTAAAGAAAGAAAGCTTCTATTTTACAAATCAGGGACTTTTGGGGTGTAGTTGCAATGTCGAATTTATCAATTGCTGCGAAAATAAGAAGGTAACTTGGAACCTCTGAATTCTTCCTAATTAACGCCACAAACGCTGATTTATTTTATCATGTAACATAAGCAGCAATAACCTTCTAATGCATGAAGATTTTCAGAGGTTCCGAGGAAAATTTTGCCTGATCTTAATTTGTCTGCTAAAAAAAATCAAAAAGCTATAGCGAACTACCTGCTGAGTGAAAGGTAGGGAATTATAGCTTTCAATCCTTTACATACATTCAACGAATGATCTAATATCTGTTGGGAACGAAACACGCTTTGATTTCATTGCTCTCCAGAACACTTTAAGACAGCGACAGATTTCAAGTCGCGCTATACTAGAATCAGCCTCGCCGTATTTCCTGAGCCTAACTAAGAGATACATTTTTATTTAGCTTTTAATAATTTTTTTCTTATTTATATACAGTAGCAGGCCTTAAAAACCCCAGCACTCGTTGGGAGGGGGGCGGGGGACATGGTCCCTGTGTTTTTCCAAAATTGGCTTTCGGGGTTTACTTGTCCGGCTGTGGTGTAATTGTATAAAAATTTTTAGGATACATTTATTTTAGCCGGCGAAAGTAGCCGTTTCTCCTCTGTTTTCGCAGGCTACATTTATTTAAACATTTCCTATCAATAAAGTATGTGTTTGTTGAAAAAGTGCGTGTTTGTTTCTCGGTTGTTCTTATACCGTAGACTTCCACCGTTAAAAGCTCTTCCCATCCCACCCCCACTTATAAGTCCCCCAGTTATAGGCACATCTACCTGTAAACAAAAAATACCACCAGATATAACCCCCAACCCCTCCCTAGCTTGTATCGGTAATAAATTCGATTTTTTACGATGTTTTGAAGCGTAAAAAGTGTAAATACAAAGAGCATTTTGATCGGCACTTTTTTGTTTGAGTAAACTATAAGTACATCAGCGAGAGGTTTGCTTTTGACCCTGGCTAAATCTGTTTATTAAAACTGAATCATTGGATAATGCAATTCTAGAGCTCTGATTGGCTTAGCAATCATGGTATATGAGCCATTATACCATGCTCTCCAAATACGGCAACTGTGCGCGTCTCTTCAAAATTAAAAGCAAGCTGAAGATCGATTGTTTTTTCAAATAGAGTCGGGAAGAATTCTCGATATTTCTTGGGCGTTTTTAATAAAACAATTATTCCACTCTCGCTCGTTGGATATGAGATGATTATAGCCAACTCAGCGCTACGCGCCTTGTTACCATCACATATCCAACGCGCACTCGTGGAATAATTGTTAAATACATTATACTAAAAATTGTGGTACTTTTAAACCAATAAGATTACAAGTTGACTTTGTCTAAAGCAGGCCAATCGCATCGAACGGTTTTTGTTCTGGAGTAAAATAAATTTTAAATCTAACATCAAAGCATGGACTGAGGCAAAAATCGGCGCTGCAATCTACTAGACATTCGATGGAACTTTTGCGTAAAAGTCTTTGAAACGAAAAAAATGGCTTTATTTGGGTCAGCAACATTGGATATGATCTTGTTTTACATCTTCATGAATTCTTTGTTACCAGCATTTAGCAAAGAATATCTTGATGGCACGAAAAGTTTAAAGCGACATGCAGGAAATGGTTTGGCTTTTGCTAACTTTGCTGTTCACAAATTTCGCCACTTAAACATCACCCCCTTGGTCTCTGCTTCCGTGAAAAATATTAAAGACTGCGGTAGACTTTGTGTCGATCATTCATCGTGTTTTTCCGTCAATTTTGCAGCGTTCTTTCACGAGGAAGGACTAATTTTATGTGAGCTTCTACCAAGCGATAAATACAACAACTCAGACAAGTTTCTTGACAGCGTTGTGTTCCATCATTTAAGCATAAAGGTAAGCTTAAAACGGCAAAAATAAAAAAACAAAAGACAAAAAACAACTCATGACAAAGTTACGTAAATTTTATTCATTACAGATTCCGTATCAATTTAATATCCGCTGTCAGGTTCAGTATCTTTTTTCATTATTTTGAAAAGTTGACAAAAAAAATGCGAGTTATATATAGATTATCCTTTCAATATAACTCGAAATGATTGTATAGCATAAGCTTGGAATACTTTCACGGGTTTATAACCAAACAATTCAACGACCTGCTCCCAGTTGGCTTATTAGCTCAATTGATACGAGCGCTGCACCAGTATCACAGAGGTCAAGAGTTCGAATCCCAGTACAAGCCTGAACTTTTTTCAGGCTTTCTTTTCGCAACCGCAAAAGTTGCGTCTATAACTGCGATGATCCTCTTTCATGTAATTGATTTTTTTTTATTATCATAACTTTGGAGCTAGTTATTTAGAGGTAGTTATTATTCAATGTATTTTGGATTACGCAATCCAGTAAATTCAAATTACTCTTACTTAATAGTCAATGAATGGTCACGCTCTCCGTAAAGGAATCTGATTCAAGCAGATTTAAGGGTAAATATGCCTGGAAAAATCTTTTTGCTATGTTTTACACATTCAGTTTGGTTTGATATTCAGAGCTAAGATATCCATGTTCTGGTAAATCAAAAGGAGGGGCCAATTTCCTTTTGAAGTTAAAACTTTTGCCCCTTTTTGTTGAAACTAATTAGGCGGTGTCCCAGTTAGAAATTTTTGGCATTATCAAAACATGACTGCTTCCAACTGACAAAGTCAATTTACTGCTTAGTTTCCAGTTAAATAATTCTATTCATGCCCGTGAGACGTTATTAATATTTCAAAACTGCTTTTACAATCGGGAGTATATGTTTTCTTAATTTTGGGAAAGCACATCTGTTAGGTCAAATTTAGTTCTCAGGTGCCGGTTGTTCAGAGGGTAAATAACACTATCCACAAGAGATAAATAACTATCCAAGGGGAAAGTATTAGGAAAACCAATCATACTATCCAGTGGTTTTTCCGATGGATAGCGCTGGCCCTTGGTCTTAACATTCAAGAGGCAGAATAAATCCTTTTGTTTTCTCTATATAAATTGTTATCCGTTGCGAAAAACTGTAAGAAAAGATGGCGGCCGAGTCATTGATAACAGATCTCATTCCGACATGAGAACCTGCCAAAAGGCCTTTTCTTTAATTTTTGCCCAAGCGATTCTTTTTTTTTTTTATTATTCTTTTCTTCTTTTTAACCACGGTTATGGTGATCCAGCAAATTTCTATCTTTCAAAAGATGTGTGGTGGGAAACTCTCGAGGAAAAAAGTAGGGACATTCGAAAAATAGTTATTTATTTATAATTTACTGTAAAACAGACTCCATGCTCCAGTGACCCTTGCATGAACAGTGGGACTTGTATTGCAAAGTACGAAGATGATGAATATCACTGCGCATGTGCTGAGGGATTCCTCGGAAAATATTGTGAAGAAAAAGGTATTTTAACTTCTGTTTCTAAATGTTGCTTGTAAGTCTGGCCTCAGACTTTCTTGTCAGCATCGAAAATCACAATAGCGAAGGAAAGGAGAGGAAAATAAATAAAGGAAGGAGAAGAACAGAAAAGGCAATAGGCCACTTCCTTAAAAACTCCCGGAGGGGGGGGGGGCAGTCCGTTTTCTACGGGGAGGCTCCGCCCCGAGGTCCAGCCCCTTACCCTTTATATATCATCTTTGACAGAAAAGGTGCTCCTTTCGTATTCCGTTCACTGACAAATGATACCCCTTTCAGATACCTAGTTCTTTTAATGCGCTGTTTTTAAAATGTGAATAAATCACAAAACCAGAAAGTTTTCTCGACTTTTTCACCGTCATAAAATACATGTTGTAATCCTTCTGGGCCTTTTTACAGACCGATTTGACAGATTTCCCTTCCCTTTCATATACTCCCAGACTAGTGAAATCCCTCACCCTTTAATACCTGAAGCTTGAAAAAGGTACCGAGTACTCCTCCGTTAAAATGACTATGACTAACATATCATCATATTATCATAACCTCAAACTGGGTCCCTTTGGTATGTTGGAGGTGGGGGAACCCTGTGATGGAATTGCATCCAGTTGGGAAAGTTGAATTTCGGTCACGAGTGGACCAGAGGGCCAGACTGCCTCTCTACCTTTATATCTTACCCACAAATACTCTACAAGTGTGAAATTATGCAATCAGGCTGTAAGGTTGTGAAGGTCCCTACACTGACCACAATTAAAAGTAAAGCGAGGGCGGGATGAATGAGAAGTAAGATAGATATTCAAGTCATTGGAGTATGAAACCTTATAGGGACCTTGAGATACAACGGCGGCGAGTTAGCGACGGCAACGAAAACTTCAAAACAGCAATAGGGTTAATTAGCAAAACAACCACGTTGCACGTGCAGCACACTTTTTGTGTACATTTCTTTATCCTGCCGTCACCTGCACGACCTAAGACGTGAAAGTTTTGTGGAGGATGGAAACAAGCAACAACAAAATTTTCTTTCTCTTACTCTCTCTTGACTCCAGAAGAGTTCGCCTACATTTGACAAAGAAAGTTAATTGGAATAACAACGATGACGAATTCACCTTTAAGCTATCGCCGTTCAGGGAACTTAAGGTCCCTAAAACCCTATATCAAAACACTCTCGATGAGGAAAAGTTTTGAAACCTTTTCTCATTCTGATTTTCCATATAAACTTGAAGTCACGTGAAAATGTTTAAAATTCAGTCAGGTTTGACTGTCAGGATTGGAAGAAGCAAGGTGATTTTTCCGAAGACGGTATGTATTGGTTAGACCCTGATGGAGGAAGCCATTCAAACGCGTTCCTGGCTTACTGTGACATGACGTCATACAATGGAGGATGGACCATGTGTTACACAACTGATGAATTCACCAAACCCAAGACTGAAATCACCTACAATCCTGAGCTTCCTTATGGAACGGATGGGTACAGAACGAACTGCAACCAAATTAAAGTAAGTGGATTTAGTGAATCTATAAAGAATTCATTCTCAAGTTGGTGAAATAAGAAGGTTTTTTATTGTTAGAGTAATGACACATTGGGCGTTACATTGTTAATGCTGCACCTCTAAACAATATTGTAACTTTACATATCAGTTAAACAAACTGGGAAAGAATTCTTCACTCTTTACTCACCTAATTATATATCAAGTTTTTGAACAAATTGTATTCTTATCTTCGCAGTTTTTATAATTACTTATTCAATTAATTGCCCTGGGCGCTTATGAATTTTTGGACCTTGAGAGTGGGCGCTTATTAAATTTTCACCATTTTCAGCAAGTGTAGTATGCATTTTTTGCAACAAAACAATAAATGATCATAACAAAACGCGAAGATGTAACAATACAAGGTTTCTGTAAAGTACTTTGAAGAAAACGGATCCGTCTTGGTGGAAGTCTCTTATTAGCACTTATTATTTCATTTTTTGTGTGTGTCGGAGGGGGAAGGGGGTAGGGTGGGGGTAGGGGTGGGCACTTATTGAGTTTGCGTTGGAAGGGGAGGGCTGTGAAGTGAGGCTGGGCCCTTATTTAGCAATTTTAAAATGAATGAGGCTGAGTAGGATATGAAGAATTAAGCAGATCGAGGAGGGTGTTATCCACCGAGGCTGACGGCCGAGATGGATAACTCCCTCCGAGATCTGCTTAATTCTTCATATGCTACGAGAGCCAAATTCGTTAATTGCTTTATTTAAAATAATTCCTAGATTAAAAGCACAGCTAAAACATGCTTACCTGCATCGATGTTCAGTTCATATTCGATAGTGTACGTTTAGGTTTGTCCAGCCCCACAAATATTCTCCAAATAGCTGATGTCGCCCTCCGAATTGTCTTCTTGCTGTTTTTGCTATGTTTTTAGCCATTATTTCGCCTAGTTCCAGCTGTAGTTTTTACTCTTGAAACAAGTGAAGTGTCCGCCATTTTAGTTTTCACAAAGAAAACAACTCAACCTCAGCTCCCCAGGTCTTCTCGGTTAACGGTGCATTAACCTGTAGAGGGCTGCATTTTTGACGTCATTTCCTCGTTAAACACAACTGGTAACTGGTTATGGTGAATTATGCGAGTGCTTCTAGCCAATCAGAATTGGGGACATATTTTGAACGAATAATAATAACTTTTTCTGCCTTTAAGATGGGGGCTTATTCGAGGTGGGCGCTAATTCGAGGTTGGGCGCTTATTCGAATAAATACGGTACTTTGTTTTACGTTATTAGAGTATTCTATTGATTGTATTGTATCGTTGTTTAGTCCATCTAATTCTTGGTTTGCAAATACGTAACAAGGCGGCTATGTTGGGGGTCAATACAATTGAATTTTTTCTCGAAGAATTTACAGTACATGAAGATAGAGTTTAATTCCCAGAGGAGAGAAATGCTTTGTTCTTGACTATTGTCATGGCCGCCGTGATCTCACGTGTAAACCAGCAATAGATGAACCTTGTATTGTAAAGATGTCCTTCCTCCCCCGCCGCAATTAGTTTATAAGCTATTCGTCGGTGGGAAAATAATGTTATTAGTTATATGTTGAACCTCAATAAAATTTGTTGTTGTTGTTTGTTGTTGTGGTGGTGCAACTGTCAAAACAATCTGTATTCGTGGCCGATTTCCCGAAATCATTGTGCTAAAGAAACCGTGCTGCACCTGTCAGGAGCGCATAACTGATCTATTACTAAATACTCCTACACTTAGGCTCAAGCGCGGTACCGTTTTTTTTTTTTATCACAATTAATTCAAATGACCGGAAATCAGCCAGGAGTAAAGTTTGTTATTCATTGTTATGACAGTTGTACCATAACCTGCACAAGTAGCCTGTTCCAAGCGTTCTTATCGTGGGAACGGGGCAGACGGCGCAAAGAGATGTGTCGGCAGAAAAAAAACTGCGAGGTGGTGTAGAAGCAGCCTTCTCTCCTCGTTCCTCCCCGCTAAGGACTTTTCGCCAGGACTGAGACAGCTGTTTTATGTGGCTAGATATCATTTAGGTAAAGTTAAACTCGAGCGAGTTGGCCAGCGGTCTTCTCCCACTTCAGTATGTGACCTACGGGGCGGCCCGCGGTGAATTGCAGGGCTCATTGTGTGCCCTTTTGCTAGTGTTGCTTTACATTGTAGCTTGCTGATCGTAGCGGATCAATTTTTGCCTTCTTGCGAATCATTGCGGATTCTTGCTCCCTCTCCTCCCTCTCTGCCTGGTGGTTTGGTAAATCATCAGTTTTCTCAGGTAAGTATTCTCTTAGGTAAGTATCTCCACTGAATTTATTCAGTGTGACGATGCCGGTTAGTGGCCGCTCTTGGGGTGGTTCCCGCTTCCAGGGTTGCCATGGATATACCTCCTCTCTGCTTATTGCATTTGGCCCCCCACTAACCTTCAAGGCACCTGCTCCCAAGCTCATTATTAGCGATGAGTTTAACGCAGGCTTGAGTTGCACCACTGCTGGCGCGCGTAAAGAGTTCTTTCTCAGTTTTTTAAATTGATATTTAATCTTCCAATTTTGTTTAAGAGCAGCATGCAAAGCATTCCATTTTGTGGTGAACCTTCAAAAATTTGGATTGTTATCTTGAAGTTAGAATATCCCTATCTCCCGGGAGGGATACTCCTGGAAATTCTTGGCTTGGGTGTGCCGCCCGGTTCTTAAAATCCTGACCCTATTTCACACCAAAAAATGTCTTTTTCAGTCCTGGCGTCTAAAATCCATACCCGTTTTCAGACCTGGAGGTGGTCACAAAACGCAACATAACATTTTTAGATAAAACAGAAATTATGTCGTCATTGCTGAGATTAAAACAGCAACAAAAAGATTTCTTAAAATCCATTTCGAATTCGTGTATTACACTTTCTTTCTCATTCATGTGGAATTGAAACGACGAACACATTGATACACAACCGTAGTTCCTTCGTAAAGTTATTTGAGTTAGTTCATTGAAATATTTTTGTTTTCTAACTTGCATGCTAGAGAGAGATCTTTACGTTTCAACTGAAACTGCATGCGTTTTGCCTTTCTGCCGGACAAAATCGATCTAAGCGCGTCGATTGAGTTAGATTGGTTCGATGCAGTTCGGTAATCCGGAGAACTCACCGAAAAGTTTCAGTTCGATTATGTTCGATCACCGACTTAATCGAACAAAGATCCGACTGATAGTGCCCAAAAGAGAACCAAAACAACCATTTTTGAATAAACTTAACATTCCTTATCACTCATTCAAAATATTTTCCCGATTCTGATTGGCTAAAAGCACACGCATAATTCACCATAACCAGCTACTGATGACCAAATTTGGAAGAATTTTGCGATTAATCAACCGATGACGTCACACCGTTAACCGAGAAGACCTGGGGACGAGGTTGAGTTGTTTTGGTTATGAAAACAAAAATGGCGGACATTTCATTCGTTTCAATTGTAAGAAGTAGGCTAAAAAATAGCCAAAAACATGGCAAGAGCAAGAAGACAACTCGAACGGCGACATCTGCTATTTGGAGAATATTTGCGGAGTTGTACAACCCTAAACGTGCACTATGAGTCTGTCGAAGATTAACTTAACATCGATGGTGGTGCGCATGTTTTAGCTATGTTTTTAAACAAGGAATTGTTTTGAATGAATAATAAAACAATTATTGAATTGGGCGTTTGTATCATATGAAGAATTATGGAGATCTCGAAAGGGTGTTATCCGCCTCGGCCTACGGCCTCGATGGATACACCCACCTCGATCTCCATAATTCTTCATAAGATACTCAGCCTCATTCATTAATTGTTAATTAATCATTTCTGTTTTTTTTCCCCAAGTTTACTGAAATTATCTTTATTGATCACCAAACTGGGAATAAGTCCTACTTCACAAAAGCAGGCGTTGGAAAGATAAAGGCCGATGGTAACTATGGCAACAAAGCTGATACCTATGGATTATGGCACGGCTTCGGATCAATGAATGATGATTACGAGTATCAACTGTTGATTTGTGATGATGAATTTTACTCTGGTTTCCTCGTGTCTGGTCACCGCAAAATAATAGTATCTGAACCAGGTTGTTACAAGGAATGCAGTGATTGGTGTGGTGATTTCAATTCGCCGTACTTTCGCACAGCCGCTAATGGTTCAGGTGGTAATGGCGTCGCGTTCAACACCAACGGACACCAGTCATTAGCCAATCGACTGATCAGTGTTGGGCTGCGATAAGACGTCTCTGAGGAAAATAATGATACCACACACCACAAGAACAGCCTTTTGATGAAAAAAACCCCCAAGGGGTGAGGGGGCGGGGAATGGACGCGCTTGAAATTGGTGAGCCAAAAGACAGCATCTTTATGATACAGCATTTCTGCATCCATATGAACCGTTTTGCATCGTTTTAGTTCACAATGTCTGATTAGGTAGTAGCTTGTAAATAATTTATGCTTCGCTCTGATATATAATCAGGGACATTCTCGTGATTTAAGAATATTTGCGACTGATTTATTCACTTTTTTAGCTTAAGTAGACTGAGAAAGTGTAGCTTAGTCTGATATTTGAGAGAAATCTTCAAAGAAAGCAACTTTATTTAATTACTTTTGCACAAATACAGAATCATATAATTATACATCGTAGAAGCAGTTCAAGGTCAAAATTTGTAATCTATATATCTGTTAAAGCAAGATTTCCTGACCAAATGAATGTAAAATGACATTATATGATGGACGCCTTCTGTCTCCTAATTAGCATTCTTTCTACCCATTTATCTATAACAAAGTTCAATAATATCTGAACAAATGAAAGCTAGTTTACATAAACGAAGGTTTTCAACATAACATTGACTGATCAGTCTGAAGTCCATGTTTCCATACTATCTTCAAAATAATTTCTTACTCAGAAAGAATTCTTTATATTTTTCCGAGTATTTTTGGACATGAAGCAGGCATGTCGAATAAAAGTTTTTGTTAAAAATGTTCCATATAGAGGATTAAAACGTGGCTAAACTAAACCACATTCAAACATGCTAGGCCGCGGTGGAGTCCACAGAGAGTCGTATATAGTCTCTTTGATCATGTCATGTAGTATTCACACGGCCGAAGACTGAGCCCACTGTTGTGATTGGTTGCTTTTCACGGACATGGAATCTGGTGTGGTGGGCACTTCCACTGATGAACGAGCCAGGATCTCTCGTTCCAGTTCTTCGCACTTTTGACGCAGCTGAAAAGTAACCAATTTGTGAAGAGGAGTTAAGCTTGAAACAAAGACAACGTGGACGGGGATGGAAATGGTTTTCACGGCTACAGAAAATCCATACCTTATTGAATGGTAACCACCCCCCACCCCCTTCTGTCTCACTGTAAAAAGGTGATCTTCAGCTGTGAAAGGACTCATTTGCAAAAACAACGATTAGAAGGAAATGAAAGTATGTTTTCTCAGAGACTGCACTCTATTTATAATTATTACAAAAAAAGAAAAAAATGTCTAAACTGTTGATGAAAAGAGCCGACGAAATATACATTTGCCAATTGCAGAAAAAGGCATGAAATTTCTTCCAGTACTGGGGCATTCTTTGGGTACCTGTTCGCAAAGAAAGTGCAATTCTCGACTTCTCTGTTCCTCTGATTCCTGCAAAACCAAACAAAAACCAACAACTGCTTTCAAGATCGAACTTCTCAACAGATTCACATGCATGCACTACAGGCAGAGGTATCACATACCTGAGGTTGCATTGTAGGATTCCAGCGAATATAATAACGAGTCCACAGATCAAGTCTTCTCATACTTGCTACTGGAAATAACACCTGGTGACAACAAAAACAGATGAAAGTTTACAACGTCGATGAAGCATTCTTTCTCTCTTTAAAACTATTAATCATAATTTTCTCAGCTCAAACAAGTGCCTTACCGTTCAGACCTTTTTCATCCTATTTCGTACTTTCTTAGCTCCCCTATTGAAAATATCTCCTTGTCCCGTTCAGCCAAAACGAACGTCTATCGGGCTATGACGTTCCAAATAGTTTTGAAGGAACTATTTTCATGCCTTACAAAAGATTGTGAACACATTCTCTCAAGGTAAATTAGCTTCTCGGGCAAACTGAAGGTTCTTTTGGGATCTTGGTATGAGGCCATTGTAAACAATGGACCTAATGTTTGGCGGACGTATTGTGTATTACAGCTGAAAACAACAGTCACGGATCCATCCACGATGAAATTGACCTTAAGCAACAACGACAGCGACGGTTACGAAAACGTCACTCAAAAAGTGAATTCGCACTACTTCAAAATTTATCGCGCTTATTCCAACTCGTTCAGTTTATCAAATATCGGCAAATTTTCTGGAGTTGAATTCTAAAAGAGTGTATCGAAGTTCAGAAAAAAAAAAGAAAGTCGTTGCCGTTTGTTCACGTCCTCGACAAAACGTGAAATTAGGCACTTTCACGTTGTAGTCGTGCAGCGACGGCAAAGAAATGTACAAAAAAGCGTGATGCACGTGCAAAGTTGTTGTTTTGCCAATCCAAACCTCTTGCTTTTTTGCCGTTCTCCTTGCCGTCGCCGTCGTCGTTGCTTAAGCGCCCTATCGTTCAGAGGACTGGATACGAGAATAGACTGGGTGAGGAGAGGTGTATTATAGGATGGGGCAAGGGGAAAAAATATCCGCCCCTGCAAAACGTTTCGCTCGTCAGACTGAACACCAGTTCTTGGCACTGAGATTTCTGGAATCTTTTGGATATCCATTTTAAATTCCTGACGCTGGTTTTATATACAAAGGAATCAAGACATTCTGAAACGGAAAATGGCTTTTTTAACTTCGCCCTCGTGTCACATCGCGCACTCAATAGTCTTGTTTCCAATGTTTTCACAATCTAAAAACAAATAAACAGCAAAGGGCTACGAGTCTAGAGAGAATATTACTGATATAAGATTGGTATAAGATTTCAGGGTCCTAAACTTTTCAATTCACTAAATAACAATGTACAAAATCCTTCTACCATCCCTTTGAAAACATTTCTCCTTAGCTGATTCACTAACCTCCCACGCAGGCAGTTTTAGGGGAGCACGAGCTCCCCTAAAAACGCCCGCGTGAGAGGCTAGCGATTCACCAGTTGCAAATAATATTTGTTTCTTGCTTTTTTTTTCTGTCCCTTTTGTATGTTTTGTTTTGCTTGCATTTTATCCTAATTATATTTCAGTATTATTTCGTCGCCTATTTATTTATTATATTTATAGTCTTAGGTTGGGGGGGGGAGCTCATCTAATATGTCCCAAGGTTTCAATTTGAGTTTCCTCGCCAGAAAAACACTTCTAAATCTCTTTAATCTTTAACTATCCTTTTTGTGGTATATTGAATGTCCATATATATTTTTTTCTGGCAAATAAATAAACTGAAACTGAAAGACAAAAAACGGGCCCTCAAAAACAAACAAAGTTCATCGACAAATGACTTCTGGTTCACCCAGGAAAGCCATAATCTTTCCGGTTTTGACAGAAAACCTTTGCAGGTTGAAAAAGTAAACGTCAGCCAAATCAGGATACGTACATGTTGGTGAAGGTGTGGAGCGTAGAGAGGGTTACTGAACTCCATCGTCTGCAAAAATTCAATGAAAAATTATACACCGGTGAAAAAGATAATTCAATTTATTCAATGAAAATAACAAAAACAAATCACAGAACACGACAAAACAAATCCATTGTTGCGTTGATTGGGAAGCCTGAACTGGAAGGCTGGGACTTATGCAAGGTCCAGGCTCCCCCAAGATCAGTTTAAGTAGACATAACATTAGGGAAAAGATGACGCGATTTTACAAAATAAACTTACTGTATAAACTAGGATACAGGAAAAAAGAAGAATAATACAACTTAATTACATACTACTTACGAAAATAGGATGACATATTTACGGCGGCTAGTTACGGCGACTTAAGGCCCTAGAGAAGATCTAAGAACGGTGGCAATGAGATTTACCTTGGGACAGTCGGAGGCAGGGAGAGCGTTTTCTTTTTGTAACCGTTGTGTAGGAACTAAGTAAGCACTTGATTTGGCTATGCACTGAATCCGCTTGTAACTGGATTTATGTTTTTATAAAAAAACCGCGCCATTTCCTCAACCAATGGAGAGGGGAAGTCGTTACGTCACGTTGCCATGGTAGCAAAATTATTGGATGACAGCAAACCGATAAAGCCTCTTAAAAGTGTATTCGCACTATTTCAAACTTCACCGATCTTGTTCAATTTCATTTAGTTTGGCAAATCATGGCGAAATTTTCTTTGGGACCGTATCTGTCATCTAAGTTTAGAAAAAGAAAGCGACAATTTTTGTGTTGTGTTCATCTACTCCATAAAGCGGGCTCGTGAAATTAGGAAGTTTCATGTCGTAGTGTTGCAACGACGGCAAAAGAAAATATACAAAATGGCGTGATGCACGTGCGAAGTTGTTGTTTGTTAATATAGACATATTATTTTTTTGCCGTTCTCCTTGCCGTCGCAGTCGTCGTTGGTTTTGTTGTCATCCAGAAATAGTGCCACCATGGTAACGTGACGTCACACTTCTCCCCTCTATTAGTAGTGTATTTGAAACCAACAGTGACTTCCCTGCTTGCTTTCCCGCGCTTAGGCGGCGCCGGCTTCATGAAATTGGCGACGCGTTTTGATTGGTTGCCTGGAATATTTGCTCTGCTGTGATTGGCCAGAGTAAGTGAAGTTTGTTTCAATTTTACGGCACCTGATTAAGAAGTGCTCCTATTATGAAAGCCTTATAGATTGGTCTTACTGCAAACAAGGTAATTAAAAACCAAAACCAAAACAAACATCAAGAAGGGAACATACTCGAGTGTTGATGTAGGACCATAGAGAAACAGTCTTCACTCTTACATCCTGAAAATTTACAAAGAAGAGAAAAGAAAAAAAATGTCACTAAAAAAGTTACATGATATCACCTAGTTAACCACTAAACAGATAGCAAGCAATTACCGTAATTAAGGGTATGTTGACTCTACACCGGATAAGTTGTCCGGTATAGCATGAACACCTATCCGATATGTGATTCTCCACCCCGGCGCGGCACGGTTCAGCTTTGCTCCGTTGCAGAAATCGCGCCGAAATCATCTTCCTTGGGTGTTGACAGAAGCAGAGGGTTCGTACCCTTTTTTGGAATAAAAAATTCAAGGACTTTTCAAGGACTTTCAAGGACACCTTTCCCATTTTTCACGGATTCCTCAGTGCAAAAGAGAGCCTTGAGTCTGTCTTTTTTGGTTCTTTCACAACATGAGCAATTTTATCCGGAAGGTCTTTCTGTGTTTGCTCCCTTTATGCACTTGAGAATCTGGGTTGGATAAAGTTAGCACCGAAATTCAAGGACTTTCCAGTACCGACTGCAATTTTTAAGGACTTTCAAGGCCTTGAATTTTTATTTTAAAATTCAGGGACTTTCAAGGTGCGTCACAGGGTCCAGAGGAATTTGGTGTGAATAAATAAATGACTTAGTTAAAGTCTCGCCTTGAAAAATATCTATACCTGTCGCTTAAAACGATTAATTAGCCCAATGGGATCTTTATGAATCTACTGTAAACGATTTCTTCGCTTCTTCTCTGACCCAGATCGACTTTGATGTTCGTCATTTTGAAAATCAATAACCGCAAGCGATAGCCTCGATGTAAGCCGATCTTGCGAGCCCTCAGTCTCTTGGTTTGCGGTATATAGAATGTGTAACGAAACTGTAACGCGATCAAAACAACGCAATTTTTCAAGAGGTTTTCGACGGGTTTTGATGTTCTAATGACAAACACATCTCCTCTGGACCCTGTGGGTGCGTGGAACCCTAGAAGCCCTACAGGTGTGGTTTTCGTGCGCAAAAGCTATCCGGTAGTGTGAACACAGCCTTAAGGGGCAGCATCTCGCGGAGTTGGCACTCATACTTTATTAACGGGTAGCTTTCATAAAGAATTCAGAGGTCATTGAACGACTATCTAAATATCTTTGAGCTCATGGGAATGTTATCGTCCGCGACTATTAATACAAAATATCTTGGTGCACTATTTTTTCCCGCTATCATGCTTAACTAGTTTATGCAACCGAAACACTTACCTCTTTAACTCGTTGGACCTCAGAGTTGTATAGAAAAGTGCCGAACAGGCAACTACAAAAAGAACAAAGCAGTACACAAGTTGATCAAGATTACGAAATATAAAATACTGAAGGAAATCATTATCTCCTGAGTCACAAGAAACGTCCAAAAGCGGAAGGGAAGCGGATATATTATGCAATCGCAGGTGTTTAATTTTGCACATTACTGCAAGGCAGAAAGATTATCCTCGAACGATCTTCAGGACAGAAAAGATCCAGTCTTGCAAAGGAAGGAGTAAGGAGCCTTATGTGCGCTGTTTCCTGTGACAAAACGATCCGCCTACTTTGACGCGTTGGTCAAATTCGAACAGGCCGCGGACCTTAGGATACGAAGACGGCGACGGCGACGGCTACGAGAACATCAAAACAGCAATAGGTTTAGTTAGCAAAACAACACGTACAGCGCACTTTTTTTCCCGTGACTGCACGACTACGAGGTGAAAATTCCTAATTTTACGTTTTGTTGAGAGCGTAAACAAGCGACCACGAAATCTTCTTTCTCATTCTGAACTTGGACGTGGTCCTTAGGAATTCAACTCCAGGAAAGTTCGCCTACAATTGACAACATAACTGAATTGGTCAAGAATAATCGCGATGAAGACCAACAGAACGCAAATTCACTTTTTAAGCAAAGCTTTCGGTGCCATCGCCGTCCTCGGATCTTAAGGTCCCTAATATTTGAGAGACAGGCGATTTGAGTCAAAATACGCATGTAGAAATACCCTCCTAATAAAATTAAAGAAACAATACAATACTAGAACAATTTCAAACGGGTGGATTAGGGTTTACACCAAGAATGATGATGATGATGATGATAATAATAATAAATAAATAAATGAAATAAAGTAAAAACTGAACCCACAAATCTATCCCCTTTTACCAATGAGACCGTTCACAAAAGTCAAAAAGTTTATTTTCCTCTGTCTGCACGGTGTTTTTATTTACTTACGATAGGCCAAGCTCCATACACTGCACAACTAAAAGCGTTATTCGTTACTTTTATTGAATTATTTCACACTCCATATTTTATCATACCTAGTAAGATGATCAAGCACGGTTATCAAGAAATTCTCATTGAACTCAAACGCACAAGGAAACTGAAAGGAAAGAAAAATGAACACATAGGCTCCAAATTAGCATACATAAACAAGATGATAAAAGCTTTTCTCACAAAACAGAAGAAACTACGAAACAGTAATGAATCCTACCTGTCTGGTGACTTGCCATACACAGTCAATAAACTGCAGGAACACTGGCGAGCGCTGATCATCCGCGTGATTCTTGTCTCCATGACCGTACCGCTACAGGAATAAAAACACGGCATAGTTAATAAAATTTAAAAAACCAAATCCTGAGAATGAGAAATTTTAATTTCTCCCGGCTCAGGCCCTGTCCAAACTCATGCGTTATCAAAAATCTCCGTTTTGTGTCACTGAAAATCCATGGCTTCGCCTCCATACCGGCAGAAGTCTTCGCACTGGTTGCGACCGTTGATGAACACGAATATTTGGTGATAAATTTCTGTCCCCAAGCTATTCCCGGACGAGTGCACGATACTCTTGCCTCTTGCCAATGCTCAAACACGTCATACACGAGTGACTATGACGACAGCGTTTCAGTATAATTTGCGTTCTTTCCTAAGCACGCTAAAGCGACAGACCCACATTATTTTTGCAAAGTTTCCCCGTGTCGAGGGCGTTTTCGAAAGTTATTGTTATTGTCATGATCGATAGTGTGTAACCAAGGCCAAAACACATGCGTTTTGAAATGGCAGTTGGTGTGGACAGGGAATGGGAATTTTGGATTTTCTACAAAAACACGAAATCCAAGAATGGATTTGGATTTGAAACTGTTAAATCTACTGTATCTAGCAAGAGGATTTCGTTGTGACAGATGATGTTTACTGAAAGCCCAAATTAGGCGTGGTTTCGCAAACAAAAGCTGGCTTAGTTAGTCATCTCTTTACCTGCTGAAATTTGTGCCCAAAACTTGTCCATTCTTTTTCGATAAGCACCTTCAAAAGAAGAGAGATCCTTAAAAACACAAGACCAGATATGACAGGAGCAAAAAAAATCTATATTTGGTTGAAAATATTTTGAAAACCACTATCAAATAACTAAAACAGAGCGCTGTAGTGGTAAAGTTAGCAAGTACTATTTGATCTAACAATTTTTGTGCAACGTTCCGACCAGTGAATGTGAGTGACTAGTGAGTGCCAGAGTATTAAACTTTTCAGTAGGGAGCTTAAGCTACGTGAAACTTCCTAATTTTACCCTTTAAAGGAGCTGTGTCACGAAATTCAGCCAAATTAGGAAATAACAAAATGCCCGTTAAATTAAGATAAACATAAAAATAACCGCTTAAAACTTTAAAGGACGTGAACACAAGAGAACAGTTTTCTTTTTATCTTTGTGAACTTGGATAAAGTCATTAGAATTCAAATTGCCAACATTTCACAAATTAAAAAGAGTTGGAATAAGAGCGATGAAGTTTGAAACAGGGCGAATTCACAGTTTGCGTAACATTTTCGCTGCCGTTGTCGTTGTCTAAGCTCCCTAGTATTGACCAGATGTAGACAGTACTACATATCATCTCTCTTTGTCGGAAGACCCTTAGCTTCAATTGAAGGAGGTTAAGCCCTCTCCCGAGCCCAGGGGGGTATCCCTGGGAATTCTTGGTGGGGGTGTGCTGCCCGGTTCTCCAAATCCTGACCCTATCTCAGACCAAAAAACGTAATTTTCCAGACCCGTTTTCAGTCCAGACCTCTAAAATCCATACCCGTTTTCAGACCTGGCCTTTAGGCAGAAATTATGTTAGTATTACTTAGATTACGGCGCAAACAAAAATAATTCCTCAAATTCGTTTCGAATTCGTATATTTCTCTTTCTTTCTTACTCATTTGGAATTGAAACGATAAATACGTTCATACACTCCCGTAGTTCTCCCGAAACCATACCCGATTCCAGACCAAAATGGGCAAAGTGTATACCCGTTTTCAGACCAAAAACGGCGCAAAAACCCTACCCGATGGGGCGACACATACCCATGTAGCTTATATAAGGGAGTACCACCCACCCCACCTCCCCCGATCCGGAGCGCAAAATGACAAAACTTCTAATATTTGATAAGCAACTGATAACTTGCTTCCGTCACTAAAACCCGTAGTAGAGTGATAACGGCTACCACGTTTCCCGCCAAAATGGCGCTGGTTCACGAGCGCGCACCGCTTAATATTTTAAGGAACAACGACGGCAATGGTTACGAAAACGTCCCTTAAAAAGTGAATTCGCGCTGCCTCAAACTTTATCGCGCTTATTACATCTCGTTAAATTCGTCAAATGTTGGCAATTTTTTTTGGTAGTTGAATTGCAAAAGACTGTATCAAAGTTCAGGAAAAGAAGAAGAAAGTTGTAAATTGACTTCTTAGGTCAAAAACGTGCGGAAAACTTTGAAATGTCGTTTTCGATAAAACTTGTGCAAAACAACGTGTGCAACTGTAGCGTCAAAACGTGAAATTAGGCACTTTCACGTTGTAGTCGTACAGCGACGGCAAAGAAATGTACAAAAAGCGTGATGCACGTGCAAAGTTGTTGTTTTGCTTGTCTAAACCTATCGCTTTTTTCCCGTCCTCGTTGCCGTCGCCCTCGTAGTTGTTTAAGCTCCCTATTGAGAACACCTCTTCCTCCTTTAGAATTTGAGGGTCTCTTCTATATTTAATTCTTCCACAACAACTTGCCTGGGTGCTCAGTAAACCTAGCCGTGCACCACTAATTTTGGGTGGTCGCTTACGGCAGGTTCGTTGTATTATTCATTTTCTTTAATAGAGGATCGTACTCATCAGCAAGCTCGCTTATTCCGTTTTGCTAAAAATCACCTCAAATCCTCTGATGGTTCGGTAATAAGGGTCGAGTAAAAGCATTGCCAGTGCAGTGAGCTGAAGAGACAAAAGAAAAAATATATACATGCATAAAAAGCAAAAATAGGCGGTTATTGGTATAATAATTCACTTTTATCACGGTAAGGACACCTTATAACTCGCCGCTCCTGGTGAAAAACGAGGGAATGCGTCTCGCCCGTTTCGAAGTTATCGGGTACTCTTACCAAATTTAAAACTGTTTGTATGTCGTTTTTATCTGTTCAGTGAAAAGAAAACCGTCCCGCATTCTGCCCCTATGACACACTTGAGACTTGAGGTGGCAATTTCATACAAGTCACTGTACAAGATTGAAGCATGTATGCTTACCTGTGATGTTCTATCCCATCCATCGCTACAATGTACAACTACAGAGGTTCGACATCTGTCCACGGCATCAGCTATCTTAACCGCACCAGCGAGAATGACCTGAAAATTAGTATTGTATGTAAGAACCGCATGACTGAAATGCTCAATATATGCCGCGATAAAAAAGAACCACATGAAATTCCTTACGTGGTTGTTACGACATTTTTTAATATCACCGCTCCAAGAAGAAGAAAAGCATTTAAGCTGGGTTCGTACAGACTTTTGGATCTAAAATTCAAGACTTTTTCCAGACTTTTTTCAAAAACAATTATTTCGTTTTCCAGACTCGAGGTTATCAAATAGGTGATCAATAGAGACCTTATAAGAAAAGCAGGAACAAAGCTTTTTTTCATGATGTGCTGCAAACAAACCGGCGAGATTGAATAAGATTTGACCAAAACGAAAAAATTATTACTTGTTGTAGCTTTGAAAAAGAAACTCAAGACTTTTAACCATTTTTTCCAGACTATATCTCCATTTTCTAGGCTTTTTCCAGGTCTGGAAAATTGCAGGGCAAATTTCAAGACTTTTTCAAGAATTCAAGACTCTGTATGAACCCTACTTAAGGCATGCAAGTTATAATTTACCGCAAAAAATGTAAGACGAAACAAAAAGCAAACAAATCCTCAAAGGTTATTCTTGGTATCTCGAGGCACGATTTAATACCTTGATGTGTTCAAGCCAATGAGTTCCTTCCAGATTTGTCAGCCAGCGAACATCATCAATTGTTGGAAAGCAAATATCCTTCAGTTTACGCAGGCTAAAATATAAAGAGAAGACAAAGCCGGCGATAAAAGTAAGTATAAGATACCTGGAGATCGCCAGGAACAAATCAGTCTACTTTTATACTCTCTAAAAACCCCGCGGAAGAGATTGTCACAGAGTTGCATTCCAGTTCGAACAAAAGATGAAAATATTTCGCGGACGGCCAACGCACGGGTTACAGTACAGCAACAGGGGGCTAACAAAGTTTTGACACATCAGTTGCTAGTATTTCTCAGTGGCCGGAATTCTGGTCAATCGGCTCCCCCCCCAGCAGTAAGACGACCAATAACGTAAAGCAGAATGCTTCTGCATAAAGTCAAAAATAATTTAATAAAACAACATTGTGGCAAGCCCAAGGTACTACAAGACCATTGGCCATCACGCCTCTAGATCATACCACGCATGTCATCGGACTCACGTTTGCATAAATGCACGTGCCTTCACCTACAAGGATCTGTTGGACACTAGTTAGAGTGAATTGGTTCCGTTCACATAGCGGCGAGAGTCTTTCAAAAAGAAGATAATCTGTATCCAGTGGATCTCGCATTTTTTTCCCTAATATAACACTTACCCGCTGGTTAGTGATCTAGTACCCGATAGAAAGCGCTTCCCACTGAGACCTGTAAAGCTACTATAAAACGGGCAGCAAAAACGTGCAACTTGTTTTGCGACTTTGCAGCAAAACGAGGTGAACAGCGATGTTGCGCGTTTTATCACCCACGATCGATCCTGTCTTGCAACAAATAAGGTTGCAAGGTTTTTATTACTGGGTGGTAAAACGCGCAAAATCGCTATTCAACTCGTTTGGAGCAAAGTTGCAAAACAAGTTGCGCGTTTTTGTCGCCCGTTTTATGCTGTACCTTAATTTTAAAGTAACCTTCCGTAGACAAGCTCAGGGAAAAGCACCACATACATATTTTTATTGGTTACACCTTATAGAACCGCAGGAACGAACTGCTTCAGTGCTTTTTATTTGAATGGTTTCAGTAAACTTTCACCCACAGACACAAAAGTAAACTGATTTCAATGGCGGCCTCTGGCTACACATACCTTTCTCTCATGACGTGAATATTTGCAATGTCTAAGAAAACAAGCTCTGTGTTTTGATAATTCTCCTGCATTTCGTAGCCTCCTCCTTTTAAAGCCTAACAGTAAAAACAAAATCAAAATAATCATGTTCTACTGACTGGCTGCTCATCATGTCTGCTTTTACTAAAACATATAAGGCCTGAGCCAAACTCAAATTTGGGTCGACCTAAATTAAGTTAAGATCGTCTGTTGGGTCACACGTCGAACTTAGGATGCGTCGAACCAATCAACTGAATCAGATCAGTAATAAATTCTCCCGAACTTTAAACATTTTCCCCGCAAAATTCAATCCAGAGTAAACATTCTGTACCTTAAATTCGCTGAGTAATTTACAGTACTAGGAAATCGTGTCTGTTCAATTGCAACTTGCCTCTTTCATCCATACGATAAATTACTAGTTTTACATAGGGTATGCGTACCGTAGTATTGTTTGAAAATATGTATTTCTATTGCACGTACTTAACAAAAACCGAAAGATTATCAATACTGAGTACTGGGTGCTTTCTGAAAATCGCAAAAATTAATTCCCTGCAAGAAAAACTGTCCTAATCGCAAAAATTAGTTCCCGCAAAGGACAAAAAATCGCCAATCCGCAAAAATAAACTCCCGCAAAAATTTTGTGCCATACGGTATACATTATCACACAAATTTTTCATTTAATAGTTTAGTTCGTCGCATGTGAAGATCGACGTTGGTCCCGCAGACGATCTTCACACGTTCTATCCGTCTGCTTCAGACGGATAGAACGTGTTGAACGACCCAACCACATTCGGACGAACTTTTAAGTTAAAACTAATCCAGTCGTTGAACTTTTCATGAACTTAACACTACATTTGTTTCGTCTCATGAAAAGTTCGACGGTTGGCCGGGTCAAAATGTTGTCAAAATAAAAATAAAAATTTCCCAACTTTTTAGACCTCCTTTTGACCTGCCTTCTTGAGTCAACTCTCTCGCAATGGAAATCGGCCTAAAACGGACATCTGGAGTTGGCACCTACCTTTCTAGAGTCCTTTTGTTTTTACTCTCTATGAGAGGGACATCTCTCCGGGACGAACTTAGTGCCGGCCGGTCCCATAGGGACCTGGTTTGTCCGGCTGGCTCGCTTTGCCGAAAATTCGGCTAGTTAACTGGCTACTTCCGGGTTCCAAAAACTCTCCCTTTTAAAACGAGGCTAAGTACAAAAACTTTCTTGTGAAAATGCGTTTTACTTGCATGAGAATATAAAATCGCTTTCATATCAATGGCTTCTTGGTTTTTGCAACCACGTGACAAGCCGGCCATGTTGAAAGTCAATACAATAGAATTTTTTCTCGAAGAATTTACATGAAAATAGAGTTTAGTTCCCAGAGGAGAGAAATGCTTTTGTTCTTGTCCACCAACAGGGCCGCCATGACGTCACGTGTAAACCAGCAATTTTAACGGAACAAAGACCAACTACGTAAGTACATAAAAAACGAGCAAGCCCACTTAGTGCCTTTAGGGCCGGAAATTTCCAGAGTAATCGCGCTCATCGGGCGGAACCATCAAGAGGACAGCGAATAACACGGCTCATACGCACTGCTTTCAATCTATCTATCTACATGGCGACTCCGGGCTGGCGCGCTTCAAGTTATACCAAGATGAAAGACATCTCGGCAAAGTGAGTCAACCCAGCTCAATGTACTCAGTCCCACCCATCACTTCTTAACCAGCACATGGTCATCTACAACACGCAAGATCAACAGATTTTATTGCCAAAAGTTAATTTTTTTTACCTGATTTGCCAGAGCATTAATTTTAGGTCTCGCATCCATGATCAACAACTTATGACCTCTTGCATTGGCATCCAAAATGGCCTACAAAGATGGACAACATAAACAGTAAGGGCCACTTGAGACAATAACTGTACAACAAAAAGAACTTCGTCAGGAGCCCATAATCAGAAACAAGCAACTTCCACGTACTCTTGCCACAGCGTTTTCACCGACCAGTCTATTTTTAGAGCGATTTTGGCGCGAATTTAGATATCCTCAAGTCCTACAAAACAATTAGCAAAACCCACAAACTTGAAAATGATATTTTCGACCTTGTATTGACCTTCAGCTTTCCTTAATACTTGATATTTGGAATGCTGTCATAGACGGAGCGGAGCTTCCATTTTCGCAATTAGCAAAACCCACAAACTAGAAAATGATATTTTCGACCTTGTATTGACCTTCAGACAGAGCGGAGCTTCCATTTTCGCAATTAGCAAAACCCACAAACTAGAAAATGATATTTTCGACCTTGTATTGACCTTCAGCTTTCCTTAATACTTGATATTTGGAATGCTGTCATAGACAGAGCGGAGCTTCCATTTTCGCAGGACAAGTGGTTCGTGAAAGCGCTGTAACATGAGAGAGAGAGTTGTTCACTCCGGGTTATTCTTTACTATAGGTGAGATCCGCCTCAATGCACGTGTCTCAAAGCGCCTTCGATTATCTCCACAAGTTAGGCCGATCAAAGAAGCTGACGTTTGGAGCGCCAGCCCTTCGTCTGAGAGATTTACTCTTCGCTTATTCTACGATGGATAACTTAGAGGAAGACGAAATGTCGCTTATGAGAAAACAACAAAGTTTGTTCAAGTGACTCCGAAGTTTTCTCGGCCTACCGTATGTCGCTCGAAACCAGACTGTTATGTCCCCAGAAATTTTACCAGGTTTAATACGCAAAGAAATAGAGTTAGATAAAGCATCAAGCATGTGTCAGTAATATATCTCATTCTTTGAGCCACATTGACAATAAGATGAAACAAGCGGGATAAATGTGTAATATAACTCGTACTTTAAGCCTTGATGAGACGAAAGAAGCGCGATAAATGTGAAACAGGGATGTTAGGATGTCGTTGAGCATGATAAAATTTCCGGCGACATAACTTCGAGTAAGATGACTTTCGGGTGACTTGACCGAAAACCGTTCATTTTACATTATATGATAACATTCGAAAACTATAATTTTGATAAAACACAAAACTGCCGACAGATCGCTTTAGAATGGTCGCTCTTGGTTCGCGACGAAACCGTCCGTGTAAATTGACCATACTTAAGGGTAAACTATCCTAAGACCGATAAAGATTTAAAACTGTTGGCAATAAGGTTAAAACAGCAGACCTGGAAATATCGTTCATCATCCTTATTTCTAGTTTTTCCTACAAGTCCAGCATTGGGCTGACTGGCACGAGTGATAGAGGCTGAGTTCTTTGGGTGAAGCCATGAGAGAACCTAGAAAGTGATAAAAAAAGAAAACAACGTGTGAGGTGCCACGCGACCCAGCTTCTATTAAACTTTATTCTGTAGCAAGGAAAGGCACAGTGTCCCCAACATTTATCACTACTTGAAAACCAATGACAGCGCTTGCTTCACTGAAAATTCCCTTGGAGTTGCCTGGACTTGTTTGAAGCTCTTAGGCAGCGTTCATACTTTGTGTCCGGCAACAGTGCCCGAGTTCGGTACTCGCTTGACATTAATGTGAACACACCCTTTTTTCAAAGACCCAAGCCAGAATTCGGGCGCGGTGCCCAAGTACAAGGTCGAGTCCTTCTACTCAGGCACAGAAGTGGGCAGCAGGTCCCTGTGGGTACACCGTTTTTTTTTTCAGGTATTCAAGGTGTGAACATAACGACATTTTGTGCCGGTACCTAGGCACTGGTTCCCGGGCACTAAGTGTGAACATCCCCTTAACCTATCACATGAACACGGTTTTAGAGTTGGCAGTTTAGCAACTCAGACCTGACGAACTTTTAGTGACCGTCTGCCAATCGGCCTGAGTGATCATATACATAAATTGATGTACCTCGATTCTTACGGCTTTATGCCCTCGTTTTCAGCGCTTACAGTGTGTACTCAGTGTTATTACAGGAATTAAAGGAAGATAATGGATGCTGGTCAATTAAGGTTAGTAGGGTTAACACTTCTACTCCCAGAAGAGGCGAAAGTCAAAGCTCGACAAAATTTTCAAACTTCAATTTGTAAAATTAATATGGAAAAAAAAGGAAACAAAAAAGTGGAAACAATGCTCAAGAAATTTCATTTGGAAGACAACACCATAGGATTTCATACACAGACTTAAAAGTTAGAACTACAAACTAAATAAATAGTACCAAGTGAAAGCACTGCTGAAGAGGTTTCATTTGAATGGCAACACCATAGGATTTTATACACAGACTCAAAAATTAGAACTACATACTAAATAAATAGTACCAAGTGAAAGTACTGCTGAAGAGGTTTCATTTGAATGGAAACATCACAGGATTTCATCCACAGACGCTAAAGTTAGAACCATCTCACACGACTCCATTCACTCTGGGAGTGAACGGCTTTTTAAAGGGTTTATATTTCTCAGTTTAAACCGGACTTCTAATTTAAGAACGAGAAACTCGGGAGCTTAAGCAACTACAACAAGAACGGCGACGAGAACTGCAGAAAAGCAATTTAAATAAGAGCGATAAACTTTGAAATAGTGCGAATATGCTCTTTAAGAGACGTTTTCGCCACCGCCTTCACCCTCGTTGCTTAAGCTCCTTCTTATTAGCATTTAACACGCCAATAAGTCCAGCTTGAGCTGCAAAAGATAAACATAACTCACTGGAATTCTTTCTCTGCTGCGGAACACTGCTACTTTTCTCAAATCCTCATCTGTAACAGATGCCGGCACTACAAGCTACATGTAAAACACAAACGTAATACCGAAATTTCAAACAGAAAAAACATGTACAGTATGGATACACTGTATAACGGTACATAGACATTATTTCCTCTAATAGGAGACTTTCAAAAAAAACCAGTAAACCGGGTTTATTCTAGGACCTTAAATAAACCAATCTGGAGAGACGTTTAGGTGAGTGGATTCACTGGTTTCGTGCAGACAGAAGGTCGATTCGTGTAAAAAAAAAAAAAATGCAGTCTATTACCAGGCTATGCAGTTGGGGGAAAAGGCAGAAAAAATCATCCAGCGATAGTTTGGGGAGCGAAAAGCCGCCCTTTCCTTCTCCTCAGTCTACGCTCGGTCCTCCAATTTTTTTCTATGCCGTATGACTCCGTTTTTTGCATTTTCCCTTCACCTCAGGGCCTGGTCTCAGCCTCCTATGGACTGGACTCACAGCTGTACACATAAGAGCTCAAAACAGTATGAAAAAGAATGGAGAAACATACCAGAGCAGGATATGTTTCACAGAAGTCAAATTTCTCGTTGATTCTTGTGATCTGCCAACACTCATTGGGAACATTCTGGGAAAAAAAATATCTACATATATCTACATATATGTTCCTTAATACAACACTGACAGACATTATACATGTAAGAGAAAAAACATTTACATTTAATTTGCTAAGAAAGAATTTGTGCAGCTCAAGCAACCCACTATAATATAAATATTGTTATAACATTTGAAAATTTTACTGTTCAGTTTTTTTGAAACACCTTTCTTGGTTTATCAGGAACATGTATACGTTTATAGTCTAAAACACAAACGAACAAAAAGTTTGCGTTGGACAGTGTTTTGCTGTGCTCACACAAAAGATGAAATTTTGCTTAAAAAACAGTTTTAATCATTATCTCTTCAAGGCAACAAAGTTATTATATTTATTATTTGTGTGTAGCTCTACTTGTTGAGCTACACACCTTTTCTTTTTTCTTTTTTCTCTTTTCTTTTCTTAATTTTTGGAAAATCGATCCAAATTCTCTTTCAGTACCCTTACATGTAACTTACACGATTTATCCTATAGTTCCTGGAAGCCTGTAGTTTATAAGGCCCCAGCCTCTATATAGGTTTCCTTGTCAATACCGTTTTAAACATTTAATTTTGGGAATAATTTAGTTAGAATAGTGTATATTATCTTTAATATAAATTATTAAAAATTTCTGTATATTGTTGTTGTATTTGTATGTGGTAAATGGCAAAAATAAATGAATGAAATGAAAAAAAAAAGAGAGGACGCGATGTCCAGGTTGATATTTCACTATTGTAACTGGGGTTGTCTTCTTCACTGTTGCAGTTTCAAACTACACTGTAACTTTAAATTTGTGATGTTACCATTTTATCTGCCTTATGACACTGTTTTTAGGCCACAACAGTTGTCACAGTTTACCCATATTTATCGCATATTTTCTGTTACCAGTCATCTTTTATACACTGTACATGTACACTATACCTGTCTTTGAAATTCCTTTTCTGGATCATAGATGTCCCAACCATTGACTTCAAATCTCTCTTTGTAAGTGTAAGCAAAGAAAGGCTGGAAAACACAATTGAGAATACCCACTGTCATGTAGTTTCTACCTTGGTTTCTTTGTACACCACACCTGTACAAAGTTATCAGTTTAAAGTCAAGATAGGTCAAGCATACTCTTTAAGATTCCACTAATGAATTTGTTATTCAGAAGTTGAAATTGTTTTATTGTTAGTTGCTGCCAAATTCAGATTCAAATCTGCATTACTACAGGCATAACGAGCAGTGAATTTTTTAACGATAACTTCTCTGTTTTTGGTCAGATTGAAATATCTTTGAGTGGACAAGACTGCTTTGGAGACATTTACAGTACATCAAATTCAAGAAAACTGAGCTGGTAGAAATTAATTCGTAACTACCTCACATGTGAATTCATTGCTTATCACACATGCAGGAATGCAGAGATGAACCTGAAATCAACAACTACGGATGGATATATTTTTCAAATAATAAATTCATTAATGAATTATTGAGGGGTACGTTTGACCTTGCTTGAGTGTAAATTAGAATCAGAAAAAGTTAATAAAAATATAGGCACAAATAAAGCTGGTTCTGATGTAAAAAAAGTTCAATACATGAAGCTCTACTTGGCATCTCAGTGTATCTATGTAGACAATTCATTATCAGTTATTATTGTAATATTATTGTCCAAGACATCAGGTAGAATGAAAAGCAGAATAACATTGACTAGTTTTTTATGTAAAGTAGGCATTTTCCATTTACCAAATACTTTCAGAAACTTTGATGGAAAGGCCCATTAGGTGAAGAATATAGTTCCATTAAAACAAGTTCCATTCATTCCCAGCTCTTGCTAAAATCGGAGATGGTGGCTCCCATATCACCATGTACAGCCTGAGACTGGTGAATCCTTGTGAAACTTGTAGATGGAACATGCATTTCCACCAGAATAGTTTCCAATGGGAAAACAGGGCTATACATTTTCAAACTTCCAATTGCAGCTGTAAGCCTGGGAATTTTCCAGCTGAATGTATGGAACATGTTCCATTGACATCCCAACCCAAATTTGCTTGGTAACTGGAAGGCACCCAATATTCCAACGAGCACCACATCATTTCTATCTCTACTGATGTAATATAATTATTTTTTGGCAAGCTAGGGTCATGCAATGCTTTTGCATGCCAGTTGTACTAAAGGTTGCATTAAAACCAAGTAAATGTACATGGTTTTTGTTATGATGTCATCATAACAAAAACCAAAAAAACCCTGCTTACCCTTGAATTTGTAGCAGGAAAAGCATACACCTAAACAAAACAAAAACATGATAATTAATGATACATGTAAATCAAATAATGGGCTTGCAAGCAGAAAGAGTAAGATTATTCTAAGGGAACTGACAACATCTTTGTTATTTATACAGTAAACTTCAATGCAAGATAACAAATGTTTCCACAATTGTCCTGCCTTTAGCAGTTGAAATATTATTATCCCATTTTATTTTTCATGCTTGAGAAAGCCATTATTTTATTTTTAAACTGGTGAAGCCAGAAGAGAAAAAAACCTGCCAGAAACATGTCATGTTAACTAGAAATAAGCATTGTCAAATTTCTTAAAATAATGATTGATGCCACAGTTCACTTTTCAATGAAATAAAATAATTATAAATTATTACTCATAATTTTAACAATAACCTAATTACTGTTGTGAAACTCAGAAGACCATGAACACTAGATAAATATTTCTGGAATGTCATTGCATTGTACAAGAAAGAAATTTAATTTTGAGGATCTTTTTTCAGAGCATGCAATTACAGTTGTACTCTACGTACGAGTACCACTCCAGAGTCTGCTCCGAATGAGGTCACCACCTTATCATGGTGGGGCAATTTACTAGTCTCAATGACCCCCAGAGCTACATGTATGCCGACTGGAGTCTTGTACTCCTGGCAGGGCCACCCACGCTGAAAAGGTCAAAGGGTAGAGACCAAACAAAGAGTGACCTCCTGGTCCTCCAGGTTGGGGGGGGGGGGGGGGGGCATAGAAATACTAACAGGGGGTGTCACTGCTGGGGCTGTAATGACGCTCTTTGGACAAAGCCGGCGGGACACCCAAAGGCCAATAGGCCCAATCATCAGTTACTGGAATGTGAGGACCATGGCAGAGGCAACGAGGGTAGGGCAAGTACATGTAGCTATGGAGATGAAAGAGTATGGGACTGAAGTGCTAGGGATAAGTGAGGCCAGGCTAGGACACATGCATTGTACTTAGGACAGAGGGTGTCGGTCGGACGGTGAGAGAAAGACCACAACTACTTGGAGAAGGACTGAGGACAAAGAGAAAAACCAGTGGCGTCTCTTTTCCTGCGTGACAGGATTGAACAATCGTGTGCTACATGATTCTCGTCACAAAAGAATCACAAAAGAATCAGTGAAGCGGCAAGTTTTGGCAGAAGATATCAACTGGTCCTGCATGAGACCAACTAATTTTGCAAAGCATAAACTTAAACATTTTGGGTTGATCTTGCTAGTTTCCACGACATTATCCCTACCATCTTAGAGCATGGAAGAGGCTACTCCAAAAAAGGTTTTAATTCTCCCATTTACCTTGACGAAGGAATTTATAAGCCTCCTTTTTTGTTTTGTAATAAATAATGCTCTTATGGTAATTCATTCTTTAAAAAATATTTTCGTTACAATCGCTAAAGTTACATAATGTAACAAAGTAATGATAAAGGTTTTGTATTTTGTAGGGAGTTTCAGAGTACACATGTATAATGTGCACTTGACTTTGGCTTTGATCCATTCTTTGTACCAGTAACCTAGTGATGTCTACAAAGTAAGTTGGACAAAGCAAAGAAAGTACTGTAGCATGTACATACATGTACTGCTTATAAATAATATTACTTCCATCCTTAATCACAAAAAAAATAATCTATAAGGATAAGCATTTAAAAACAATAATCTGCATTCATTAGTAAATGTATTCATTACCATAAGCTTGTCATACACTATTCGTCTGGAGTGATTCTCTTGTTTGTGGGCAAAACGTAGATTTCTCATGTCCTGAAAGCAAAATGATAAATGAACAGGAAAATTACGTCAGAAATGTTTCCTAAGCTTTCTCAAAAACATTTCCCACCATATTGAAGTCTACTACATGTAAATCCCCAGCAAAAGAAACAACACAAGTCAAGAAAAGCAAAACAAGAGGGAAGGAGAGAAAGTGAAAAGTAGAAAGTCAAGACTGATCTCGGAAATTTTGCCATCAACGCATTCCCGAACTTCGCAAGCTACAGTGGTGTATTATTTTGCATCTGGATCAGGAGGCAGCAAAGTCTACAACCCGTAAACGGCTTTGTGGTAAGATTTAGCTCTTATAGTATAACAGTGACCAGAAAACTGCTCAACTAGCTTCAAAACACGTTTTTCGCCAAAATTTTCAGGGGCGAATGGGTTAAGTCTTATTGATCTCCATACACGGTACATGCACTTTTTAGTCAAATCAGAAGTAACAACACCTGCCATATTGATTTTTGATTACTGGTACAGTTAAGACCAATCAACATGTTGATCAGTATTTTTATATCTTATTGAACAAAAAAAAATTCCTGAGAGAGTTGCCTTTGATGTGGTTCAATAATTATTATATTCTTTATCTTTGGCTTTTTCCTTCATACATTACCAACACCTAAAAAAAGGAACAGCTCAGTCTACATTATTATTCGGTAACTTTTGTATTGCAGGTAAAAATTGCAACATTTATTCGTTAGGATGGTCCCTGTGAACATGTACCTTACAAAACAGCTCTAGGCCATAAGCATTTTCCCCTCGGCTTGTTGTTCCACCAATCTTTTCTACACGATAAATAGTACAAAGAGGCACTTCTACTGTGAACGGTGGGTCCTAAAATTAAATACATGTAATTATTGCAAATTTGAAATAAGTAAGAAAGGTCATGGCCAATGCATGAATATCATTTCCAGAGTATTCAATGTTCAACACTGCTTTTACTTCAAAAACAAAACAGTTCTCTTTACACGTGGTTGATTCTAGGTTGATTCAAATCTCAATTTCCTTTGTTGCCTGTCCCTCTTTCATGAATAATTAGGGCTAGGAGACAAAGGAAAGTTTGAATTAACCTAGGTTAAAAAATATTATTTTGACCTGAATCTAATTTTAACCTGTACCATATATATTAATTAATGAATTTAATACTTCCTATATACTATAAAAATAATATATTCTTTGCTAGCGCTATAATGCCACAACCTAAATACACTGTATATGCACTGTAGTACTAGTGCAGGTGTTACAAAGTATGCATGCCATAAAGCTCAGCTGCTGTGCACATTAGCCTTTCATCAAGAACTTAGGTAACAACAGTTCAATCCTGATCAACAAAGGTACAGCTACACACTTAAAAAGCACACCTACAGACTGTATACACTTATATACTGCACACGTATTATTATTATTATTATTCGTATTACATGTATTCAAATAAACCTTACCTCATCAGCCTTGAAGTGCAGTCTGTAGTTTGTAATTTGAAGGAGACCACGCACGGCCCCACTGAACGGACAGAGAAACGTGACTTCTTTTGCTGAGAATCAATGAGCAGAAAGTCAAGAGCAAATAATTAACTTCTCATGCTAAGAGGCACATTGTAGTTGTGTGACTAACGGGGATGTAGCTAAGAAAATGACAAGCAGGCTTTTTTGTTATTCAAGCTGGCTGTTTTACTCATCTGCACCTCTAAAATTCTCACACATCTTTCAGTTGGAGAAATTAGCCGGCAGCCGGCTCTTAGCGACATCCCTGGACTAATCAGTCAATCATTGATCAGTCAATCATTAAATATCACACTAAACAGGGTACAAAGAAAGTCAGTTTTACAGCTTGCCATTTAGCCATGTAGCATGTACTAGACCAAGAATCATTTTAACTAGCCTGAAAAAATTTTTGATGAGCAGGATTGACTACAATTCTTCTGTTATTTGAAATCCCCAAAAAACTTCACTCACCCTGTCAGACAAGTTAAAAACAGAATTCACAAGCTTGGAAACAAAATCCAATAGCCTGAACTATTCCTACATATTATTGTATAGCTTTCTTTGCACACTGAAACCATAAAAATTAATAGAAAAGAAGATCTTTAAAATTAATGCTTAGTTGGTATTAGCTGTTGTCAGGGATGGCACTAGGATTTTTCAATCTGGGTCCTCGGACCCACATGTCCGGTAAAATTGGGGTCCCAAGCATTTTGGGTGGGTCCCAAGCATTTTGGGTGGGTCCCAAAATCTTGGTGACCCTTCCCTAAGAAATTCTTTAAATTGTTGTTGTTATGAGAAAGAGTGACTGGCAAATTAGTTTCATACTGTTAACTAAGCTTTATTGTCTTTTTTTTTGTTTGAAAACATTAACTTTAGACAATACAATGTAACTATTCTTAATTGTATTTACCCAACCTTATCATTACATTAAAGTATTGACAACCCAACTTTTGACCAATGTGTGATTAATTTTTGACAGAATGAGATAAACAGAATAGAATAGTCGATGTCAAGCATAAGGAGTCACAAGCGCCGATCTTTGGAAATTTTTGCATTCACTCGTGAATGCGTTCCTCTTTCCAGCTTCTGTGCAATCCTTACAAATCATCAATAAATCATCACCCGAGCCTCTTGTTTGCAGCCAACCAAACTCTTTCAGCCATTTGTCTTCCTCCCTTTTCATGGTTCATTGCCATATTACAGGTACATGTACATGTAAGTGGGCACTCAACCAGCACAATCGATCAAACAACAAACAAACACGGCAGGAGCTAATTCAAGTTTCCCGGATTTGTTAATTGTCTCCAGTCCCGTTTGTGTAGTTAAATCCAAAACGGCAGCCACGATGTGAATTTGCTTTGTTCAAAAATTTTTTACGTGTCACTCAAACAACAAAATCTATTCAAGATTCAGAGTAAGTCCTGGGACACATTACAATTTTCCTGATGCATTTTTTCCATTTTGTTTGCCTAAAAATGCACGATTACTGCGTTAACCCATTTCCGTGTTGTTGTCATTGTTGTATTTTTTTTGGTGTTTCCACCCCATTAGTGAACGAATAATATCATTACATGTACAGTGTATGCTGTACATGTAAATAATAAAATGACAAACTCCTCTGCAAAAATTTATGTTACTTGACAGTGTATAACATAACAAAAACAATAACAGCTCTACTATCACTTACCACTTGCTTGAATTTTCTCGCCTTCAAATAGTCGTAGGTCACCATGGGAACTTGGGTCACCCTGATAAGTATCAGACATAATACACTATATATCAGTCTACATGTAACACAGGTAACACAACATAATTGATAACATCCTCACAGTTATATGAGAAAAAGAAAAGGGTCTGGAAGCTAAAGAAATTACAGAATGAAATTAATAAATTCAATGAGCCAGATCGATAGCCTGCGAATGCAGATGTATTTCCGGTCGTCGCTTCTCTCCACCCAAAACCTGAAAGAAGCAACAACCTGAAATACAAGTACGTGTTTGCAGGCTAGATCCAAGGAATTGAAGTGTTACTGTTGTTGTATTTTTGTCTCCATACATGACAGTAGCTGTTGATATGTGCCATTTTACATGCACTGTAGCAAGTTTTCAGTTTTGTCATTTTGCCGGAGAAGAGAGCTGATACTTCATGACGCCACCATGGTTACCCCCTGAAATAATGTCTGAGGGGGTGTTTACAAGAGAAAACTTGCACTGGCACGAGTCTCAAACTGGGATGACTTTTTGATTTCGTATCACGTTTACATGATGACTGGGTCATTTCATATCTCGTTATTTGAAGGTACACTTCATGTTGATTAAATAGACGTGTGATTCAAAATCACAACCATCACGCATGCGCTACCCGTTCCAGTCTACCGGCAGACCGATTTCACACCGAAACGGTTGGTCGTTTTGCGTTCACATGATACCGCTGCGAGATTTCGTACTGGAGTGAAATTCTCACCCTGGTACAAGAACCGGGGTGAACTCACGCCAGGGTGACTTGCGCCAGCATGACATTTTGTGGTGGTATCATGTAAACAAATATAGAGCCATGAGAGGGAACCGGAGTGAACTTGCTCCAAAGCGAAAGTCACCCCGATGTCATGTAAACACCCCCTGAGAAACAAATGCAGAAATTCTGTATTAATGACGAGTTACCACCAAGATCTGAGTAGTTCTTCTGATTGGTCATGCTGCCGGAGAAATTTGCTTCAGCCAATCAGTAGCACTGCCCACGTCTGGACAGTGATGCATTATCATGCAGTTAAGTATGGAATTTCTGTGATCGTTTCTCAGATGTCATTTTGTGGGGAAACCAGTGGTAGTATCATGACGTTTTGGCTGTTTTTCTCCGGCTAAATGTAGCGAATTTGAACAAGTGGTGTGAACATATTATTAAATAATATATTTTGGAGTGTGCCTGTGGAACACACCTTGTCTTCTGAGTAACCATCTTCGGAGAAATCATTGTTTGGTGAGTGAGATCTGTGCTGGCTGGCACTTCCTTCAGAAGTTTTGCTGTGGGAGACGCTTTTCATTTGGGTGCTGTCCATTGCTACATGTACATCACATGAAACTTCTATGACTTGTTTTCTCTTTCCTTCCTCGCTACTCCTAACTTTTGAAAACAGTGTACTTCTCCCAGGAGCGTGTAAACTTACTGCTGAACACAACAGACGTGAGGATCTAAATAAAGAAGTATAAAAACTCAGCAGTCGGTCCATTTACGTATGAGATCAAGGATATGCGTCCGTAGACGCTGCAACTGTAAAACAGATAAGCCTATGTGTCGTTTCCTTCTTAGCAAAAAACGCCATGAGGCTGGGTGCCACGAAGTCTTCTTTCAAAAAGAGCTATACAAAGCTTATATATACAATTCTATGGCGTTTTCCAGTGACAAAAACGTTACATTTCTTACCTGTGCGAAATCAACCCGACTGGACTTCAAACTTTCCAGGATGTTCGTCGGCCATCTTGGATATTTAAGCCCAGCCTTGCCTCGCTATGGAATGTTAACTCGGGAAATCTGGGTACTGATGACGTATATTGGCGAAGATTCGGCCGCCATCTTGGTCACGCGAAATGAAAATTGAAGGAGAGTTTAACATGTGAATCGATAAAAATCCTTCGAAATCACATAAATATTCATACATGGAGTATTCGTGAACAGAAAAGGCAGAAGATATTGCAGTTTTGTGGCTCTATTCTACGTCATCAGCCGACCAACCCCTTTAAACTTGAGGACTGGGCATGATGCAGAACACCGAAGCGAGGTTCGAATTCTCAACGATGGCGACAGCTGAGACGCTAAAAGTGAGTATTTCCTTCGAATTTTGTCTTAATTTCCTCCTTAAAAACGTGATGTATTGAGTTAAAGAGAGTTAATTCTCCTATTATTGGTAACATTTAACATTTTTCTTTGGAATTATATTTAGTATTCCGTGGTCTGTGGTAAAATTCTTTTCTGATAAAATTTTCCTTTTTCGAACAATGGAATTGACATGAAAACATAATCTCGCATCCAAACAACACCCAAAAGATCATTCAAAATGGACGTCAGATAACCGGGAAATTACCCTAGTTTAGTTTCAAGTTAATCTGAATTGTTTCAAACGTATTTTGAGGTTGTCCAGAAAAACCAATCAAACAGCTGTCCAATACTATACGCGACTTGGCGTAGAGTATTTGTTTACATAAATATCCTCAACAAAAAAAGAGAGAAAGCATATGTTCTGCTTTGAAAATGCGAAGCGTACTTAGGAGAAGGTAAACTCAATTTAGAGCCGCTTAAACCATTTTTATCCACTTATATTCTAGCATTTAATGCAGACATGTAAGCTTCGTGGGAATTTTTGTATACAAATTTTAATCGAAACAAGCTTGAGTTCCTTGAATTTTATTTTGGCTACACGTATTTTCGTGTATTGCAAATTTCTCTCGTGGGAGGTTCTACATATTAAGAGAAGTATTTCAGCATTCATTTATATTTAAAAGATTTATATTGTGCTTGGATATTATTACTCATATACAGTGTATGATCATTCCATTACCGTAGTATTTCTAATCATTCTAGAATTTGTAAAACTTCCTCACGTTGTGGTGGTACATGTATATAATTTACCAATCTCTTATTGAGAAATTGACTCTTTAACTTTCTTAGAACATGAACACAGATTTCATTGCTGCATTATATTCAAAGTTACTGAAAAGGGGAAAAACCCATGTAATTAATACTTTCCAGTACATGTACTTGTCACTTTCATTTCTAGCATAAGTGAAAAAAAAACATACTCTTGGTTAAAGTGAAGGCAAAAATTAAGCTTTTGAATGTCGGTATTTAAGCAGCTAGAGATCATCATTGTTTTATGAGTTGCAGTTCTCAAAATTTTCATGATACATTTAAGTGTAAGTTAAAACATCACTGTAATATTAGTGTGTGTAAATTATTTTAATAACTTAAAAATTAATGAACCATGTAACACTTATTTTATTATTTTCATTTTTATCATTTTAAATGAAACCACAACATGATAGTTTTTCCTTTCTCAAATATAACTTTTAGGAGGACCAAGTGTCAGATGAAATAAAAGGTATGTTTTGCAGTTTGCCTTTCTTTTAACAGAATATGTATTAATAAACTGTAATGTAAGTGTATACAGTGGTCTGTACTGTCAATTTGTAATTCTATGATAAGATTTTCAGGAATACATGTGTAATGGAAGCTAAATACATGTACTTGAAGGTTTACTTCCAGATAATATCACATCAGTAATAAATTATTACAATAATAATACAGTAATCTATATACGAAGGCAAGGAAACTCTTTAATACTTTTGATATTTAGGTTAAATATTGAAATTCATATGTTACCAATTTTCAAGTAAAAACATATTTTTTTTGTTTGCAACATTCTTTGTTTTGTTATGAGGATAATTGATATAGCAAGAAAGACTAAGACCATTAAATTTGGTACTCTCCATGCCTGTAGCTGTACATATACTTCATTTAGTTTATCCAACCCTCATTACAAAATTTATAGTCCAACAAAGGGAGATTTAGTTTGGGTTAGTTTCAATCGACTGGTATTTTAACTATGCGTTTCCCAGGGTGTGGTGAAAGTTCTGTCTGATAGCCCAGGGCTAGTGGAATGACCTTTCAAGCTACATGTAGAGTGTAGTTTTTTTTTTGTTATTACAAGTTGTTTGAGGGAAAAGCCATTTAGTTGCCCAATGTGAAAGGAAAGTAGATTATTTAAGTTAAATTTTGCACTGGTTCCAATATCTTGTCCTTGCAAGCTTATTTACCAGTTGTTTGTGTGTGTGTGTTTGTCTTTTTGATATTACACCTGTACTTTGTATAGAGTTCAAGTACAGCTAACTAAGGTACTGTTCAGATGCCAAATGTGGAAGTAACACCTGGCATTGAATATGTGATAAGTTTGGCTTCTGAGTCATAAACATGTAGAGTTGTAAGAACAGCTCCTTTAATCTGAAATTGCTTAACCATTCCTCATGCATGGCCCAGCTGGCAGTGTTAACTATATACAGCTGCAATGGCTGTGATTCAGGCACTCAACTTTTCATCTGCCAAAGTTGATGTATTAATGATTTTTTTTTTGCCTCAAACTGTTATGATTAAATTAAATTTGGTTATGCAATTAAGGGTAAAGATCAACAAAGTTTTGCATAATGTTTTTGATGTCGCCATGACAGAATTTTTGTTATCTTGTGAATTGTAAACTGTTAAATCCACTTAAATACGTGTTAGTTTGGCATCTCAAGACCACTTTTTTACTAATGAATTGAAAGGTACACCTTTTTGGTCTGCCTTAATTTTGGCCTCTGACCTTGGCCCAGGGTATATTGAAAACTTTTGTATATGCTGCATATCTTTTACAAACAATAGTAACTTTAGTGTCATTTAAATTTGAGACTAGTTTATTAATTTTACACTTGGCAGTTGTACCTGGCCTACATGTGGTTTTGTTGCTTCATTTCAATAAGCAGTTACTTACAAAATAAACATGCTTTTTTTTATTTGTTGCCTGTACACCTACATGCTCTCTTTGCATGCATTTGGAGCAGGCATTTGAAACTGTTGATAAGACAATGATACAGGTGTCCATAAAGGTACATTCGCTTTATAACTTGGTCTTTTGTTGATCTAAGCATACAGCCACTTGGGCGAAAACTGTATGCTATGTTTTTGAACAGCACTGTACATGCAGTTTTGGTCTTTCCATTTCTTAGGAAGCAATGAAAAACCCTCTGAAAATACTGTGAAATCAATAGAAGATGCTGATGTCAAACCAAAGGAAGAGAGTCCAGCTGCAAGTGGCCTTTCTCTGATAACCCCAATGTCAGAGGAGCCTAGTCTATCAGCTCCGGTGGAAAAAGAAATGCCAGGAGCTTCAGTAAAGGTACATTTGGCAACGACAGCAAAAACAACAACAAAACGTTATTGAGAAGCAAATAATATAAGTTATAACAAAAGCACTGCCCTCAGCTACAGGTGTAGCATAGCTATTTAAGGCAGGACAGTGCGTGCAAAAAAACGTAAAGTAATATTAAGGCTAACTAAGGAATGTTTATAATTTATAAATAAATGAAATAAAAATTATAATAAATGACTGCAATTTATTGAGGACTAAGAAAGAATTAAATGAATAACAAACTGTAAGTGTAGAAAAGAGGAAGCAAAAAACCTTATTTTTCGAAATTTTTGGCTGAATTAATTTTTTAAATTAATTATTTGCTTCTCAATAAAGTTTTGTTGTTGGTACATTTGACAAGGTTTATGAGGGCTTGAAATTATTACACTCTACATGTCAGTGTAGCTATAAACAGATGGGCATCAGTCAATCTGTGCCATGAAAGTTAATGTCTTTTTCTCAGACATGATCTGTAGCCAGTCAAGTTGTGAAAACAAGTGACATGCAATAATATTTATTCCCTTTTCACCATATTATGAAGATGAGAATGAGATGTACTGTACAGGTAAATGGAAAGAGAAACATGACATTACAAGCTTAATGTGGTGTGATTAAACCTAATGTACTTGCACTTTAGACTTACAGAGAACCATCAAGTTCATGTGGGAACAAGGGCAATGGTTTGATAACTACATTTGTAAATTGATTTTTTTTTTTAAGAACAAAATTTAATTTACATGTAAGCAGAAACAAGAAGACAAATATGCAAGGAAATATGTATAAGCCACTCACGCACATAGTGTTGTAATGGTTAGTTCAGACTGGTTGATTATGGTATCAAGGTGGTTTGTTTTAAGCTCTCTTTGCGCCTTTAATTTTTTTCCTTTAGCAAGAAAACTTGTACAGTGCCAATTTACAAACTGGTTCATCTACATTTTGAGACAAAAGAGGACAACCTGCAGGCGTTTAAACAATGAGTAGCTTGAGATTAACTTATCTAAACCATCTAAACCAATAATGCTGTTGTGCAATTTACTTGTACATAACATACAGTCGTAATTTATTGCTCTGGATCCTGGTACATTTAAAAGGAAAATAAGTTATTCAAATTGAAGATGCTCAGGTTATTGGGTTAAAAATATATAATTTTATTGTTAATTCATATTTACATTGTGTGCTGTTTCAGGAAGTCAAACTTTCATGTGCCCCAACAGTTGCTATAGCAATTTCACATAGCTAAATAACATTCAAATTTTCATTAAACATAACCTTTTTAATTGAAGGAGGCTGTGAAAATGGGATATTTTTCCCCAAAGTAGTAAATTATTTTCAATGTAAGTTCAGTAATTTTTTTTGTAGACAAAAGCCCAGTTAAACTGTAATGAATAGCCAAGAACTTTACAATTAAACTGAACCAACTCAAGCAGGTCTTTGCTGGTTTTCCTCTGTTACAACAATTTTATTATGTTTGGCGAATTAACTAAATTGCAAAGCTTCTGCTCTTGTGTTAATTTGTCATTGTATTACATGCACACTTGTGCAAAAGGTTTAAGAAAAATAATGAGTTGATTCTTTTAGAAAAGCTTTTTTCTGAAAGATGAATTTAGGAAACTACAATGTACATGTACTGTACATAGACATTGTGTTCTAACAAGATCCTTGGAAAAAGCAGAGTTTGTCTTTAAAGCATCAATAATTGGATCTCAAGATAAATTATTTTGTTGTAGCATAGAAATGCTCTTCAGGTAGTGCTAATTGCTGTTTACATGCTATTTATATTATTTCAAAATACTGCCTTACTTACATACGTACATACATTCTTTACTGTTACCTCCCCAAAGGGGCTTTTCAGGAACAATGAAAAAAGTACACAAAAAAACAATTTTAAGTGTAATCAGGCAGTGTCATAATTGACAGTATTCATGTGTTTGATACTTGGATATGAGAAAAAAATGGTTTTAAGACGGAATCCATCAAGAAATTGAGTAATTTTAATTTTCAGTGGACAAAAACCTTGTACCAGAATAATTTAAACAATATTGCATTCTTTTTTTACATTTTTCAAGTGCTATAGATGTAATTGGTTATCTGTAATAACACCAAAGAAAGTTTCTTATAAGAGCGTGAGAAAATAATTGTCAAATTTCACAAAATGACATCTTCCACATGAAATTTTCAGAATTTTCCTTGTGTTTTCACAATTTATTCTTGTGAAATTTGACTTTTATTTTCTTGGGTTCCCATGAGAAATAGTCTTTGGTGTTATTACAGATAACTAATTATATCTTTGGCTTTTGAAAAATGTAAAAAAGAATGCAATATTGTTTATATTATTCTGGTACAAGGTTTTTGTCCACTGAAAATTGAAATTACTCAATTTCCTGATGGATTCTGTCTTAAGTTTTCAGATTACTTTGCAAACATGTAATCAGTATCTGTAATAGTCTATAGCTGTTATAGAATTTGTTGGTCTTATTTGTGCAGTGTAAGCAGTGTTAAAGAGCTTGCAATAGAATACATTGGTTGTACAATGTACAGTATAAAATGGTGAACACTACATGTATGTGTGAGAACAGCTAAAATTTTGCTACTGTACCTATACTTTAATGAGTTGCCTTCTTCAAATTTTATTGAAACATGTGGCTACTGTGTTCACTGTTTTGGGGTCAGAGTAATCAGGGCTGTCACTAAGATTTTCAAGTTGCTGGGTAAAATAATACATCAAGTAAGCAATGAATCAAACAGCCACGGACTTCTTTTGGTTCTATTTTTTGGTTCTATTTTTTTGTGATTTTCTTATGATAGTAAGGGTTAATTTAATTAAACTTTTACAAGACACTGACAATATTACAATGGCTACATGTACACTTACACTTACACTACTTGTACATGTAAAAGTTTTATTAAATTTACCATAGGGGTCACATTCGTAAAGGTATTTTCATGGGGAAAATCTCGGCCTCTTGTTCTTAATGCCCTGAAAATCAATTCCTCATGGAGCACAGTCACGTACAGTCATGTAAAGTTAATTTATCAGATGATGAGTCGAGCTGTTTAATCTTTAATTTCTTCTATCTGATACACTTGTGTACCATTTTTCAGGTGGACCCTGAAGCAGAAAGACAGGGTGAAATTTTGGCTTTTTATGGTGAAGAGGAAACCAGAAATTATGACAGCCCTGAACCGGGGCCTGCAGTGGAAAAAGATGATACACCCGTTACTCATCAGCAAGCAGAGCCAGCCAATGGCCAGGTTTGAGTTCAAGCTTTATCACGTCTGCTTAGGACTCGGCTTATGACCCCAATTTTTTTTATTTTCACTTGGTCATAAGCTGTCTTATGGCTAGACTTACAAGTCCTTCTCCAACTTCATTGCTAGTGAGTTAAATTAAATTTAACACTGTCAACAACAAGGAGAACTGGTTGTTGTTTGGAGGCTGAAACATAGCCAGCCATGCTTGAATCAGCCCCATGTGCTAAGTACAGCATTTGCTGGTGGCCACTGGCTTTGTTTAGCATTTGGAGTGTGCTTTTACCCCCACCCCTTCCTCCCTTTCAATTTTTCCACTGATAAATGAGTGTGATGGATACCTGGTTCTGTTTGCATGGGGGCTCATGGCTGCATCAGCAAGATGCTGGTTTATCAGCCAGCAGGGTGTAACTCTATCTAGGGGCTGGCTTTGCCAACGAGTCTGAAGTCTCTGGACATTCCAGGCACCCACCTCCATTAAGCTGCAATGCAGTTTTCAAAGGTTTTAAAACTCCAAGCCATCTTTTTTTCACTTGTTTGCTAATTACAGTGAATTATGAAGTGGGAATATTAATTATTGTGATTCATTATTTGATTGTGAATTATGTGAAGGGTCCCCTTTACAGACCCTCTTTTGCTTGTGAAGCAAATAAAAAAAATTGACATTACCTCGGATCGAGGGAAGTGATTTAGTGATTTATTCCATATATATTCTAATTGAAGTAATTATACTCCTGTACTTTAGCATATGGTAATATTATAAGTACATGGATGAACAAAGAAAAAATTATGTTGCTTTTGACAGGTTCAAGAAGAAGCTTCTAAGGAAGTAGTAAAAGCAGAAGAGCCACTCCCTGAAAATATGGGTAATAAAAACTTCCATGTAAAGTAGCAACTACCAGAAAAACTATGAAAAAGCTGCATTATCTATATTTCACATACTCTAGATTATTGTTTTCCTCTAAGAACAGTTTCATATCTTTGTAACAATAATGTAAGGAAAACGGTAAAATTGCATGTCGTTGTATTATTTAATTAATTGCTTATAGGGTTCCTGTAAATACATCAGGGGGTAGAAATACTTGATGTCTGTGGCAAACGACAACCACTCACCACACCAGCAATCACTACTAACAAATAGAGCTGTACACTGTACCTGTAGTTTTTGCAGCTTAGAGCTTAGTTTTGAAAGAATTAGTGTTTGAACTTCTTTGAGTTTTGTTACCTTTGGCAAATCTGAATCAAAATAAATCTAACTACACGTAAACATTAAAGGCCCCTCCCATTTAAAGTTGGTGCAGTTTTAGAGCTGAACAAAACTGTGGATTAAACATCCAATGCATTATTTTTGTAAATTCATTTTGTTTTCTTAAAAGTGACCTAGACTCTAATACCAACATAGAGGTGCATTCAATGTCTTAATCACGAGTCAAAATTTCTTAAAATAACTTTTAAGTGAAGAGAATGTTTTTTAACAATGGATTAAAATAATGTCTCAGTCTTGAGACTCTTAAGTTATGCTGTACATATACATCGGAATACACAGTTTTTGTAAGATTTTGCGGTAATTTTATCTGGAGGATTGGAAAAATTGGGGAGATAACATGTTTTACTGGTAAAGGAAATGCAGTGTTGGTTCTAAAAATTTATGGGAGGGTGGAAAATTTTTCGGCTTGCAAACTCAGTTAGTTGTTCTACAAACTGTATATATACATGTACAGTTATGCTTTGTGTACACTGCAGCATTTTTAGGGTTGCCACAGTCAGGGAAAAATCAAAAAGAGAAACATTTTTCATGATCAAGGAAGAAGTCAGTGAACTTTTTTCTTAAGTCAGTGGAAATCTTTGTTATTGTCAAAGTCAGTGAATTATATCCTCTTTGCACACATAATCCCTTAAAAAGTATAAAGAGGTTAAAAATGAAGTGAGGAATATTGATGAAAAATGTTGGAGCAAAGTTACTGTCAATGTGGATTGTTTTATTAGTCACCTAATGCAAGGTGTTTAGATGTCAGTGAAAAGTCTGGGAAAAGTCAGAGAATTTTATAATTTCTGATGAGTGGCAACCCTGACTGTAGCATTGCCCTCACTACTTGGAAGTATATATGGACCCAATCCAAAAATGGCTGCTAGAGTTGTGATATTCTCTTGTTTGAACTAAAATTAGCCTGACTAGCCTTGCTTGAGATAATGCATTCTTTTGAATTTTGTACAGAAGAATGAGGGCAGTCAGTCTAATTTTAAACCAGCAGGCATTTTTGCATTGGGTCTATACTAGACTCTGTTGAGAAGAATGTCAATAGCTGTCTTTCTAGGTAATGACATTAAAAACTGGTAAAGGAAAGTAAGGGATTGATCAAGAAGTAGTTATGATATTTGTTACTAGATTCTTGTTTGCAGTACGTAAAGTTAATGCCAAAGTAACTAAGTAAATAAATAAGCTAAATATTAAGAAGTAAAAATTAAGTTAATTCTTTTTCACTTTAATATGACCAGAAAAGTATCAGTAGTATTGTTTTTACACAGAATGCAGATTACCTGTTGAGTTTGCAATGTCTATACTTTACTATTTTTATTTAGCACCAATTTTCTGGTCGGGTGACTTGTCCTTAACCTCTCTGCTACATTATTTTAACTTAACACAGCTTTTTTTCCATGTTATGAAATATAACGTTAAGCATTATTGTAACACTAAAGGGAAACTTCATTTTAACTTTTACGTTCATTGACATAAAGCTGTAGAATGGTTAACATTGGAAAGTTCTTGGCCATAAATAATAATATTTTAGCTAGTCATATTTCCTTGTAATCTAACAATGCAAGTTTTATTCTTTAAGAGCTAAATGATTTTTGTATTTATCTAGCATGTTTAAGTGAGCGGCTTTAATCCTTAACTATACTGATCATTTTCTTGGAAGCTTAGACCTTCTTTCTAACATAGTAATGTTTTATCTGATACAGCAAAGTGTGAATTCTGCAACTTCATTGGAATAAGGGAATCATTTTTCTCAAAGTCCAAACGCTTCTGTAAAATGGAATGTGCGAAAAGATACTCGTCCGCATCCAATATTAAACAGAAGTCTAAAGGAGACAAGATTGGGACTCCAAAAAAGAAACACAGAACTTCAGACAGACATCATAAAGTTTCTTTAAAACTCGACCTTCTTTCTAATCTAGTGACTGTTTTGTCCGATACAGCCAAATGTGAATTCTGCTGCTACATCGGAGTAAAGGAAAACTTTTTCTCCAAGTCCAAACGATTCTGTAAAATGGAATGTGCAAAAAGATACTCTGCATCGAATATTAAAAAGAAGTCTAAAGAAAAGATAGGGACACCAAAAAAGAAACACAGGACTTCTGAAAGGCATGCTCACCAAAGCGCAGGTGCGGGGGCATCAACGGCAACATTGAGTTCCGCTCTTGCTAATACTTCTGCAGCAGCTTCAAGTGGGCAAGGAATGGTTGGAGGACATGAGGTGAGGTCAATAGCTTACAAGACCTTTGTGTCAGTGATAAACAAGGTAAAGCTAGTCTGAAGAGCAGCTAGGTGATCATCTCCTTTATATGGACATTAATTTCAAAACATTGTAGAAGATTCTTGGGAACTGCCTACCTTCTTCGCTCCTAATCCAACATTTTGCCCTTATTGATAAGTGTTAGTGTTACGTTTGTGTGGGTAGGGGTAAGTGGACAAAAGTCATGATAAGGTTCTTCAGAACTTCCCACCTACCCCTCTCCTAACTCACCATTTTGCTCTTAGTGAGAAGATGGTGTTAACTTTAGCTGGGGGAGTGGTAGGTGGACACAAAACATTATAGGAATCTGGAAAACTTATCACCTACCCTTCCTCTAACCCAACATTTGTGAGAAGTTAGTGTTAACTTTGGGTGGGGTGGGGCAAGTGGACAGTTTTCCCGGTTTGTCAAAAGTAGCCAGCTGCCGAAAATCGCCACCTACTTGGGTAGAATTGGCCGGCTACTCTGCTTGGCATTTCTTTATGGATGGCGTTTTTTAAATAAAATATCCCTGGACTGGTCGCTTACCTTGACGACTCAGCCGTCTACTTCAAAACTTTCTAACAACCCTGCAATTGGACATTTCTGTGGTTAGGGCAATGTCCTTATCACAGAGAGTTTTCTCCTTAGTCCCAAAGATACTTTTTACTCGTTCAATGTAGATAGATGTACCATCCTATAAATACACACTTGTTTTTCTCTTATTTTTGTTAATAAAGCTCATAAAAAAACTGTACTCTCTGCTGTAGATTGAAGGGTGGGAGGTGTTCTGAACTGAAGTTACTGCTACTTCAGAAGGAGGCCAGGAGCAACTTAAATGTGCATGTACACTTTACATTGTAAGAGCAAAAAAAAAGCAAGATATGCAAATCATGTATATATTCATTACAGGATGACGGTGAAGTATCTGCTGCTAGTGCAACTCCATTGTCAAGAGAAGGTACCATTTACACATTTATTTACTTTGTGTCTCATTGTGTTTCACTGTATGTCGAGATTTAATAGAATAGTGGTCAGCTTGTTTCCATATATTGCTGTTGCTAAGTTCTGACACACAAGCTGGGCAAAATAATGAAAATAGCAGCGTGGGTTTTTCTCTTTGCAACTGCACTTTGCTTCTCTAGTGTATTGCAGTCTTGTCTCTATTCAGTGTTCGGTATTAGCACTCTCTTGTATACCTGCCAACTCTCACGCCTTAGGCGTGAGTCTCACGCCTGCGGGTTGAAAACTTCGATCTCACGCCGGCTCACTCCTGTGGGCCAATTTCTCACGCCTGATTGAAAAATGTGAGTTGTTGCCGTCCTGCTTGACACTATTTCCAAAAATATGTTAACTCAGACCCATGTAAGGAACGAAAACCATGTGTAAAATAAATAAATGGCAATACCTTCCTCGCGATCTCTGATTTTTGAAGTGAAAAGCACTGGGAGCGAGCTCGCCTTTGGCAGACTTCGGACGTCGTCGGAAGACTTCGGACTTCTTCGGGAATCTTCGGAAATGATCGTGTCGTCTTCAAAAATCCCAGCACTCCCAGGATAAAAATCTCACGCTTATATCTCAGAAAAAGTTGGCAGGTATACTCTTGTACATGTACATGTACATGTAAAGGTACCAAAAAATGGGCAACAAAAAACGTGCAACTTGTCCTGCAACACACTGTGCAAAGAAAGTCAGTTTTACAGGTTGCCATTCAGGCAACCTGTAGCTTTCATGTACTAGCCCGAGATTTATGTCAGCTAGCCCAAAAAACTTTTTGATAAACAGGATTGATTACACAGTTCTTGTGTAATTTGAATTCTTCAAAAAACTTCCCTGGCCCGTCGGGCAAGTTAAGAACAGAATTCACAGTGCATGTGCAAAGTACTGGAGACTATACATCTTTAACATTAAATTTAGCAAGTGTGGTACAGTGGCTCAGCTTCAAGTCCCGGTATTGATGCCATACGTGAGTTTTGAGTTTGTTGTTGGATCTCATCCTTGCTTTGAGAGGTTTTCCTTCAGCACTCTGATTTTCCCCTTTTTCAAAGACCAACAATAACCAATACCAATTCAATTCTGGAATGCACAAACACTTTCAAATGATTTCTTGAGAACGCCCAAGTGTTTTGTGGTTAAAAGATTATTACGTTTAATTTTTACATTGGATGTAGCAAGTTTACTAACGCTATCATATATTTTTTAAAGATGTTGGTGAAAACTGGCAGAATCGTAGTTTTGATTGGACAGAATACCTCAAGAAAACAGGTGCCAAAGCAGCGCCCACGCACCTGTTTGAACATGTGAGTAGTTATCACTTTACCTGAATTTTTGGATCAATTTAGGCTTCTGGGAAACTGCCCACCTACCCCTTCCCTTAGCCAACATTATCACTTACTTCTCACTTAGGGCAAATGTTGGCTTAGGGGAGGGGTACGTGGGCAGTTTCCCAGAAACGTAAATTGATCCGAATTTTTCTTCTGTTGACTGCTCTGAGGGAGAATGCGGTATCACTGTGGTAAAGGGGCGGGGGAGGGGGATACCTATCACGCATCACGCATCACGCCGATCATGGAAAAATATGATAAAACATTAACTACATTAGCAAGTATCCTATTATCATTTGATCTGAGGAAATCAGAGGCCGAGGAACGAGAAAAAAGGGCAAGAAGTTGGTGTCTGCTTCTAGTTTCAAATGATATTAACCGTTACGGAAATTTCAAAGGAAAATCACGCGTCACGCGTTGTGAAAATAGTAAATCACGTATCACGCTGCTATGCCAAATCACGCCTCACGCGGCCAATTTAGGCCAGATCACGCATCACGCTGATAATTTGGGTCCCGTCACGCGTCACAGAAAACGTATTTGCCACCCTGCCGAATGACCAAGCGGTTAGAGTTCTGGAATTTTAATCCGGGGGCATCGAGTTCAAGCCACGGCCTTAACCGCTACCAGGACTCGTTCAATAGTCCCAAGCTCACCTCCTTGGACATGCTTTTAAAATAGCCTACTGGTTTGCCTCCGGACAGTTAGCCTTATTGAACTCGTTATGTTTGTTTTCAAATGTTTGTTTCTTATCCTTATTTATGGGCCACAAAAAAACACTACGGCTGGTTACCAGTAAAATTTGTTACCCCTACAGAGTCATTTTCTTTTTACCCAAGCCAACGTTCTTGAACAGTGAGCTGTCCTCAAACTGCAATCTGGGGGATATCGAGACTAGCCTTAGCTTTTCCATTCCCCACAGTCACTCAAAACTGATGTCGAGAAAAATATGTAGAGATGAAAAGTGCTCTAGACGCGCTGTACGAACTTTTGTAGTTCTTGTATTAGTTTGGGCTTGAAATCGTGCGATATTAACGTTCAAATGAAAATGTTGTTTTCTTGTCTTGTTTATTGTAATACTTAAATCCTCTGGTTACTGGACAGGTGAGCCTAAGCCCCTGTTTAAAGGGCGTCCATGTTGGCATGAAGGTGGAAGTGGTTAATTGCAGCATAGATGTCGTTGATGATACAGATGTAGCGTTTTGGGTGGCAACTGTCATAGAGATTAAACACTACAGAGTTCAGTTGCGTTACGAAGGTTACGAGTCCGATCCAGCCGGCGACTTTTGGTTTGATTTGAGATCCAAGAATATTCATCCAGTAGGATGGTGTGCCAAGAGGAACAAACTGCTTATTCCACCCCCAGGTAAAGTCTTACACTTGTTTTAAATAGAGTGTTAAGTGCTAGAGAACCATTTCTTGCAGGGATTATGATGGCCTGTACTAGCCTGCGTAGCTGGCGGGATTAGTGGACGATTGCTGTAGTTTTTTGGAGCCGAGCCGCGTGAAGACTGGTATCAAGTCAAATTGAATTCCCTCGCACCCAGCACACAAAAGCACCCAGGACACAAGTTATGCCGCCAGCTACGCAGGCTAGGCCTATACTTGTACCTTTAGTTTTCTTCCTTTATTAAACTTCTGGGGACTCTTGCTAAAAGGGGCTGAGTCACGGCCTGTCTAGTTCTTTGCGTTAATAGGAAGCTTAATCAACGGCGACGGCAATGACGACGGCAAAAAGCAAGAGGGCTAGATTGGCAAAACAACAACTTTGCACTTGCATCACGTTTTTTTGTACATTTCTTAGCCGTCGTTGCACGACTACAACGTAAAAGTGCCTCATTTCACGTTTTGTTGAGGACGGGAACACAAGACAACAACTTTTCTTTTCTTTTTCTCAGTGAACTTTGATACAGTCCTTTAGAATTCAACTCCAGAAAAATTCACCAACATTTGACGAATTGTTCGAGATGGAATAAGCGCGATAAAGTTTGAGGCAGCGCAAATTCACTTTTTAAGTGACGTTGGGTCTGAGGCTTGGGGTAATAAAATAAAAGAAATGTATTTTTCCTCCCTGAACCTGCATTTCCCCCAAGCCTTGAAACCAAATATGAATTTTAATAATGTCGAAACTGAGTAGATCATCTTCGATTGTTTTAGTGACTGTTACTTTCACTGTCTATTTCCACCTGAAATCTAAAAGAAAAGTGTTTGTGACATGGGGACTCCTGGAACTGGGAGAATCTTAGGGCCTGAAATCTTAGTCTTTTCTCGAAATTTTGCTCAAACCCATCACATCTGTACACACCATTTTGGAAAAAACTAATCTGGCTGGATGATCCTGATTAATAGCGACATTCTCCCTATGATTGGACTGGTCTGGCCAGCCTAAGGGCGCTTTCCATTTAGTCAGAACTGGGTGGCTGGCTGGCTGGCTAGTTTATCTAAATACCTTTGCTTCATTTCAGCAATCAGGGAGAGATGTGGCAATTGGAGGGATTACCTATTCAAGTGCCTTTCGGGAGCAAAGACGTTCTCCGCAGAATTTCTACAACAGCTTCAAAGCCAGCCCTACAACAGGTTCCAAAAAGGCATGAAGGTTGAAGTGGCAGATCGTAAGAATATGTACTCGATGTGCGTGGCCACTATTGTGGATGTCATAGGTGACCGTCTGAGAATGCGATATGACGGACTTGATGATGATGTTGCTGAAGACTTCTGGTGTCATTATCAGTCGTCTGAGATTCATCCAATAGGATGGTCCTCTCTGGTGGGTCACACGCTACAGCCTCCCATTGGTAAGTGCAAAGTGGACCGAAATACTTGGATTTATTGAATTAAAGGCGGTGTGTTCAACGGGTTAGGATGCTGATCCGCATTTAAAGTCCTCATCCATTTTTTCCTGGTCAGCGGATTTTCGCCTGAACACACAGACTGGGGATAGCTGGGCTATGTTCACACGAATTACATTCATTTCGCTACAAAGTCGTTTCGCTACAAGTCGTTTCGCTACAAGTCGTTTCGCAGCATAATGAAATCGTTTCGCTGCATCATAAAGTCGATTCCGTGCAACCAACTTTTTGTATTAAACAGTTAAAAAAATTTACGATGAACTACAAACGGGTAATAACGAGCTAAGTTAGCGAAACGACTTTACAACCTTTTCAGCGAATCGACTTCACTGTGCAGCGAAACGACCCTACTCCGCTTTAGCGCCGGCACGAAAATCACCCTGGACAGGGCTTCTGTTCACACTAAGAACGGTGATTTGCTCGCGATTTCTGTAACGCAACAACGCTGCGCCGCGCCGCCCTCTAAAGGCGAGAGTCACATATCGGATAGTTGTTCATACTACACCGAACAGCTTTTCGCGTGGGCATGAAAAATCTTTATCCGCTTTAGTAGAAACATCGCCTTAAGGGTTTTTACTAGAAATACGTGAATCGCAGAGCCTCGCGAAGCAGGGGTTAAGGGCCAGAGGTAGAAAGAAAAAGTGAAAGAAGCTGATGGAGAAAAGAAAATATATATATATTTTAAAAGAACCGATCTAACGGTAAAATTAAATGGTAAATTGTCGTCTTAGATTAAAGACTTCCTGTAATTTAGTGACGATGCTAAAAACCACAAATCTGTCCTCATTCTTTCCCTATTTTCGTAATCCAGATATTTTGCTACCATGGTGACATGACGTCACACTTCTCTCGATTAGCCAGCCTACTTTTTGTCAGTTAGATTATTTAACCTTTTTTAACAAATTAATTACGAACTTCTATAACAGATAGCTCGGCAGTGGCCCTTTAAAGCTTCTCCTCACATCACTTAAGGTTGGAACACATTAGGCGACATGTACTAAATAATTTGTGCGAAATTCTTTGTCTCAGTGACGGAATTATCTTATGAATTTCATACACAACTTACTGTTTCTTCAGGATGGAAGCACAGTCTCAGCAAATGGAATGAATTTTTAGCAGATGATTTAGCAAATTCGTTAGATGCCCCTCAAGAATTTTTCGTACAGGTATGGTTTTTTTGGTTGCGTGTAATTTTAACTGTGTTAGAATTAAAATCATATTATCACGTTAATTGAGGCTCTCTCAATCATAGGTACAAAAAAAGATCAGTAATTGCTCATCAGTCAAAAGTAGAAGAATAATTTCAAAATATTGTTCCGGTAATAAACGAGACGATTGGCAACGACGATTTTTAGCGCAACACAGCGTCGCAATGTTGGAACAGTGTTGAAAGCATTCGGAACAATGTCGCAACAATGGTGTGATGCTGTGTTGCGTTAAAAGTCGTCGTCGCGAATCGTCTCATGCAACATCACCTCAAGTCTCCATACCAGTCCTTAAAATTAATGATTATTGTTATCTTCTGTTCTACAGGACTCCACCGGAACCGCTCCTGGCCTTCACCAGTTTAAAGTTGGCATGAAGTTTGAAGCAATCGACCCGTTCAACCCAAGCCACATATGTGTAGTGACTGTGATAAAGGTGCTGCGATTCAACTACTTTGTCCTTGGAGTGGATTCTCTGGCGACTTACTTTGTCTGCCACGCTAATGCAACTACCGTGTTCCCCTGTGGTTGGGCCAAAGCCCATAATCTTCAGTTGCACCCTCCAAGAGGTATAGTAAAAACGCGCTTTTTGCGACAGTTCTGAGTGTTACATGTACAGGGTTCGTAGGGGTCATTACATTTAAGAATTTCATTATCCAAGCCTGAAAACTCATGGAACTTAATTGTCAGTCATGGAAAGTCATGGAAAATTAAAGTTATGTTTGGTAGATAATAGTTACTACAGATGTCAAAGCAAGGACTATGTAAGATAGAGACGTAATTAAACAGCTCGATTTGGCACGCATTTTGGTGGACACTAAAGTTTGTCTGTTAAACTGACTGACGTAAAAAAAATACTCTAAAACAAGAGAAGTTTTGAAAGTAACAGCTAAAGCGAAGGTCATGGAATACTATGGAAAAAGTTATGGAATTCTTGTCATGAATATATCTCGGAAATTCAGGTTACAGATCCAGCCTGGGGTTAACTGAATCTAACCCAAAATTGGCTTTACGTTCTTAAGTACTGATTGTTATTTTGAGGTGTGGCCACATCCTGTTGTTCTTGTTTAGATTACACTCAAGAAAATTTCAGCTGGCCTGAATATCTTGCAAAAACTGGAGGGATCGAGGCTCCTCCTCAGCTTTTTAGACAGGTGAGCGGGCTTCTTACATTTGCAACGTTTGAGTCTATTAACAAATGCTAAGATGTGACCTTTTAAGTGAAACATTTTGATCATAAGACATAACAAAGACATAGCAATTCTTATGCTTAAAGCTAAGAACAATCTATAACCGAAGTATCTCCAATTAGTGTGTAAACGCTAGAACGACTGACACCGTAGTTAAGTTACTACTACTCCTTCTTAAACTGTGGGAAAACTGTGAGGGAAATTCAGTCTCAGATTCATTACCTTTATCTAACAACCAGGAAAGCCGAAATGAAAACGGCTTCAAAATTGGAAGCAAACTAGAGGCTGTGGATCTGCGAGAACCAGCTCTCATCTGTCCAGCCACGGTAACGGACCTGAAAGGACCTCTGTTGCGAATCCACTTTGATGGCTGGGATGAATCCTATGACCAGCTGGTGGACATGGACTCTCTGGATATTTTCCCTGTTAGTTACTGCGCTTCAGTCTCACATCCTCTACAACCTCCAGGGTAATTAACTTCATTTTCATTTAACAATCTACAGTCGACTCTCTCTAACATGGACACCTTTAGGACCGGCACAAAGTGTCCGTCTTAGAGATATTGTAGAGAGGTGTGCCTCTTATAGACAGTCAAATAAAGGGAGTAAAGAAAGGCAGGGACCAACTCTAGGCGTCCGTATTACAGAGGTGTCCGTTAAGAGAGAGTCCACTGTAGAGTGCTTTCAATCGAGTATCAAAAGCACCTTCGTAGTAGCCCTGGTTTTGCGTTGCTATGCGCTCTAATTCACTAAAAAGAAAAATCTCCTGTTTTTTCCGCAACCAATCAGAAATAAAAGCTGAACCAATCGCCACTTGTTCACACTCGTTTTCCCGCTCTTGAGACCGGCTATCCGTGTTCGCTTTAAGTTTTGATTGGCTTCTCTGATTTTAAATGACTTCGCCGACTGTTATTCGCCAGAGATCTCTTCCGTATTGTTTTGACGACACGTGATACTGCTAGCTCCCCACGTAGGCGTGGGAGGCTACGTTACTGCGGAAGCAAGTCCCGTTGGGACGTCAATGGTCCTGGAACCGCTTTAATTCAAAGCTGTAAATTGAAGAAGCTTGCTAAAAGTCCTTTTGCTGGGGAAATGCACATTTACAATTTCAAGGGGAGGATTGATTTAATAAGTTGAATTTAATATTTTTGTACCTTCGAATCCGCCTAATTAACTCTGTTTAGCCCCCCCAAATGTTGCATAAATTATTGTTTTCAATTGTTCTTGGTATGACTTTGTATTCAAAGAGCATTTGAAAACGATAACTTATGCAAAATTTGGGGGGCAACCAGAGTCTATCATGGGGGATTCAACAATAGACAATCGACGCACAGATTTGGTGATGTGTATTCCAGGGGAAAGCGGGTGTAAAATTCACAAATCATCCAGCTATCGTCCTAAGCAGACGTTTATTTGGGTAAGTGGGAAAGATTGCGCGACGACCCAAAAGACGTCTGTGTGGGATAGAAAGGTAGCGTGGTTAGCTTGTAACGATCCTTGTGTGATCCCTAAAGGTTGATTTCCACTGCCGCGTAATTTTTACTTGTGTAGGTAGGTAAATTTTATCCGTGTAAAGAAATAGAAGCAATGTATGAAAGGCCGCGCTAGGTTTAACTTTAACGTGTACGGGCAACCTTCCTACATTGCCTCTATTTTAGTTACGCGCGTGAAATTTACGTGCTTACGCACGTGAAAATTACGCGACAGTGGAAATCCACCCTAAGCGATAATCACAACTCAAATAAGGTTGCTTTGAATTGCAGACCAATGCCTGATAGATATGTGGAGCGGTACGGACCAATGCCAGACGGTACCAGCAGACATCCAGTATCTAAACCCCTTAGTCGACCTGTGAAGAGGAGAACGTCAATTGATGATGAAGGGCACAAGAAGAAAGGTTGGTTTAAAAAAATGAAAATCAGTGGAAAGTAACAATGCTGTTGTTTACTGACCGCGTGGAAATTTACGGGTGTGGTAATGTTCACTAGCCTCTCACACAGGCCTTCTTAAGGATTTGTCACGCATTCTTACCCACGAACATTCGTGGGGGAGGAACGCGTGACAAAGCCCCAAGAATCTCTTCGTGAGAGGCTAAATGCTCACCTGACTGTTTTTCCACGGGTCTGGTTCTTAAATTCGTGTCGAAGTGCTCGATGTGGATTTAGGCTCACTTACCCTACGTCACAATTTTCATTGCACAACTTTAGACCTACTGCCTTTGTACATCCCATGACGAGGCAAGACTAAAGAGCGTCTACAAGCATTGCCCAGTTTTATGTAAATCTCGTGACGCACAAAACGCTTTTGTAATTTTTGAGTTGATGAATGGCCTGTCGAAGGACCTACTATGCGCAGAAATCTGCCTAACAAGCTTACAAAGGCAATCGCAGGCATTGGATGGAGGAAAGTCAGTTCCGTGTGGACACTTTTTCTTTAGGGCAATCTTGCCCCCATAGCCTTTGTTACGATCGATTCCTAATGCTGACCCAAAAGGATCACAGGCTATGTGAAAGATATGGTCTCCATGAAAATTTTCCCGGGTGGACAAATGCGCGCATTTCAGCCTGCGAAAATAGGTATCTCTGGCCACTTTCCGTCCCTAGGACGTCCTGCGGTGGGGAGTTATGAGGGGAGGCTGGATTTACAGGCTAACGACGTATTCAGTCATTTTACTGGTTGTATTTATGCGTGCTTGTTTATGTCTCTCTATCTTAGCCAAGCCACTGTACCCTCAGGAGACTGTATACATAAACAAACGCTGTTACCTGGGACCCCTACTCAGTCGCGATTTGATGCGCAGTCTGCCTGATGCCGTGCGAGGCTCAGTTGTTGGACCCGAAAAACACAACGTCATGCGACTGTGCATGCAGCATCTTGTGTCAGCTTCCATAAACCCCAAACAGGTCCTCGAGCTGTTTAGCCGCGAATTCTACCAGAGCAAAAAGAACAGGTAAGAGTGTGTTTTGTCTTGCTTTGGACGAAAAGGTCACTTAACCCTTTAAACCCTAAGATCAAAATTAAAATTCTCGTTTGTTGCCCCTATTCATTTCCTACAGAAGTAGTGGGGAGAAGTTGATAAAATATCAAGGAAATTCATCTTGTGTGATCATGTCCGTAATTCTCATGACCACTCTGTTTTACAAAGATTGATATTACAAGGAGAAATTTGATGCTGATCACTCTTAGGGCTTAAAGGGTTAAACATCCAAATCCACTGTCTCCTTGATTTCGCCCAATCCTGACTCTTGAAGATTTGTTGCGACCCTCACTGTTGTTAGCCTGGTCGCAGAGGTTAAACGTCCCGGATTGGCGGGAAAGCGTTCTGACTCAACGAATTACCGGAAATGCGTTCTGAATTTCCCTTCAAGCTGATTGGCAAATGGACCATGGCTTTTTTAACAGGCCAATCATGGCGCTTACTCAAATCCTGGTACACAGGTAGGCGCCCAGATCATTAGGATTTCGGTGCTGTCTCGCGGACGGCCTTAACCAGAAATTAAGTTCCGTCTGTGTCATAGGCTACATCGTGGTCCAAGACACCGGTCGGGCGCGTTAGCTGCTGCGTTTCGGGGATACTGTTATTGGGCTAAGCTAATCACTAGGGTTCATCTTATGCGAGTCTTTATGCCGCTATAAGAATTAGCAATGTCCAGGGCGTACTATGTGATCGTAAGTAAGAAGCTTCGTGTGAAGCCTAGCTTGCCGTGAATTTCTTTACGCGGCTCAGTTTCTGGGAGGTCATGGAACCGAATTTCATTGGGGACTCGGTACTATTCCCAATAGGACTGCGGCTTGTGAAAACATCGTCGGTCTTTTACTACCTCTCCCCAATCATGACATGATAAACGTGCAATCTTTTTTGTATACTGTACTATCCTTCATAAAACACCTTTTAGTATTTACGTCTGACATCTTAGATTTCTTAATTTGGAACCTGTTAGGGCCCCAATTGGATAGTAGCTGCTAAGGCGTCGGAATAGGCTTCCGTGATAAAGGTCTCTTTCTTTGATTTTCTCTATAGCACAGCTAAGAACGCAATTTAGCTCTTCAAGTCCCAAAAGTGACCAACGTCAGTTTTCTCCCAGCCATATCCATACATCATTAAGGGAAAAGGGTGTGAGAGTTAAGATAATGATCAGCAAAGGGCAAATAATTTGATCTATTATCGAATTCGCGTAACTAGCTATTTAAGGAAATGTATGGAGATCAGTCTGGAGAACTAGTAGGTGGATATTGGAGCTGAAAGGGTTAACAGTTTGAAACTTTTTCTTCCAGGGAGTTGCAGCTTGGTGGTACAGTGTGTATAGAGACCAAGAGCAAGAATGGCAAACGACTAATGCGGCGTGTCAGGGTAGTAAACAAAGCTGAACACCTTCAGCCTTATCTCAAACGAGTCTGTGAGGTGGTGGGATGCTGTCCAGAGCTCATCAGTGCTACACGTTATCCTCAGGGGTTTTGCAGCCAAACCTGCTGCTTAAAAGGTCGGTACAAACTTTAGATTATCTGTTAAGGAACTGTCTGGCGACAAATTCATGTCAGGTCCAGTTTAGTCCTCTAATAGATCTCTTTAGCTTGTATGTTTTGTTTTCCCAATAGAGGTCCCAGGGGAACTTAACTCTTTGTCTTTTCATAATTTATGCGTAGATATGCAAGTGAATGAGACGGAATTTGAAAGAAACTTTTCTCTAGAGTATTATCACATGACCTGTATTGAGAAAACAAAACATACAAGTTAAAGAGGTCTATTCTGTCTTACATTTTTCGCTTGGTGCTACTGTAATTTTTTTTTTTGTAAAAAAGTGGTCCTGTACTTTAAAAAAAAAGGGGCTATATTAAGGGGCTATATCATGCAGTTTTAGGTTATTCCAGCTGATCCGACGACGGCGACGGCGACGGCGACGGCGACGGCAACGAGAACATCAAAAAGCAATAGTAGGGACTCTAAGATCCAACAACGCGACGGCAGTGAATTTACGTTCTTTCAGTGCCGTTACTGCCCGACTACGACCTGAAAAAACTTAATTTCATGTTTTGTAGAGGACCCACAAGCGACGACGAAATTTCTTTCCTCTTTCTGAACTTGGATATGGTTCTTCGTAATTCAAGTTTAGGAGGGTTCACCTACATTTGATCGCAAAGTTAGTGACTTGTAGTAATCAAGATGAAGAATGAAGCGAATTTACTTTTTTAGCGACGTTTTCGCTGCCCTTGCCGTTACTAATTAGGGACCTTACGAAACTATGACGGCGATGGCAAAGGGAACGTCAAAACTCTGCGCGTGCTTCACACTTTTTTGTAAATTTTTTTGCCCTCCCTACACAACTACGACGAGAAATGACCAAATTTTAAGTTTACTTGAGAATTGAGACGGTAAGGCGATAAATTCTATTATCCCTGTCTGAACTTCGGTGCGGTTATTTTTCTTCAGCTCCAAGTCTAATTTTCAGCGACGTTTTGATGGACGTCGCCGTTGTCGGATCGCAAGGTCCGTATTACCGGCTGGTGATAGAATTGATTAGAATAACAAAATAAACACTCAGAACTCTTAAAGAGAGAACATAATAGAAATGGCTAAAAAGGGAATTGTTGAGCACGAGTTGGAGTTTTGAAACCAACTTTATGCGCCACAGATAAACGCTTGTCAACGCTAAAGGTCGCTATTTGTTTATGTGGTAGGCAAGGACAACGGCGTCACATCTTCAAGCGACGGACGAGAAAGAACAACGGATTTTCCGTCTCCGGCGCACATCGCAGGTGCTCCTTTTGCCGCTACCGCCTGGCCACCAATGGCTACAGAGAGAGACACGTCTCACGATTCCATGGTGTCGTCCACGAGTAATCTACCGTCGTCTTCTGAAGCCCGTGGATCGGACGCCGCCTCTGTTCTCTTATATCAGAGCTCTAACAGTGGAAAAGACCCCCGCCTGTGGAATGTCCTAGAGGTTACGAACTTCATGTATTCGATCGGTTGCTCGAATTATGCCGATGCTTTCGTCAAAGAGGTTTGTGTATTCTTGCTTCCTTTGCTTCTGTTGCCTTTAAAAATACCATTATTGAACTTTTAACTGCAATAAAGAACACTTTTCTTCCTTCCTCAGCTGTATTATAGCTGGCGGTAAGCGAGCTCTTTCTTCTCATTGCTTTACGCTTTACCCCTCACCTCTTGCGCTTGAAAGACCAAGTAGATTGAAAGCTTACTGCATACAGTGCCTGAATATGCGAGTAAAAACTGCTTTCCATATGTCCTGTACGACTGCTGAAAAACGTTCACCGATCAGCACGATTGTATGGAAAACAACTCTTCGATAACCAAAGTGATGGCAGCGAAATCAGAATCAAAATTGCCATTCCCGTGGAAATTTAAGTTAAGCGTTGATTTATCCCTTAAAATGCCGACAGGTGGGCCAATTGACGCTGTCAAACACAGAACTAACATGGCAGTAAATAGAAATATCACACGTACGGCCGCTGGTGTGAACTTACTTCTGGTTGTCGTCATATTTCGCGGATTTTCTTCAATTTTCTCACAAGAATAAGATGTGTCATCTAGGGCCGTATCCCTTATAAAACTACAGTGGAGAGTTTTTTCTTGATGCAGTTGCTTGTGTAGTTGACATACGGATGTTACTAAGACAGGGAACGGGGAGCGGTTAACGAGCACGGGGAACGGAAAAATGAAAAATGGGGACAAAACTTAACTTGAACCCTAGCCCTGTCAATAATAGTCTGCTTCACATCCGTTCTTTGTGTTGTCACGCAACGCTCGTCCCCACCAACGGCGTGACGACGCAAAGAACGGCTGTGGAGCAGACTATATCAGTAACTTCATTTCCAATTCTCTGTTTTTTTTTCCTCGTGTTTCAATTTCCCGTTACCGTTTTAGTAATATCCGTAACATACCCCCCTCTGTTGTCTTGTTTTCAGGAGATCGATGGACGCGCCCTACTGCTGTTGACGCAAGAAATGTTGGAATCGCTAACAGAAAATAAACTGGGACCCATGACGAAAATCCAAAGCGCCGTAAAGGCCTTGAAACAAGCGTGGGGCATATGAAAATATCATGAAGATAATATCATATTATGAACTCGTCAGTTTTATTCGGAATTTCAAGCAGCACTGATTAGGTGACTGTATAATTGTTTTGTAGTAATAATACCCAAATGCTTTGTAACTAAGTATTTTATTATTTTTTTCTACTTGAACCCTTCAAGCCTTGATCAGCGTTGACATCAATGTTCTCCCTACCAGCTCGCATTCTGTTCTTTTGCCGCTGATTGGGGGAATTTTACAAGCAAACAAAAAAAGCCATGGTTCCTTCTTTTATAGTTAGGAGAAGCTACATAGACTTGTGTCGGTTTTATTTCTTCCTTTTATATTTAAAAGCCGGAATATACGAGGATTTCCTGCCGTTAGTTTAAGGGAAAATAATCTGCAGTAAATTAAAGCCAGTTTATAGATGATGTTATGATCTGCACACAGTGAAGTGCGAAGAATTTCGTTTACAAATGAGACGTGGTGGTGAAATTCTCGTCTGATCTAAACAGGTATATAAACGGGTATTTTGTTTGTTTTGTTTTTTTGTATGCCGCTCTCTGACAAAAACTGGACTTAAGACACTTGCCATTATATAATAACTTGTCACAACTATACTACATCTAAACAAAACGTTAAGTGTAATCTCATCAGAGGGCCTCATTTAATTTTAGACTTTAGATCAAATAACATTCGTATGATTTGCCGAATATCAGTTCATCTGGGAGCATGGTCTTTCTTTCTTTTTTGGTAACGCGCTTTTGATGTCAACAATCTAATGGTGATCAGTATGGATATTCTCATAACCTAAATAGTTGATTTCTTATGGTTAGTTTGATGAGATGTTGCCCTCTGACCACCACTTGGTTTGATAGGGTTGAAGTGTAATTTTGGGAGGTTCTAATTATTATAATCAGGATTATTATTAACAATATTATAATAAGTATGGTCATATAAGATGCAATTTATACGTAAATTCCTCAAAAAGATCTTGAACATAGTTGTCTTTTGCAACCGAATTCATTGCTGTTCGACGAGTATAGTCTTGTTGCTAAAATGTTTCTTTCGCGATAGTTCAGTTATATCTAAGCGTAAGCCGCAAATCGTGCATGTTTAGAATATTCTTGGCAATATTGTTCACACTTCGTGCGGCAGTACTAGGTTATAAAAAATATATTCGAACTGGTTTTGCAAACTTTTCTCCCTCTTGAAGTTATTTCAATTGGCAGTTGTCTTGAATCAGAAGACTTGCTTTAGCAATCTCTCCATCATAATCGTTAGGAACGTCTTTCCATTTGAGTAAGATATAGACCTCTCATTACCTTTTGATCCAACAAGGTCGGATAGCAATGAAATCGAATGTAGTATTCACCTAATTCCGTTCTTACATTGAGTTCTCATTTGTGACTAGTCTAAATGTTTAATGCAGTCTTCATTCGCCTTGTCGTTTTGTTGTCTTGCGACTGTAAGCGAATGATACGTCGTTCATCATAGTGCAAGTTTGTTACTCGGCAGATTTGGAGCGATCTTGTACAAGTTTTGGCCGTCGACGTCTCGGAAAGGCCTATTCTGAAACTTGACCCTCGTTTTCGTTCAAGGACGTTCAACATTTAGAATGCGCTATCTTAAAGGAGCTGCGTCACGAAATTTATCAAAATCCAATCAGTGGAAACTACCACCAAATTGACTAAAACGTGAAAATAATCACTGAAAACGTCAAAAGAAGGTATGAATAACACAGCGAATGTAAAAGGAAGCACGGATGGTCAAACTTGAAGAAGATTAAAGCGGATTGCAATTGTGATGTTTGAAAATTTGTTAGCCCAACAGTTTTTCAAAGTTTATTTTTGCTGTTTGTAACGTTTGATATAATGCTTGTGAGACATGTTTAGTGTTAGACACGAAGGTTAATTTTGTCGTTCACAAGTATTTTTTTAAGTTCCATAGCGAATAAGGATTCATAATTGGCGTTATAAACAAAATGAACGAGCCAGCTGTGACACAGCCCCTTTGATATCAAAAAGGCTGTGAAACTGTTCAATTTGCTTTTAAGTAGCTGTAACATCTGATGTTTTATTAACGTATGTTGGACTGTGTTCCGTTACGTTTGACGAACGCTCCCAGAATTCTATACTAGCGGCGATATCACGATGGGAACGAGGCGAACAGCCGCATTATATTACCCCTTCCTTTCCCTCGTTTGCACGACTGTTAGTCAAAAGAATATTTCACGGCGTATGCCCAAATGAAGTACCAGCTATTAGACAATCCGTAGACAGGTTTTGCTGCCTTTCTTGGTAAGAGAAACGCAACAGGCGGTTAGATTTGCTACAAAGTCTAATGAACGTACAGAATTGTCAAAGACGTACGCGAAATTGTAGGCTGTGATAATGTATAAAAATCTCCATTACTAGATTTAAATTAGTTGAGGGCTTTTTAAAGTGTAATAATTGCGTAGTTTAAGAGCTTTATTTATGCTTAAGATGTTAAATAGCGAACTTGTTTAGTTTAAGGACGTGTGTAAAGCACCGTGAAGTTTTCTAGAATTGTGAATATCTAACTAAATCCATAAATTCTTGTCTGTCCCCTTGCCTCCAAAGAAAACTCGTTTGAGTTGGAATGAAGAGGGGCGATTCACGTTTTTGTGTCTTAGTTTTATCTTGCACTGAATGATTTCAACCACTGAAAAATTGGACAAATCTTGGCCATTCATACGAAAAGCCACTGAGCTGTACTTTCCCGTGGTACCTTTGATGTGAGTTCGCATGGTACCATTTGTGACGCTGTGTAAACTGGTGCTAAGTCTACTAATGAAATCTTACAGTGTGACCATACAAACGATAGCTACTGTCAGGACTGTCCTTTGCTGCCACTTAGTATGCTGCTGAAATTGGTGGTTCTAACTTAGTATGTGAACGGAATCGTGAAAGTTGACTACTGAGGAGTTTTCTTCGTCGTCGTCTTGATTATGATGGTATACAAGGTGGAGGTTAGGGACTCTAGCAGCAAAGAAAGCACTTGAGATCTTTGGGTTTGTGTTCAAGCTCAATCAAGGTATTTCTTTTCAAACGAGTCACCTTCCACTTTGTCGCTCTCCATCCAGGTGTATATGAAAATGGAAACTGAACGAAGTTGTTTTCCGGTGAGGTTCAGCCCCGAGTTCCAAACCCTTTATATAGCTCATTCAATAAAGGTTGCTTTGGGCATTGGGAAGCTATTGTTTGGGGTCATTGGGTTTAAGAGCTTTTCATTGTTTCGAAAAGTGGTCACTCAACGCGATGCGATTGGCTTAAGCATTGCATTGTTTATCCAATCCCAAGTAAAACCAAAGCCAAAGTGACCTTTTTGATTTAGTCAGCCACATGTATACCATTTTTTTGATTGGTTCAAAGTATTGTCTGTGTCCTATTTCAGACACCTTATTGAGCTGAACTCCAGATTCCAAAGCCCAGGATTTAGCTGATTCTTTTGACACCAAAGGTACCCCTTTCAAGCTGAACTCCGGACTCAAAGCCCAGGATTCCTGATTCTACAGGCAAAAATTTCCCAGATTCCGGAATCCGGCATGTTTCACCCGACTCACCGAAAATTATTGCGAAAGTAACTAAATGCACCTCTAAAAAAAATTAAAACATGGAAGCAATTAACAGTCCTGTTACTACCGACGTACCTTTAAGAGGATATTACTAGTCACTCTGGCCGAAGAGGATGGTATTTAGTTCTAGCTGGACGGATCTGAACGAACTGGTTCTGATCATGACATCGAGGACCAAATTAAAAAAAATATGAACCGAGCCCGGGGGAGGGGACTCCCGATAAGGGCCTGTACGAGGAGGCTCAGCCCGAACGGGGTAGCTTATTCAGGCTTCAGGTATATCAAAGGGTAGGGAATTCACGAGTTGAGTTACTTGAAAGGGTAATAAAATCTATCGTTTTAGTCAGTTATAAAGTTCCCTTGATAGGCTAAGACATTGTTTTTGGAGCAACAGATGTGATACTATAGTGGTTCTTTACCTATCCATATGTTTTCACCTGGGCATAAGAAAGGAAAAATCTCTGAATAGCGTTTCTCGAGAATGACTGAATAGTTATGACAACGGCACTTTAAATGGCGCTTGGATGACGATGACTGCGCACGCGCATATGATGTTGGTTGTAACGAAACAGCTCACACGTTATCATTAGAATTTGAAGGTGTGTAGCAACATTTTCCCCTTTTAGATAAGTAGACAGTACAAGCTATTTTCTATGGTAAATATACATCTGAAAGTTTTAAGGTGGATTCCTTCAGAAGTGAAAGAAAGAAGTGAAAGATATGCCTCCTCCACTTCCACTTCCACTTCTTCTCTTTGTCTACTTTTTTTCTGCAAAAAGAAAAAATTAGTGTGAATTAAAGAAAAGGATCGAATAAATGGTCCGTATGAGGATCGAACTCACGACCTTTGGGCGCCATCAGTTCGAGCCAAAACGTGACGTCACCACACGAAGAGACCCACCCCTCAGCTTTTTTGGCGAAATTTGTGTCGGCAGCCAGCGCGTCGAGCCTGCCGACTGAGCTAACGGACCTTGGCGTTATCAGCACCACGGTCTGCCGACTGAGCTAACGGACCAAGCTCGCGCCGATTAGAAATTTTGACCAGTAACTTTATAATCCACTGATTGAAATTCAAATGAAATGCACGTTAAGAATAATTGTATTCTAAAATTCGGTCTTTCAAGTGTCCATGAAAAAAATACTTAAGAAGGGAACTTATTTTTATTGAACAGTAATGCACCGCCACAAAAAGTCTTCAAGCAGTGAGAGAATAATAATCCGGTGTACCCAGATCTCCCTTGGCCAAGACAGAGTGAGATTTAATTTGGGCACTTATTTTGCGCTGACGTTCTGGCGGCCAAGCTGTTGGCACAAGAACAGAAAAGTTTTTCTCCTCTGGGAACTAAGCACCGCGAAAAAAATGTACATAAATAAATAAATAAATAAATATATTTTGTCCAGCATAGCTGTCCGTTGTCACGCCGGGTAAAACCAATAATAAAAAGAAAAAAAGTGGTACTTTACTTCCAGACAAGGGGCATTTATGGTAGGTATCCATCGTTAAAGGTGATAAATCTTTCGCGGTGGCCTGTTGGTCTAGTGGCATGATTCTCGCTTAGGGTGCAAGAGGTCCTGGGTTCGACTTCCGGACAGGCCCAAAATAACAGTAGCTAATTTAATGCCTGCGTGATTTTTTTTTGCTTATCATTTTTACATAAATTATGACCTAAATTTGCAAACCGCTGAATTTCTCGCATTGGGTCTTCGCGATTTTGGTGAAACTCTGTTCAACGCAAGGCACTAATGCGCACTATATGTAGCCGAGAGATTTTCACCAAAAAATGCCGGCAACAGCAGAATTTCGACTCAGACCCCAAAGAGGCGTGGCACTGTAACCACGTGATATTTACTCCCATCGCCAAAAATTTTATGCTATGTTGTAGATTGATCTATACGTTATCCATGCTATATGTTAGACTTAGGATCAAAGTAAACGAGGGGATACCAGAGAGTTTCAAAGTAGGATGGTACCCCCACAAAATAACTGGGTCGAGTCACCTTCATTGAAATTAGGAAATAAGAAATTTGCATATGGTCACCTTTTCAGTACAAATCAACGCCCGCCCTGCAGCTAAGCATTTTCTTCTTATTATAGCGTAACTAATCTAACAAACCTATTCCTGACCACTTATAATTTTAACGTGTATTGTTTCCTAAGGGCGTTGTTGAATTTATCATCATAGCGCGAACAGAGAAGTCGAAGATTCATAGACTTTATTAAACAAGCCTGCCAAGTAGGTCATCTATCAAACAGATGGTACTCGTAATTCTAAAAGCAATTTCTTAAGATCTCTTTGTAACTTCCTTTTCAGCTGGTATTTCGATGTTATTGTTCCCAGTGCAAAGTCCAGTCCTGCGCCAAATAAGCAAGCAATCAATTGACGGAAATTAAGATCTGTAACCTGACAAAACGCCGCCTTTTCGAAGCAATTCCAGATATGTCGCGCCTGACATATAATGTTCTAAAATGTTCTGCAATTGGCCGGTGTTAGGATTACTGGAACCGAAACCAATTGTGGAATTGCACACATTTTAGGCATCCTACTGATGGACAGCTACGACACGTAGATATTAATATTTTTAGCAACTACTATAATGCAGTCTGTCCACTTTGAATATAATCTTCACTTTGAATAGAATACAGTTGACTCCCGAAAACTCGAACCTCCCACTAACTCGAAGTAATTTTTACTTCCCTTCAGGACATCTCTACATCATTTTACCCTCGATGACTCGAACTATGTTTTAAGTGCCACTTTAAAACCAACTTTACCTCATCCAAGTGAAACGACAAAGAATTTTCCCTTATCGGTGTTTTGTCATGAAATTTAAAGAGTTCCTCTTAAAAAATGATACGCATTTAACAATGCAAAAAATTCAAAACTTTGTTCACGAATTTGTGATGTTCTCACGGTGCAAGTTTTCAGAAAAAATAATAAATAAATAGTAAATTAAAAACCTGTCAATTTTCAGATGAGTTCTCCCTAATTGAACATGTTGACTTATGGGGTAAATTGACAGAAAACATATGACGTTTGCTCAACTAAAACTACGCTCTCCGACGTGGTACTATGTTGCAACTTGTAACTAATTTATAAATTGGTTGGAGTCTAGCGAAACATTTGTTAATATAATCGTACACCTGTCAACTTACTTTATGTTTCTTACCACACGTTTCTGATAGGTGTGTTAAATAAACAAACGCAATTTATACAACATAAAAACCTTGTGTGTCATAGCGGAAAAGAACATTTTGGTGAAGCAGTCAAAGTAAGGCACCTCGTCTCCACAGCAAGAAGAATTGTGAACTTGACGGAAGGCGGAAACGTCACTGTGATGAAGACACTGCTTTCTGCAAACATACGTGTAGATAAAAACATTGCGATAGAAGCTGTAAATATTGTTTTCTCCATTACGGCATCTCTGGGCAACATTCTGATCCTGATTGCTCTTCGCAAAGTGACTTCTATTCATCCGCCGACAAAACTGTTGTTTCAATGCTTGGCCATCACTGATCTTGGCGTTGGTCTCATTTCCCAGCCACTCATGGCCACCCTGATGCTCCTGGTTGATAATATTGACATCAAAATTTGGAAGGTCTTGTTTTTCTATCTGTCGTGGTCTTTATCCATTGCTTTTTGTGGAGTATCGGTTTTCACATCAACTGCCCTGAGTGTGGACAGACTTCTCAACCTGTTTTTGGGGTTGAGGTACAGACACGTTGTAACACTGAAGCGAGCTCGTGCAGTTCTTGCCTGTGGTTGTTTAGCCGTTCTATTGCTTATGTTGGTTTGGAATTTTAGGCCAAAAACCACCTGGATTATAATGGCAATTTTATCGACACTTTGTCTCTGTATTTCGCTGTTCTCTTACACGAAAATCGTCCTTAGACTTCGTCAACATCAGTCCAGTGTACAAGACAATGTCCAGCAAGGACAAGCGAACACAGGAGTAATTCCATTGAACTTAAAACGATATAAAAGAACTGTTGTAAGCATAGCTTTAGTGCAGCTGGCATTATTTATATGCTATTTTCCTTCTAGTATTGTCTTTATTTTGATTCATCTGAGGTGTATTCCCCCTGGTATTGATTTTATATTGTTAATTATACTGCAACCCTGGTTTTCCTAAACTCGTCTTTAAACCCGTTTCTGTACTGCTGGAGGATCAAAGAAATACGGCAAGCAGTGAAAGCCACAATCAGAAGGTTTTGCGCGTGTTTAAGTCAGGGACCATCGACTCTATCTACGAATCAGTGAAAAATATTGTGTAGCAGCAGCTCATTCTCTCTTGGTAATACGTAGTGTCAACTGAAAACCAATAACCGAAGTTAATAACTTGAAAGAAATCAATAAAAACAATCATGCTTTAAAGGTTTATCGATATTTGAGAAAAAATGATAATAAATAAATAGTAAATTTTCTCCATGTTTCAGCTACCAGCACCTGATTCCTCGTATTAAGAATAATATGTGCGCATTTCATCGAAAGTGCTAATTTCCAAACTTTTGGTTTCTGTACTGCTTAACGTTAGTGCGGATTTTTTTATTTTATCTTTACCCCTGATTCAGGCAATGGGGTGAGGGGGGCGAAGGGTGCTTTTGAGTCCCCCGATAAAAAGTTGAATAACTTCAAAACCGTTCAATCTATTACCACCAAACTTAGCGAATTTCCTAAAATTTATCTGGGTTGGATAATAGACTCGAAATTAATAAGAGAAGGAGAGAAACAAGCCAAAGCAAGCCAAAGTATTCAATTCGATAACGTCTACTTTGATTCCTAGTCGAATTGGAATTTGAAAATGTTGTTTTTTAGGGAGAGGGGAAAAACCGAGTACCCGAAAAAAAACCACTGGTAGCAAAGGAGAGAAGCAACAACAAACTCAACCAACCCCCACATGGCGTCGACGCCAGGATTTGAACCCGGGCTACGTCAGAGAGAGGCGGAGAGTGCTTTCGCTACTGCGCCACCCTTACCCCTCCCTTAAAATGGCGATAGATTTATCACCTGCCCAAAACTTAAGAAAGAACTTTTTCCAGAAAGTGGTACTTAAATATAACATAGGTGGCATTTTGTGGTAAACATCGATCGGAAAAGGAAAACAAATCAAATAAGAATTGATCGAAGTGATAAGTGTGGCCTGTTGGTCTGGTAGCATGATTCTCGCTTAGGGTGCGAGGGGTCCAGGGTTCGACTCCTCGACAGGCCAAAAATGACAGTATCTGCCCTCTGAGCTAACGGACCAAACAACGGTTTAACAGGTTTAAATGATGCCGAATAATTCCGGATTTTTCGTTAGAGCAGGATTCCGGATTCCAAGCAAAATTCCCTGATTCTGTATTTCACAATAAAAAAATTTCGTAACTTACCTTATAAATATATATGGGGCGAGTCTTTCATTGGACTGCACTGAAAACTGTACAAAATTAACGATGTAATTCAGTCAGTATCAGATTGTTTTCGGGTTAGCGCTGATCGGCCTTTGAACAACTGAGTCCTGGTGCTAAATATCTATTAAACCCGGTGAACAAAGATGAAGCAGGGATGTGTTCACCTGACAACAGCGTTTTTCAGATGATTTAATGCCTGCACCATCAACTACATTAATTGTTCCTTATGACTGTAGGTGACCAGGGGTGCTTACCATTTACACAAACCACCCGGGTGGAAATCTTGTGCATAAACATCAAACTATAATATATGATGTGGTGGGAGAACTATCCGCTACAAAGTATATACAAATCAGCTGAACAGACTAAAAAGAGTAGAATAAATGGCATCCCCTCAAATCACAGCCGATGTTTTCTGACGCTTCCCAACGGATCCAAACGGAATAGGGTGAACCATTTGATTCTCCAAACAGAATTTCCGGTTTTCCCAAGTAAATGGTAAGTTCTCCAGCACTTCCGTCCAGAATGCCCCTAGCATTCAGAAATGCCTCTTGAACAACTGTTAAGACCCACAAAATCTTCCCCAAAATTTTCCGTGCGATTGTCCAGTTGGATCGCGAATCCAACTTGTTTGCCCATCTCGATAAGAAATCAAGATAGGCGTTGGCGGTTTCTGGAACTCGGTAAAAAATCTGCAAACAGCCTTGTCTAACTTGAATTATAAACGCGACATAGGTTGAGCAGGATTTGAAAGCGTATATAGAAAAAAAAGTTGCCTATTGCTATCAATGCCGTTCAGTTTAAAACTGTAACCTGTATGCATACACTCACTTATATAAGACGAACACTTGGTGTTGGTCCCTTCCTAATTTCGATTCCTTTTTTAGTCATTTAAGAGCCTGTTTACATGGAGGTGGGGGACCCTAGATAAGTCAGGTAACATGTAGCGGCTCACTCCACCCAACATGTAAACGTGATCAAATTAAAATGAGAGATTATATGGACAGGCGGGTTACCCCACCTAAGCAGGTTACCTCACCTACTTTGGGTCCTTCACTTCCATGTAAACAGGCCCTTAACTTTACTCTTAGAAAGTGAAACGGTTACCTCCAATCTCCAAGGCGGACAGATGGAGTCACTCTCGCGGTGACCGTCTTACAGATTTACCAGACTGTAAAAACAGTCAACATAACAAAATTGCATGTATATGTAACATTTATCAGTCTACACTAGTTATAGCTATCGCTAAGTGACAACGAGCGAAGACCTTATACGCGCGCGCTGTTCAATTTGTGTAAAAAGAACGTTCTTGGAGGTTCCATGAAGGTCAAGCTGCCTGGTCTAACTTTTCGCTAGCAGCACTCTGTATTGAGGGGCACCCAACGAGAATATAGTTCAAAACCACCTAAACATCGCATTGTTAAACGTATTTTAGTATTTAAACGGCATAGGGCATATTTTTATCCCCTAAAAATTTTTCATCTGTTCGGACTTCCTAGCTGAAAGTCTAGTGATCCGAAAATTGTAGGGATTAAAACTTACCTTTTCGAAAATTTCACCCAGAAAAAAGGCTCCCGAAAATTCTAGGTGACCTTTTTAGGGTAAAAAATCCGTTAAAAATGGGCTATTATACCATTTTTTAGATGTTCGGAAATCATGCCTAGGAGAGGCAGGCAAGCAAGAAATTTTACGACAAATGTTCCGAAAATTCTAGATCTCAAATCGTCTTCCGAACAGATATTTTCCGAAAATTGACGTTGGGTGCCCCTGTGTATTTTTTTCCTAGTTCTTTTCTAACGATAATGATTTTTGAGTTTGTGATACAGTAAAAACCCGCAATTAAGAACCTAAAATTTAAGAACCTGTTAGCCTAAAATTGGTCATTTATACCCCCTATAAAAAAGAACCTATTTAGCCTAAGAAATTTAAAACAGGTTCTTATTTTCTAAAATCAATATACTAGTACATTACAGCTGCATTGCAAGAATCATATTTGAAGCAAAAAAGGCAGATTGCCATTGTTGTAAAAATGTTTTTTAAAGAAAAATGGGTGCAAGATATGTAGACTTACAAAGCATACTAAGCAATATGTAGATCAGCACACCATTATGCATTAAATATTATATATATATTCTATTCTATTATATATTCTTAAATGTTTTTGGGGGTGTGGGGGGTGGGGTGGGGATGAAGAAAATAAAAATATAGGCTAATGACCAACTTGTTTGCAGCTGTGTTTTAATTGTTTTTTCTCCAGGATTAAGAACACATTTTAAGAACCTAAATAGCCTAAAATTCTGTTGACTACCATTTATATAAGAACCCGTTTAGGCTAACTCCTAAAAATGTAGGTTCTTAGTTGCGGGTTTTTACTGTATTTGTCATGTAAGGGTGAACAAAATGACTTAAACTTGAATTAATTAAGCAACAGGTATAGATGAAATTTGCATATAATGTGCCACATGCTAATTTCTGTATTAGAAGGCATATAAATTAAAATTCAAAAATGGCCATGGCGAAAGAAAGGAAATCAAAGACTCTTTCGTTGTCAAACGAGCAATACAAGGAAACTCTTCTTAAAACCATGGACCAGCTACGAAAAGATGATGTTCTTTGCGATGTAAGGCTCGTTGTAGAAGGTCAGAGTTTCCTCGCTCATCGAAGCATTTTGGCTTCAAGCAGTCCGTATTTTCGAGGTTTGTTTACAAACGACATGAAAGAGAAAGAAGTCATGGAGTGTAGTTTAGACCAGTTAAAGTCTTCTGTTATGGAGGCTCTACTTTGTTACGTTTACACTGGAAACGTGACGCTTACTGAGGAGAACGCACAGGATCTAGTTGCCGCAGCTGATTATTTAATCATTCAAAGCCTCAAGGATATTGGCTGCCAGTTTTTAGAAAGTTCCCTATCGCCCAGTAGATGTTTCGCTTTGAGAGATTTTGCGGAAAAGTTCAGCTGCAAAGCGCTAAAATCTTCTGCTACAATTTACATCGTAAAACACTTCAAAGAGGCCTGCGACACAGAGGCTTTCAAATCCATAGATTTCGAGGTTCTCTCCGAGATCATCCAGCGCGATGACCTCGAGGTCTCGAGCGAAGAAGATGTTTATGAGACGCTTATAACGTGGGTGAAACATGATTTGGAAACTCGTAAAGAGAATTTTGAGGAACTATTCAGCAAAATCCGTTTGTCATCTTTGTCAAAGCATTATCTGGTTAACAAAGTGGAAAAAGAAGATCTTGTAAGCAGTAGCTTTTACTGCACGAAGCTCGTGGTGAAAGCTTTGAGTTCTATTGTCCTGCACGCGTATGATGATTTCGACCTGCCACGAAAGACACTTAAGCGGCATTTGAATGTTATCACAGTGTGCGGTGGAAACCTTAGCAAAGAGGCAGCTTGTTACTGCCCCGAAACGAAGAAGTGGCTGCCACTTGCAGATATGCTGCACGCGCGAGATGAGCACTGTACCGCTGTACACGACAACATACTGTACGCATTCGGTAGCACACAGTTGGAAAACGGCCAGTCTGTTGAGCAGTACAACGCCCACACTAACACCTGGGTAGCAGTTGCTAACATGCCTCAATTACGCTGCGCTGCCACTGCTGTAAGATCCGGGGATCACATCTTTATCATTGGTGGTAGGATACCGAATGGTGGCTCTGCTAAGGAGGTCATGCGTTATGACCCAGACATTAACCAATGGTTTATTGAGACACCCATGTCTGTCAAGCGTGCCGGTCTGTGTTCAGCAGCTTGTCAAGGCTTCGTTTATGCCATTGGTGGGCTAAGCGACAGAAACGAGTTTCTGCGAATTGTCGAGCGATACAACACGAAGAAAAAGATATGGACCAGCATCGCACCCATGCAAATTGCTCGCTATTTTGCGTGCGCAGTGGAAATGAACGGAAAGGTCTTTGTCATCGGTGGCCAATCTTCAACAGGGGCATATTTATCTTCTTGTGAGGCGCTTGATCCAGTGACTGAAGAGTGGTCTTTGCTTCCCAATATCTCCGTCCCCCGCCAGGCGGCTGGTATCACCAGGCTTGGAAACAGGATTTTCCTGTTTGGAGGCTGTAACAACTCTGGGAGTCTAGACAGCGTAGAATGTTATGATGAGCGTAAGAGAAGTTGGGAGACAGTCACCAAGATGCCCTCCAAGAGATCTTGGGTCCAGTGTGATGTGCTCAGAGTGGCCAAGGAACTTCTTCAGATTAATTAAACACGACAATATCCTAAAAATTCTTGGTACTACCCCTTCCCCCTCGCGAAAAAAAGCAACAAACCAAACCAAACCAAACCAAAAAACATCAAAAAAGAGAAGAGAAATTGATACGCTATTCCCGTGGTACAATAATAACCTTGCTAAGAAAGAACACGTGACATCCAGTTAAACGCTTGATGAGGGAGATACTCCTTGTACATGTAGAACCACGAATGCTTTAGAAATCGTACTTTGTGTAACCCTGGTGCATAGTGTAAGCTGACGAAATTATTATATCTCGAAACCTTTCGGTTTTTACAAGGAAATTTGCTTTCGATCGGTAATTTAAGATTTTGACCTCCAGAATGAGGAAAAGGCGAAAGAAATCAAACATTACGGGTAGACAAGTATAGGATATAGGAAATTTACGAGTTCAAGCCGATATGACAGAGAGCCCTTTGATTAAAATATTTTGAAACGGGCGCACCCTATGGCTACATCATTTTAGTCAGCTGTTAAACATTACAGGGAAAATGACTAGAAGATTTCACGATTTATTCTTATTACGTCAGTATGTTTAAGGGGTGCATTTTTACGAGCGGGGTCCTTTTTTGTTTCTGTCAAACTTGTAGTATATAGATAACCGGCGTAGCAAACGTGGGTTGTCTAGGGCAAAGGAGGAAATCTCGAAGACGCACGAGGAGAGAAAAGGAGAGGAGGCCTCCTCTTCCCTTCGCGTTTCCCCCTTGCGCGGCCAGTAAAAAAATTAATAATGATAACTGGTGCCTGTTACGCAGGCTAGCTAGCTGATATAAAGAGGTAAGGGTTGGACTCGGGGCGCCGCCCTTCCCATATAAATCATATCGTTGTTGAGTTAAGCCCATACGCCCCCTCAAAACTCAGTTTGAAAGTACGTCTTTTATCGTTAACCAAACGGTACTCAGACCCTCCATTTTTCTTTTGGCCTGCGAGGAAGTTGGGTCTTCTTAATGAAATACAGTCAACTCTCTCATAGCGACCACTTCTCGTAAGCGACCACCTCCCGTAAGCGACCACTTTGCAATTAATCCTTTTGTTTCTCAATTCAAACACTGTTTCAAAAACTCTTTCGTAAGCGACCACTACCTAAATTTCCGACCGCGACCACTTTTTGACCCAGAAATTTGATATATTCTTTTGTTTTGTGTTTCCGGTAAGCGACCACCCGGCATGATCACGTATGATTGTAAGAAAACCGTTGCTCGAATGTCACAAAAGTTAATTTTTGAATAGTGTTGACCAAGTTTGCTGACAGATTATAGCAGTTGACCAGGCGCACTACGACTGCGATGCATTTTGGATTCAAAATTTTCAAGATGGCGGCGAAGGTCGAGAAATTTCGCAGGTTATATGCTTTATTTTTCAATAGATACAGTTCTTTCCTTCGATAGTTTTTCTCGATTTCACAAGCTAATATTTGTTTACATTTTTTCTGTGAAAAAAAACAAATCAATATTCTTCATTTCAATCTAAAACGTGGAGCCCGAAGATTCCTCCTGTAAGAGCATGAAATTTGAACCCGGTTTTTAAGAGGCTATAATTTCCATTATATTGCCCGTCGAAAGTAGAGGATAGTTGTAAGTGTTTCTACAAACCTTGTTCTACGCTAATTTTTTATCGCTCCCCAACGCGCCCCACGTTTTGTGATACTTTTTCCGAATTGAAACCGGCATGTTTTCATGGGAAAATGTAGCCTCGCGAAGACCAATGTGACATGTTACGAAGTGTTACTGTTGTAATCACAAGCTGATCACAAAATAGCGGGGCAGCGGCGACTGGTTCCTCCAAACAATAGCATTAGGTGAGCATAAAATGTTCGAAACTGGTATATAAATAGGCTGATGAGTACTCTGATGTAGGAATGTCTGTTTTTGTAATAGGACTAAAAAATTAAGCATAATAAAATTGCAGTCATACATGTGACTTTCTTTATGCAGGTATAAAATCAGTAGGATTAGAATCACAGGTATTAAATTAAAAGATAAAATTGATTATACAGTTAAGCCCTGTGCATTTTGAAACTAGCAATCTACTTCCAAGATTGGTGTGTGTTGTTGTGTGGATGTTATGACTTTGTCAGTTTCTTGCCTAGTCCCTGTTTTATTCAGTGGTGATTAGCCTCCATAGCAGGCATTTAAAAGGAAAGGGAGAGGGGTTTTGGGCACAAGAGAAATGCGAAGAGTGCACGAGGAAGGAAGGAGTGATTTCAACATTTACCTGGTTGATGTTTATAATGCAAAAAACAATTAGCCTCCTGTATGGCAGGCATTTCCCTCCCTCCTTCCCTCACATTTCTCTTGCACCAAGACCCACTTTCCCTTTTCTTTGAAATGCCTGCCACACAGGCTAAGTGATGTCATTCAATCTGTTTACCCATTTACACTGTTTAATATATATCAAACAATTTGCATATTTTGGTGGCTTTAGTTAAAATATAAATTGCTTGATCATTGAATGTGCTTTTGATATTGGAAATCCAAGGCTGAAAAAATGGTGACAGGGAAAGGAAATAGAAAAAGTGGAACAATGGGGCAGTAAAATCATGAGACTAAGAACCTGAATTAACTAAGTAAGCCTAAACAGATTCTTATATAAATAGTAGTTAGCACAAGTTTAGGCTATTTAGGTTTTTAAATGGGTTCATATTTTCTGAAGTAAAAATGTAGCTAAGAGTATTTGCATTTCACCTTATTCCTCATATAAAGTCTGCATACCAAATTAGAAGTTATGTGAGAATGGACATAAAAAGAGGAATGTATTTAAATTTAAACATTGGCATTTACATTGCAGTTGGAGTGATAAGACAGCTTTGTTTCCAAAGAAGATTCTAAATGTTGATTTATCTCTGCTCAAGTGTACAGAATTTTTTCATAGATTTCAAAAATAAGAACCTGTTTCAAATTTTAGGCTAAACAGGTTTTTATATAGAGGGGGCTCATCTGGCATAATTTTATTTTAGCTGAACAGGTTCTTGAAATTCAGGTTCTAAGTTGGGGGGTTTTACTGTACCACTAGGATCCACCTCTGCAATAACTGGTAACCCAAAAGCCCTCTTTACGGACAACCGCTTCATACAGTCACCTGATCAAGGCTGTGCTCTAGCAGAGCCCTGTGGCCCCTGGCACCTAACTTTTGCTTTTGGGTGACTAGAAAATCTCAGACTTTTCATACAAATCATATGCTGGGCAGCCTAGATTTTACAGGTTCAGAGAACTAGGCTCCTTTCAATGTTAGAGCACAGCCTTGCTCATCATTACAGATAGCTTGCTTTGTTCCCTGGAAAAAAGCCCTTAAATTTTCTCTAAATTAAGATGGTTAATTTCTACGGTCCCCTCAGTGTCTGTATAACAGAGTTGACTGTGAGTATGATGAGACCTATGACACCATATTTAAATTATAAAATTGGGGTGAGGAGAAAGGAAAGGGGTCTCAAGCTATGTTGCCCCAGCCCTGATTACAGTAGATTTGTAAACATGTATGAATTTCACATTTTGAAGAGTTTTTATAATCCAAAAAAATATGTGATAACATGTGTTTGTACATACTGACACAATCATTAAACAAATATTGGCTGCAGCTTTTAAAATCTATTGACTGCATCAGGCTTTGTAATCACAAATATGCCATTTTCAGTTTCAATCCAGTTATAAGACATTCTATGACTCATACCAATAGAAAAATATGGCAAATAAAGATGCTCAATATTATATTATCTATAAAGAGGACACAAGTTCACTGTACACAAATACTCTCTACTTTATTTACTTGTCTTCATGTGATGATAAATACAGATGTTAAGCAAAACGAAATGCACACTTGGTGCCAACAGAGAAACAAGTCCTCGAAACGATGACCCCCTCAACTTCGATTCTCTTATTACAGCTAGCAAGTGAACATCTTGCAATGCTGAATGACAAAACAAAATAAGCTCACTGTGTTTAAATACCGTTGCCGGGTATTCTGAAGAAGCTCCTAGTATTTTATGAGTATATCACAGCTATGCACATCAGTACCTCTTAGCACTAGTTGCACTGATTTCACGGTGAATTCAAAAAATTTTCGGCGAACCGCGGGTCTTACCTCCAGTGCTTTTCATGATTGAAGCATTGAACAAAGCGTTTCTGTGCCGACTTTTCTCGGTCAGTTGCAAACAGGATGCAAGTGATTACGAACAAAATACACCAGAATACACTTATCAACGGAATGAGATTGTTTTTTCCCTGAGAATTGGACAGACTTTCTTTTTCAAGGGCTTCCGGAGGACATTCAAAGCAAAATCGTATATATCTACAGCGTAATTAACGAATATTCACTCCGCAGTCGTGATGTTCACTCCACGCCATCTTGAGACAAATGATCAGATTTTGAATACCGCCCATGATGCTTAGCGATCGTAGTGCGCACACCGCCTGGCAGTTGACTTACAAAAAAGATGTCTGTAATACGATCTCTATGTAAAAAAGTGGATTGTCACATACATGCATGTTATGTACAAAGTTTCATCAGTTCCAAGCGCTATTCGAGTTAAACATTATTAGAAGTTCTCTATTTGCTTGTAAGATAATAACTTTACGTAATTACGTTCATCAGTTCAAAGTGAGTTCTTTTTCTTGATTTTTCCCATAGACGACCACCTCCCGTAAGCGGTCGTGCACCAAGGGTGGTCGCTTACGAGAGAGTTGACTGTATAAATGATTTTTGCCTGCCACTTGAAAGCTGGCTGGCCTTTACTTGACAAATGCACGTAGCAAAAGACTCTAAATTCCAAAGGAGGAATGGTGAAATTTCAAGATACATCAACAGTTTCAATTTTCATTCCCGGTCTAAGTAATAGCCAAGCTTCAAAAAAATCTCCACGTTTTCACAATTTTGTCACGGAAGTCCCACACATTGCCAGGGAAAATTCAACTGTGCAGCGGATTTTTAAATGAAATGGAAACACTTTGTGTAAGCTAACATAAGCTGGCCACATTTTCGTCGATGAGGAAGGTGGTACAAATTTCTGTTCGTCGGGATTTCTAGCCGTCACGGGCGAAGGATATTTTAACAGATTTTTCACGCAGTTGTGCTGAGTTGTGTGTGCTGGGAAGCGCAAAGAATGACTTGTACCATTTGACCGTTTGGACCTCTACGTTGTGGTTCTTACATTTTGCTGTTCTGAGTAGAAGCAGAAGAGCCGTAAGGCGAAATTTGTCGAAAAACACAAATTTCCATTGTTTTTGAGGAGTCGCTTTGAACAGTGTGTTTGGAAAACAGACGGTCTTTAATAATGGAAATACATTCACATGTTTTGAGAGACTGTACTAGTACTTTTGGACCTGTGAACAAAGTTATGGTTGAGCCGAGCAAGGGAGATGACGATTTCTAACACGGTAAGGGAAATTTTCATACATTTGTTCGTAATTTTCTACACGGCAATTTTAAATCTAAGTTGAAACAGCGACGCGATTCGCATAAAGGTCGTGTGAAATTCCACTTCGTATTCCAATATGGCGGCGGCACCCTGGGGACGAGGTTGAATGGCGAGTGAATGTTTGCCATGCTTTCTTTTACCTTGATTGCAGTTAAATTTTACACTCAGGTAGATTAAGGCCTTAATTTCACCAAATTTAGTCTTAACTTTGTTAAATATCGCTCATTTTCGCTAAAAATTTGCCAAAGCCTGTTCCTCTATCAGTTTTACCACCTCAGCTTATGCACTTATGCATCGGTCAATCGTAGCTGCGCCCAGACCCCCCCCCCCCGGTTGAACCCCGGGAATTAGCATTTTTTTTTTGCCTTGGATGGCAAGTTCCCGGGGGTGGGGATGATGATTTTTTGTTTCAATTAACGTCTTCCTTTGTAATAGTGCTAGGATTCTAATATTAAGATTTCATGCCGCAACGACATGCACCAGTTTATGGTTTTAGTACTGATATAAAATTATTGACACTAAAATTAATAGAGCGCTGCAAAGTTATATGTTATGAATAGTTTTATAAATATGAAAGGATGTTCTTCAAAATAATAATATCAACACAAATTTGATTCAATACCCCAAAAACGTTGATTCACATCGATAGCTCCAATTTCGCTATGTAATTCTGGCTTGATAAGCAATGAAGAAATGGATGCATAAAATCAAGGACATGCCTTTACAGCCTTTTTCAATTTGTTCCTGTCCTTGACAGACGAGCTAATCTGCTTTTTTTCCAGTAAACCTTCTGTGACTGTCTGTGTAGTTATATTCTAATAGGAAACCGTGTACGTGTCAAAAGCTTGGCGACTGCCCCGGGGTTGACAAATGCCCAGCCCCTGGGCAGTGTTAACTTTGCAAATGCCCCACCCTTGGGACTGACAAGGCAGGCAAATGCCCCATAGTAGACAGGGGGGGGGCTGAGCACAGGTGGAATTGACTGATGCATTACAAGAAGGCAAAATGACAGTTTAGAGCGGCTACAAGACAATGTAACTACAAGGAAGGAATCACCTGTGCATGATGTGAAGCGTTTCTTTCACTGTGATGAACCAGAGCAGCAATTTGAGAGTGGAGAGCAAAGAGGAGGGAACAATGGCTGTAGTTCTTGAAGTGGTGATTCCTGCAGATACAGAGACCGAACATGTAGCTTAAGGAACCCACATCTGTCCCTAGAAGACCGATGCAGTATAGTGCGCTCAGGACCAGCTGGAAGGAGGAGAAGAAAAGGAGGAATCAGGCCCTTTAAGGATATGGCAGTGGAGGAGTTGAGAAATGAGTGTGTAGCAAGGGATTGAAAGGTGAAGGATTGAAGAAAGATTTACAGATAAGCCTGAAAGAGCACCTGAAGGGTGTGTAAAGAGTGCCTGCTTTGCTAATCAACGAGAAGGATAAGAACATGCATGATATCAACTTGGGTAAAGAATAATATTTTCACTACTATTACAATGTTTCTAAAACAATGAGATTTCACCAGTGAAGTTCAACAATTTGCGTGCCTGCAACATTTTGTCATATCTCTACATCTCAGTCTGAAAGCTCTGCCTTCTTTTAGAATGGTTCAATTCTTTTCAATCAAAACTGCCATTTTTATTTTTAAAAAAAATTATCAAAAAAGAAAACAAGTTCTTCCATGTTTAATTTGCTGTTGTTGTCTTTTTGCACATTGTTATTTAATTTTGACAAAATGCTTTGTCACAATATTTCCTTCAGTAACTATTCATCATCATTATTAATTTTTTTCTTTGTCTGTCTTTAATTTTTTCTTTTCAGGTATGTTTTTTTTTTTTTTTTGGTTTTTTTTTTCAGGCGCCCACGGCCAGGACCCGGTAGTGCAATGGTCAAGTGCAGTGGCCGAGCGACATCACCGATACTTAACAGAGCCAGAGTGCAAGGGCTCTGTCGAGCAACGCCTGAAGGAGGGTACACCAGTACGCCAAAATCGCCCAGGGATCGAACCTGGCCCCCCGGAAACGTTCCCCGCCCGAACGGGGCACCTGAGCAGTCGGGCGTGCTAGGACTGCTACAAGGTAACGGGTCCCACAATGCAGCGACTGCATATAGCAGAACCCTTACCCGATGAAGTTCTTCCAACAGAGCCACTACATGACATGAAAGAACACACCTGCGATGTGGTATCTGAAATAAAGGACCACCTTTCTCAAGAAGAGAAACAACTATGTGAAAAGACCATTGAATTTGTAGTCCAAACCAAAGAGCATTTTTGTGGTTCTGATCGAGAGATGGCTATTGTGCTTTCCAAACAACTGACAGGTTTGCAACAACTTTGTTGTATATGTATACAATTCTAATGTAATCTTCCTCAACACAGCCGTCTACTGTTATGAACAGTTACACACATGCATGTACAGAAGAAACTGATTATTTCCAAAATAGAATTTACTCTTTTTTCCCTTTTCCTTCTTTAATTTGTATTTTGTTATCACTTTAATATAAATATGTAATGAAATGTACTGTTTGTGAAGTTGTTAATGAAGGTTATTTTAAAAAATATCCAAAATAAAAAATTAACAATCATGCAGTCATTATTATCATGATTATAATATTATCATCGTTTTCAGAGGACTTGTGACAAATATAACAAACTTTTAGAGCAGAAAATACTTACATTAATACAGTGACTTTCCTGATCCTCTCACTGAATGACAAGTTCAAAAGAGAAAAATTCATTAGGCAGTATCAAAAATAAGTAAAAAAGAAAAATTAAAAATTATATCCATATAAAGTATATAAATAAAAAGTCTATCAAGCAACCCTAGCACCATATGATGTCTTCATATATTCATTATTCAACAGGATTTTTGAGTGATAAGGTGCAGACCCTTTTTGACACTATGACAGAAATATCAAGCATTCTATATTCAAGGCCAGAGAAGTGCTGTCAAAAAAGCATTTTAAGACTCCACAATCAGACCTTTCTTCATGCCATTGCCTGTGAGGAGGTCTTTGGGAGGCCGCAAGCTCTCTGTGAGAAGTTTTATGAGCGGTACTTTCATTCTTTGGTTGTACATGCTCCCATCCAACACCGTATTATCTGTCTTAGGTCAACAAACACAGAGCAGCAAGAACGTCACTTCAATGCCTTTTTAAGTATCTCTGCGGCAATATCAAGCAGAAGACCTGGTGAAATCATAACCCCTGGAATCATTAGAATGCAAGCTGAGGTTAAGTCTGAGGAGAGCAAGCAGCGAGACATACTGAAAGAGCAAGAGTCTAGACTTGGGAAGCTGGCATGCCATTTGCCTAAAGCACAAAACACCATCATACCACACAGAATCATACTTAAGTACCTACATGCATTTCAAGCACATCTTGAAAAAATAGCTGATTTTCTCCATTGTGGTGAAGGCATCTGGTGGTGGTATATCATGGCAGGTGTTGAATTCCTAGATGGTCCTGGTGAAAAGGAAAGCCAGGATGATGGCCCACCACGTCATCACTTTCGTACTCATACACTCAAGTCTGAAGAGAAATACTTAAAAGATTGTTGGAAGGAGTGCATAACCAATGGGATTCCCATCCCTCACCCTCCAGTGAGAATCTGTGACGGCGACGGCAATTTGCAATACATAAAATATACAAGGTTTCTAAAAGATGATGATTCCACTGATGATGAGAGTAGTGACGAAGAAGTAAATGAAAATGACACCATCTACGAAAATGACATTTCTGACACTCAACAAATGAGGAAGAACTTGAAGACATTTATGATTTCCAGCAAGTGGGAGAATGTCTTATGGAGTGTGCTCAAGAAGAAAATTTGGACGAGACTTGTCATAACGAAGAAGACTTCTTAACAGAACAGGATTTGTTGACACCAAGAATTGAAAGTTTGGCACGGAAGGAGCTGACCAATTCAACTTCTCCGGTTGTTGCTCAGGCTACGTCTGCTGAATCTTGCCAGCTTAAGAAAACACTGGCTTAATCTGTATGAAAGGTGTTAGGTGAAACCAAAGAAGTAAAAACACTAGACTCAATGCGTATCAAGCTCAAGAGCATCCTTGCAAGAAAAGAAGACCATGAAGCTGCTTTGGCCATTGTACAGACCAAGGTGCCTGCAAAGCATTCAGTTGTCAAGCAGCAGTTTAAGAAGTGGGAACAGAATTTCTTCATGGAGCATCATGAGTGCACTGAGCCAGATCCTGAAGACATACGCACTGATAGACAAGGGCGTGACTTCTACTAGACTATAAGGCTATGTAAACTGCTTTTATAGCATTGTACACGTGTAACTTTAAAATACATGTAAACTTATGTCAAGTGGATAGAGATTTATCCGGTGGATAGCGCTATCCACCTTTTGAACAACTGGGGCCGGGTATCAAAATTTTATCCAGTGCTCGGTTGTAAGGTTTCCGAGCAACTATAAGTCGATCTTGGTGTCTTCAGTCCTTCAGGTCTGCGGTATATATGTTGCGTCACGGAAATGTAACGCAATGACATCATTGTGAATGGGTTTTTGCCAGAGAGGCGGTTTTTAATAGAGTGTTGGATGTTCCCTTAACAAACTAAACTCCTCTGGGCCCTCTGACATAACCCGATTCTCGAAAATCAGACTTCTCCTCTATTACACATGACTATGAACGACAAGGAGTCAGAAGCGTTGGTGTGGGATCGAGAATGGTATGATACCAGATTATCTTAATGAAGACCATTGAAAAAAAAAGCAAGCATTTTTATTCAAACTGGTTCAACTGAAACGGTGCACAGTTTTGATGGAGCCGTGGGGTCGAAAATGATGTGACGAGCCTTCTGACTTGTTTGGTCCGCGCGTAGCGCGCGCAAATCAGTCATCGTATCAACAGAAAAATAATTCAGTTTCTTTAGTATAGATTGGAAAAATCCATTGTGTATGAAGAAAATATATACCTTCTTCAAATACCTTCGTCGCTCGTAATCACCACAGGTTAATGGTAAGTTCATCCGCTATGCTGTCAGTGTGCGTTTTACGTGAACATTCGATCATATTATTGCGTGGTCATAGTTGTGACGTCATAATAGTGTCTTTAAAGAAGAACGCCAAGATATTTGAGCGACTATTAAAAAGATGCAATCAACTTTTTGCATCATGCCGTAAACAATTAATACAAATCGCAATTAACTTTGAAAGTTTCATCGAACATGCCGCAGCGAACAAAGAAAAGTGAAAGAAACAAAAGAAAAACCGAAGAAAAAGAAGAATCGGCTTCCAAGATGGCGTTTAACTTAATTCAACTGGTCTCTCAATCATTCATGAAAGAAAGTTTTGAACCGAAGACGGATGTGGAATGGGATTCTGTAAATCTTCCAGCATTGTTCCTGAAAAATTTCGACATCGAAAAAGAGGCAAATGAGGCTGCGAAAAGTGGAAATGTCGAGAATTACTGCACGGAACTCGCGCAGAGGTTGGAACAAAGTATAAATGAGGCTATGGAAGATGTAATAGAATACGTGACAAAATTTAAGGAACAGGTGTTGGCTATTCTGCGAGAAGAGGAGGAGAGGGAGGAACTGGGAGATGTAGCTGAAAATGCCGAAAGACCTGATGCAAAGTTTAAATCTTTACCAGATGCCTTACACAATATTGTTGAGCAACTGCGAAAGCTGCAGGAAGACAGAGAAATTATTTGCAACTGTCTAACAACTGCAGTCAACGAATATCCACTTATTTTGCAAAGACAAATCACCGAAGAAGTTGCACGTGTAATAGAGAAGGTTTCCGTCGCCGCGAAAGACTTGCTTGTGAAACTCGAAGTACGAGAGCCAGACGAGGAAAGTTGCGCTTCAGTAGCTGAAACTGGTGCACTTTTAGAGCTGGGTGGCGGGAAAGAACTGGCGAAAAGCGAGTCAAAAGACGATAGTAAAGACTTACCAGTTGCAGAGAAAATGGAAAGCGAAGTTCTAACATCAAGTAAGTCAATAGCTGAAGCAGCTATGAGCTTAGAAGATGAAGGAGACGAAATGCCGAGATGCGAGTTGAATGATAGCAGCAAAAATCCGTCAATCACAGAGCGAAACGATAACCGACTCACCACAACAAGATCGTTAATAGATGAACCGCAGGCAGCTACAAGTTCAGCCGATGGTGATGGGGAGAAATTGGAGAGAAGTGAGTCGGACAAAAGCAGCGCAAATACGCCAATCACCGAGCTAGGGGATGAACACGTGATTCCAACCCCTCCACCACCTCCCCCTGTCAAATCATTGTACCTTGACAAGGTGGACGAAATTAATGAACGCATTCTGCGACACAGGAAACATCAAGTAAACCAAGTAAAAAGGGAGCTAAACTTTGCCATCGCGAGGTTGACCTCTGAGGTGATAACTTCATACGAGCAAGCTAGTGCTCTACAGAAACAAAATTCACCTGTGCTGGAAAAATCAATAATCGAATTCTTGAAAAATCAAGAAACTAAGAAGACATTTTTTATCAAAGAAATCACTGAACGCCTACACATAGTTTTAAGAATGCTTACATCGGAACCGGGAGTAAATGACCCAAACCTGGAGCTTCGGAACCTCAATGAGACGGTGAAGTTGTTGCATCTCTTACAAAGTACCAGAGCATGTCACCTAGATAAGATTTCTGTCACGAGGATTATGAATGAAAAAAATGGAGTCTTGTTTTATTTACTACTATTTGTAGGCGTTTTTCTGATTGTCTTGGCTTTGAGTTTAAATGGAGAGTGGCTCGCTTTGATAATGTTTGTGGCAATCATTTTTATCTTTATTGTTAAGGCGTGGCAGGGAATATTCTCTTCCAGAAAAAGGAAAATTGAAGTACTTGGAAGAGTAAAAAAGCCTGTAAAGATTGATTGAACCGTTTTCTTCTAATTTACTGAATTTTGCAAGGCTAAATGACATAACTGATTTAAGGCATGTATAGTTGGCTACATAGACTACTCTTTATTCTTTTTCAGCTTCAATAAAAGAGATCGGTAAATCAGTGTTATTTTGGAAAGTATAGTAGTCTGATTGGTAATCTCAAAGACCCTTTTTGCCGAAATGGAGAGCTGGAGTTCCTGGTGGGGGCAAGTAAGCTTAAACCTTTACAGCAAGTGAAGTAAGAACCCATTACGCACGAGATTAGTCTTGAGCAAATGGTGCAAGGTCGACGGCAACCTCGTTCCGAGGTTCTCTCTCCTACGGGTAGGAGAGAACCCTGGGAACGAGGTTGGGTCGACGGTAAATTGTGGAGTATGGCCCAGTTCGCCTGTATAGTATTCGCCTAAGAAACGGAACAGCTAAGTAGAGATGGTGTCGTATCAAATCCAAGTCGGTGATTCGTAATAACAGACAACTTCGACAACATCCTTAAATAGCCATTAAGGTCTCTCTCAGTGCAAACTGCATTCAAGGTGTAATCTGAACTTTACGAAAAATTTGACGCTGAACGGCTCTGATCATCTGTCTGAATAACAACTCATATTACACCTTGAGATTACCATCCAAGTATTAAGCACAATACGAAACTAACAATTCCATATTTCCCCGTTTTTGAGGTTGTCTTGTCGTCATGTCTCCCCATGGTGAATGTAATGCACCGATTCCGCAAATTTCACGGCGCGTCGTGGAATGTAAAATTTAAGCTATGTCATTATTCCCTTATTTCTGTCAGTTTTTCTTCCCTTTTTCGGGTTGGCGTACCGTTTCCCTTTTTTTTGTTCTTTGTTGCTTTTCTTTTTTTTGTTGTTGTTGTTTGTTTGTTTTTCTTTTTTTAAGCAAATTCCACAGATTTTTCGTGTGTCGTTTTCTCGTACCCACATCACTTAACCACTTCTTCAGCCTCATCTTTAAGAGACTTGGGCACTAGACTTTGCGCTCTCGAGTGCGCGTGCATGACATGGAAGTTATAAAATTTTATAGAGCGCGAGCTTCCTAAAAGTAACGAACTCTATTTGAATTGCGCCTTAAAGCCGCTAACCGTCGCCAGCAACTTTGCAGGGCTTTTCTTAGACGCAGTACAACTTGAAAGACTGTTTTGAAACCTGAAAAGAGCAGAAGAAGGAGAAGAAGACATAAAAAGGTCGGTACTTATAATAACTTAATTAATCGTGATAAAAGTTAGGCTGGTTTTGTCTTTATTAAATATCTTTTATATATCTCTTTAGTCTTAACTTTCGCTAAAAACAACGTTGAAAAAGAGGAAATGGTCGATCAATCAAAAATTGAAATAATTAATATTGTTAATGATTTCCTCTTCTTCTATCTGTCATGTCATAAATTATTTTAATTAATTTTACTTTCCTTACTGTTAGCTTGTCAACAAAGCTCTTTTCATTGAGTCAACATAGCCAAAAAACTTGAAAATACTTTCGTGCGCAAAAGTCCACTATTTAAAGGAAGCTATACGCGGCGATGCTAAAGAGAAAGCTAACTTATTAAATTGTTATTTCGCTACTGTTGGAATGAAACTGGCAGACACCATTAAGCAACAGCACCAGGCACTAACCACAACATCTAAGCCTGTCCCATGTATTTATGATGCAAGAGCATCATACGGTGAACTCGCGAAAAAACTTATTGCTTTGAAGACAAACAAAGCCACTGGCCCTGACGGTATTTCTTGCTTGTATTGCTTTCTCTTTGTTTTTTGTTTTTTCCCCTAATCTTAATTTTCTGCTAATCAGTCTCCACCTAAAGAATGCACTTTTCTAAACCGCATCTAAAAACTTCAATTATCTTTTGGCGCCGCTGTCCCTTATGGCCCTGTTAATTCCTTTGTATGTCTGTATATAGGCCCATTTAGAAGGTACGATTTTTGCTTACGACTATCGTGACTAGCTTACGTAATGACTTCATGACTTCTTTTCGTTTTATAATGAATGCTGCCTCAGCTAAATATTTTGCATTTATTCATTGTTAATCTTTTGTTATTATATATAAGGTTAATGATAATTTTGTAACTTCTGTACCTTTTATATTTGCATGTAAATGTGTAATAAAATGTTGTAATAAAGCATTAAAACTATGTTTAAAATTTTTTATATCTTTTTGTTAGGATGGCTTATGCAGTGGATGCATATGATTTTGAGATATCAGAAGATGACCTTAAACACATGAAATATTACCGTGAGCGGTTAAATGCGCGTCCACTAACAACGGCCCTTAGAAGCTTTGACATCAACGAAAACTATGAGTCGACGCGGTTACCTGGCGTCTATGAGATCAGCCAAGACTCTAAAGTCATCTACATTGGCGGGAATCCATGCCTCTCTAACATCCGGGACTGTCTAAATGCCCATTTTAGCGGAAATGATGGACTGCCAATTGGAGAGTACTTGAGTGGCCCCGCCAAAAACAAATGGAAGTCGATTTTCATTCGCTGGTTGACTTGTGCAAAGCCGAATGAGGTGGCCTGGTTTTTGCTGAGTGACTTTCAAATGCAGCATGGATGTTATCCTCCTTTTAATTACCCAGCGGAGAACTGTAGCTCTTGTGAAAAAACGATAGATGACGACTAGTATCTCCAATTATAATGTGCATAAATAAGATTTTTAAAGTTTCATAGCTGTACCAAAGTTAAAATATCTACCAATGTCATTTGAACTTTCATGCATTTAAGTTAGACGTACACTGACTTTAGACTCTGAACAATTTGCTGGTGCTATTAATTGATGACTCTATCTCGAAAAAGGTACTTTTATGTTAGTCTCCATGTACTCCAGGGGCGGATCCAGGGGGAGGGTGTAGGGGGTGCGCCCCCCCCGGGAAGACCTGCGGCCGCTTTCTAATTAACACTGTGCAGTCGCTTGACAGACATACAAATCTGCTCTATCGTTTGATATGTATTCTCAGCAGTTCACATTATGTTATTTCCTAGTCAAAAGCCCTCTTCTTCGGATTCGCTTTTAAAATTTTTTACGTCATCAGTCAGTTAGTGGTGCACACTCTCCTAAGAAAAATCCTGGATCCGCCCCTGTACTCTTACCTATTTTCGCGAGTGCTAACTTTGGCGATTTCAAAAACTTAGCGAAAGGGCTCCATGAAAATTAAATTCACGAAAATATTTTGTATATACAGTGTATATATGGCTGGTTCCGCGAGCGTGCAGGACACTGCAAATTCTATATTCTGATATGGCTAGCCTATCTTCCTCGCTCTAAAATTATAAACTCTCTGTTGTTTTCGTTGGCCATATGACATGATAGACCCTTGTTTGATCAAGCTTGTTCGGGTCAAGATTGCTGTATACCGGCCTCTTTCTTTCTTTCTCCTTGGCCTTTATATAGGTGGGTGTCAACTTCGTATCGGTCCATAATAACAACACGCCCAAAAAAGAACTTGGCCAATATCCTGTTTTAATTTGATATAAGGCTATTAGGCCATTTTGAAAACTCCTGGAAACTGGGGCAAAGTTCGTGCCTCCAAAACAGCCCCATGGTCCAGTTCGCCACAACACTCGGACCCAAGCAACACGCGTGGACAGTCACAACACAATTAACTTCTGGCAGTAATTAAGGTAGACTAGCTCTATCAAAAAACCTTGAATAAGGTGTCTTTTTCGAGTGGATGGCTTTGAAAGGGAAAAGACCTCTCTCCCCAAGCCCCTCCCTTTTTCCCTTCCTCCCAATCGTCCTACCCCTCAACTCAAACTTCCCTAGAGTCTTCCTCCACCCCCCCCCCCCCCAACCCCTAACCCTTTAGGATAAGAGAATGTTATTGTCCCAGCTTTTCCCAGAAAGCGTCTCAGCCACATTGAGACAGATTTTACGGGACAGGTTTATTTTTAATCAGGTTTATAAGGAAAACCAACAAGTACTGGGCTTATCATCCTCTGCGTGAAACTAACGAGAAGGTTATTCTATTAAATAAAAGAGAATTAATATAGTTACTGGTAACATGCACGTTACTTGATTACCTACAGCGATTTGGTCAGAAAAATAAATTGAATGACGGTGAGAACCTTGACTGTTCGACAAGGTTTTCCACTAGTTCAGTCCTTAAAAGTATTATAATTTAAGTGCGACTGAACAACATTGCTTTTTTTGCGCTCCTGGCACAAGCTGGAAGGATAAACTCAAATACAGTGTTATTACATTTTGTTTTCTCGTGTCGTCAAGTTTCACATGCAGGTACCCTCAGCCTACCAGTCAACTCCTAAATGTGGCGGTAAATAATGATCTAAGGTGAATAAAACACACTTTCAACGAAAATCCACTCTTCTATGATGAGCAGGTCTCTAAATCCTTTTCAGAAAAGAAAGTTGGCCTGTTTATGGGAGGATGTCCTTTCCACCTTTGAGCTTTCGTTTTGGGCGGTCACATTTCTGCTCTTAGAACCAATCAATGAACCATAACGTTTACCCTTTCTTGTTTTGAAGAGGACACTCCAAAAACTACACGGCAATTAAATTTTTCATGGCGCATAACCTTCGGACAATAAAAGTTCACAACGCTCTAGTAGCGCGTAGCGCAACTCACGAACGTAAAATGTTTGTCTCCATCATTCGGGAAAACTTAAGTGTTTGGGAAAAAAAGCTGTTGGTTTAGCTGGTTTAGGTTGAATCTCGCTTTGCGTTATCGTAGAATATAACGTAATTCACGGGTGCTCATTAATAGTACATGAACTCTGCCATCTTCCCAACGGGAAGCCGAAGTTTAATTTCCGCGCAGTAGGAAGAGTTTAATCCAAGATGTTCTTTCCAAGACTTTCAGGTAAAGCTCGTGTTGCAAGCTTCATTTCACTGGCCTCCTCTTCTTTCTCTACGTCTAGATCTTATTTTCATAATCATATTTGTTTTTTCTAGGCTTAATACTTGGGATCTTGGCATTCATGATTGGTAAGTGTGATCAGTGTGCCCTCTCTTAATTAACAAGTCTGTTTCTCTCAACCCACTTCAATTCGACGAACTGTCGGAAAAGCTGAGGTTATTGTAATTACATGTAAAGCGGAACGATATAACTTTCGGTAACATTCCTTGATAAATCTCTTACTATAGCCATGAAAAGTACTAGAGAAATTTCTCAAGTTTCCTTAAATACTTTAAAATATTACCGGCATATATACTGCTATCAATTTTATAGGAATGAAAAATGATATATTTTTTTAAGATTTAGTATCGCATATGTTTGGTAACAAATCCTAGATTGGTAATTTTACAGAAAAAAAGGTATGACTCTCAGATCTATTTATTGTAAGGTGTCGATTTGCGTTCAAAGTCGACAGTTCGTTCTTTGAACAGATAAGAACTAAAACATTAATTAACAGGTACCACTAATGTTTATTCTTATAAATTGCCAGGTTCTACAATCGCCAATATCGAAGTGGTGGACACAAACCCAGGTATCGCATAAAGGATTGTTCTGTTTAAGTAACGGTGACAATTAAAAGGATGGCAAAGCTTGTAAATTTGCCATGGTTTAATGGCCATCGTCTAACGAGTTTATACAAAAAAAAAATAACAAGGAAATTTACCCCTTTGATCAAGTTTACATCTTATCAGCCCGAGAGATCCTGGGACACAGTACGCTGTCCGGAAAAGGAATTTTTTGTAATGAAAATTATCGAGTTTACGAACAGGAAATAATGATTTTCTTGAAATGATTCTGTATATGTTAGAAAGTAGTATAAGCTTATTTTGAGTTTATCGCCGTCAAGAGATGTTAGGGGAGTTTGTATGCATCTCTCACCTCTTGTAAACCTCACGCAAAAGAAGTTTATTAGCTATATCTTGGTTATTTTTTCATTGGCTCATTCATCCCTTAATATTTGCGTACAGATTTTATTGGCTGTTACAAGGACGACAAAACATTAGACGACAACTTTCACCTTATCAATGCTCGAGCTCTTGGATACCAGGTTGAAAGATATACAACGAAACAAGACTGCGTAGACCAGTGTGCTGCGAAGGGATTCCTTTACGCTGGTCTTCAAAATGGTGACCTCTGTTTCTGTGGAAACACTTTTGATAAATATGGACGTGCAGATGACTCGGAATGTGATATCAAATGTAGAAAACCTGACGAGGTTATCGAGCACACTAACAATCCCTTTGATTCATGTGGCGGTAGATGGAGAAATTCCGTGTACGCGGGTAAGTAAACGGTTAGCATGCGTAGCACGCGTTTTTTTTAGTGCGTTTTTTCCTGTTCGGTTCGTAAAGTGAGAGAAAAGTTAAGGCAGAGAGAACAAATCTCCCTGCCTTTTCCCCCTCGCCCCGTCCCCCATCATTTTTTCGTTTGACCTTTTACTTTACGAACACGAACGAAAAATGCAGGTTGATAAACAGTTATCCTGCAATAGACGGTAGTACCCGCCAACTCTCTTTGTCTTGTTTGATTTATTAGCTTACATGCGCCAAGTGAGGGCACCACAATACTTGCCAGTATGGGCTGGGTGGATTCTCCTTCCCACACACACCGAAGATCCGGAGGCACAGAAGCTTATTAACCGTTTAAGTCCCAACCATGACCAACATCAATTTTCTCCTGACAATATCCATACATTGTCAAGAGATGAGGTTATAAGAATTAATAAAATGATCACCATAAAGAAAATGCCTCGATCTTTTATCAAGTTCTCTCAACTCATTCTTTAAGGAAATGTATAGAGATCAGTTTGGAGAATTTGCATATAGATATTGGGACTTAAAGGGTTAACTGCATCGACTAATGATGCGATCACATGAACTGAGACACGGTCTTGACAGATAGCCTGCGAACCGCAGACGTATTTCCGGTCGTAGGAAGAGAAGCGACGACCGGAAATACGTCTGCGGTTCGCGGGCTAGAACACAGTCAGCGTGATCTAGATCTCAATAGCTCTGGTTGGTGGTTCGAAAGGAATTCAAATCCTCCCACTCAGCGAAGTGCCGATCACTTATGTAAGAGCTCGTTGTTTGACTGTATTCTGGAATAAGAACAATGAAATAAACTCTAGAAATCACTCACGATTCATTACATCGTAACATCTGCAAATCTGGCGAAACGCAGTTTTCAGATACAGCAGCCAGTATTCCATTGGTCCAAAAATCTCGATAAAATAGACTTGTAACAAAATTCATACACTGTTCAGAGTCCTCTATTTTTCCGTAAGATCGTCGAGATCGAGCGCTTTGGGTTACGCCGGGCTGCCATCATACATGAGTTTCAAAACTACTTAGGGGGCGGGGGCGGTTTGGGAGTAAGCGAGGAAAATTCCTGTTGGCCAGAACCTCTTTAGAACCTCTAATTTGATAGGTTCTTGTTGGCCCGAAGCTCTATTGTTTCAGAGTTGGGGTTCATTGTTAGTTTTGTTTGGGTTAGGGTTATCTATTGTTTTCTATACCAATCCTGTGAGCCGTTCTTATAGCTTCCGGCCCCCCCGAAAATTTTCTACCTCTATTTTTCCCCCCCCTAGAGCTATAATCCCCGACGCCCGCCCCCTAGGTACATTTGAAAATGAAGATGGCCGCAATTAACGCTAAGACGCGCTATATCTCGACGATCTCACGAAAAAAATGGGGGACTGTGAACAGCCTACAAAATTTATGGCTTATTTCGGAATGCGTCCAATCGAACGCACCCATTGTTAACGGCGTGGCGATTTATAGGTTGTTGCTTTTCAAAGCCTCTTACTGCGGGCCCGTATTGCATGATAGACGATTTCGCAAATTCGGAAGTGATGGCGACGAACTGTATCAAAGTATCATCTAGCGTATATTAATTTGCTTTTTCCCTTTTAGTTACTGGAGTTCGATCAGCAGAGCGCGATGCTGCCAGAAAATGGTGGCAGATATAACAGTGAACAGGTATATCTATAGTAAGACATTAAGAGCCGTAGTGTCAAGACTGTTTGAATTGGTATAATTGATTTAAAGTTTAAATTAAAACACATTGCAATCAAAGACGCTCTTTTCGCCATCTTTTCTTCAATTGATGCTAACAGCTCTAGCCCGTAGTTCAAGGAGGCCTAACCTCTCGTAAGCTCCTATAGTTTCTGTTAGGTCTCCTCGCCACTTCTTTCTTCTACTTTTGCTATATTTTTGTAACTTCTATTATTGTGTGGCAAGTAAAATAAAAGAAATAAAATCGTAGGTGAATTCCCATTAGGAAAAACAAAAACCTGGGCAGGGGGGTGAAACCTCATTCCCAGGACTTTCCCTTATTTCACTCCTTCCGAATGTCGAAGGAAGAAGCCTTGTAGAAAAGGTTGCATGATTATAGTAAATTACAGTATAATATACAGATTTATCCACGGCTAAAAGCGAAGATCTCGATAATATTTATAGTTTGTTCAAACAAAATATAAAGGTGATGTTACACGGAACGATTCGCATCGACGATTTTTAGCGCAACACAGCGTGGCATCATTCTTGCGACATTGTTTTCGAATGTTTGCAACATTGTTCCAATATTGCAACGCAAGTGTTACGCCAAAAATCGTCGTTGCGAATCGTCCCGTGTAACATCACCTTAAAATCGTGTAATGCTAAGCGGTGAAGACAACGCCGGAGAACGGGGAAAAACAACAATAGGTCTAATTAGCAAAAAAGCAACTTTTCACATGCAGCTCACTTTCTTTGTACATTTCTTTGCAGTTGTTTTACACGACTACAACGTAAATCTTCCAGAAACTTCTTGCACGTTTTTTGGAGAAAATGTCGTACGTGTTCTCGTTCACGTTTTTCAGTTTTTCACTGCCGCTCATTTTCACCTTGCATTGGTGGCCGCTAGCATTTCTCATTTTATCACCGCCGCTACAAAATTTTCATGTTCTTCTTCCAACAAAAAATGTCCCCTTTGTTTTTTTATCTCTCGCTCTAGATCTCTGTCGCTCTTTTTCTCGTTGAGCTTCGCTGGCCTGCCGCGTACTTTCTATTTTTCTCTGTCTTTCTCTTGCTCTATATTTCAAATTTGTGGAAATGACAATTAATCTAAGCTTAATACTTTTGACAACACGGATACAGAAACAATTTCCGCCTTCCGTTTTCGTCTTCATTGACTTTTTAGTTGTCTCTGCTTTACAAGACGCCGGTGGCTTTATGGTTTCCCGCCAAAATAACCTCGAGTTGCAGTTGGGTTGCCATACCTGTTGACTGAGTTATTTTACATTGGTATACCTGTGGTGCGGACGAACAGTCTGGCGGGCGGGCGTACGGTCACGTGATTACCAAGTTTTCTCAGATGGGTAGATTACTTCATTTTCTTACCCATGGTGCTCCGCTGCGCACGCTTCGCGCGCGAATGCTCTGCTAGTACCTTTAACTGCCTCTTGTTAGCCCCACCACTAACAACACCCTCCCACCCCCAGCTATAAGCCCTTCTAAAAAACATACATGCGATTGTCCGCCCCCCTTTCTAGATTTACTGAATTATATTCGATTTATTCTGACTGTTTAAAGCTTAATTAAAAACCAGAAAGTAAATGCAGGTCGCTATAGCTTGTTTCGAAGAAGTTTTTCTACTCCGGTAATGAGCCCTCTTGGTTATAAGCTCTCCTAAAACCCGGAGATGTACAAGCCCAGGGTTGATAAGCGGCAGTTTATATACGGTAATTGTCTTATGTAACATTCGCTTTCTTGAGTTCTAAAACAGCTTAAAATTATACCGACTACAAAGGTACAGACTCGACAACTTTTGGATATTTGGTAACTTCTTATACTTACCTTTTACTGCAGGTTCATCAAGCAAGAGACTATAATGATGAAATACTTATGACGCAACGTCTACTTTCGAGTTACAGACTTTTCAAAGACACAAAGAAAGACAAGAAGCCAAGTATTTCACTTGGTCGATATAAAAGAGCATTTATTGCCATTGTAACTTTCCTAAATCCGCACCCTCAGGAAGCGGATAGAGGTTCCATAACTGGAGTTGGTTCTTAAAAGGGCTGCGTCACGGCTAGTTAGTTCATTCAGCAATGGAAGGGCTCCTGGTTCATTTTGATAAAAATTATGACAAATTATGCCAATTAGAAATTACTTGTGAATGGTAAAATCACAGCTTTGTGTCAAACAAATATGTCTCCCAAGCATTATATCAAACGTTACAAACCATAAAATGAACTTTGAAAAACTGTTCGGTTAACAACTTTTCAAAAACTACAATTTTAGTCCGTTTAAAAATTTTTCCAAGTTTTCCATCTGTGACGCCTCATTTTGTATTTGCTGAGTCACTTATAACTAGGGCTTTCCACAAGTTGCTCGGCAACTTTTTGGCAACTTCTCGTATTTAGAGCAAATTTTTGCATTCTGAGCAATTTTTCTAGTTATCTTCTAATAAAGGAGACGCATTAAACGTCAGACGAATGAAACGTCTGAAGTTAAGTACGTCCGATCCGGATGCACTTAACAGATGAATTAGTCGTCTCAGACTTTTAAGACGTCTAGTATAAAAACCGGACGCACTTAACGACGCACTAAACAGTCAGACGTTTAATGCGGCCAATGTTTCCTGTAAAAAAGGAGCCAAATCCTTCCCCCTGGGGCAAATCATGGGCGCAAAGTAAAAGTAGCCGGGCGGCTCGTTCAGCGGTTTTTAGAGAAAATTCAAAATGGTGGACGAAGATTCACACGCGACTGACTTGAGTGTCTCGGGTGAAAAAGGTCATTCAACAACTTCATTGGCTCATTACATCTTTTCGTTTTGATTGAGGACAAAGTTGTTTAGCAACGCTGGTTACCAAAATTGTTCAAAAATGGTTAGAGATCTTACTTTTGTCGTACAATTTGCATATTTTAGCATCAGACCAAAAAAAGGTTTTCGTATTTTAGAGCAACTTTTGAGCAAATTTCATCCCAAAAAGCAACTTTTGATTGTTTTTTGAGTAACTTTTGAGCAACTTTTTGAGAAATTCCGGGAAACATTTTGGAAAATCTCGAGCAACTTGTGGAAAGCCCCACTTATACCCTCTGTTCATGTTTTGAGCGGTTACTCTTATGTTTCACTTAAGTTTGGTTGCTTCTCCCACAGTTTGAATTTTGGAATCGTTATACGTTTCTGGGAAACTGCCCACCTACCCCTCCCCTAAGCCAACATTATCACTTACTTCTCACTTAGTGCAAAATGTTGGCTTAGCGGAGGGGTAGGTGGACAGTTTCCCAGAAACGTGTAATGATCTTTGAATTTTGTTAAATCTCGTGGCACAGCTCCTTTAAGGGAATGATCCTTGAAAGAGATCATTAGCATAGGGGTTTAATTAATTTAGGTGACAGCAAATGCCGTCAAGAGAGCTTCGACTGTATTTGCAATATATCGGTATAGCTTTTTATAATACGAAGCAGTAGAATTGAGTTCATGTTTTATTTTTCGAAATAGCAGTAGAATATACAGGAATAATAAAAAGTAGATAAGTTTATACAGCTATAACTGAGTGTTGTAGAAATAAGTGAACAGTACCATTGAGCTATTTCACTAAAGGCCATATGCCCATGTGCCCATATGTTATGCCATTTCATTCAGTAGTTTTACTTTTTTTCTAAATGGTAAGACATAAGAAATAAAACAATCCTTGAACAGCCACTTTTTGCACACATTTAGGTACATTAAGGACAAGCGGGATCCTATTCATTTTTTTTCGCTGAATTTTAGATTGTTCAAGAAAATGTAAATTGTGCATGTGTATAAACTGAACTGAGAAACTTAACTGAGGCTGAGACCCTTATTTTGTTAGAGGCGTTAAGACAGAAATGTTATACATCGCTGTTAATGAGGTTAAAAGTACAACAATAAAAACTGGAAAAGGTGGGGCAAGTCCCTGCAACCCAAGTATAAGAGCTACTTTATTCAGTCGCGGTCGATGATTCAAACTTGAATCAAAGGGTTCGCTGGCTTGTGGAAGATTCTGTAGGCTGGGATCACTGAGCTCGGGGAGGTACGTTTTGCGAGCGTTGGTTGGCTTTTTTTTCCTGCAGAGAGATTCGTGAATCATTTGCCCAACACCAGGCCATGATCACCTCTATTTTGATTCCGTTCTCACCATATTTACCCCGGTAAAAGATTGATCACGGTACCATTGCTTTTCATTGCCGACTATGTTTGACCATGGTCGGCAATGGTGTGACCGTAGTGTATGACCATGGTGTGTTATCAGCTCTTGACCATGGTACATTGCCAATCATGGTTACAAAATAAATCAATGTTTTTTGCTAAATCAATGACAGCAAATAACAAAATAGTTGTGTTTGTGTGGTTAACTCAAAGATAACGCTATTTCTACGAAAGTGAACAAGATCTTCCCAGTTGAATGAACAACCTAAGCGAACCTAAACAATACATGCTAATATTTCTGCCTTGTATTAACTTTTCTCGAATAAGATATTAAAGTCAGTCAAGTCAGGTTCTTTCTCGATCCAAAGTTTGAGTTTTAATTCCAGCCTATATCCAGTTGTACGTTCAAAGTTGCATTATTTATACAACTGGCCGGCTCCTCTTTCTTGTGTCGTAGGCGTAGGGAGACTGGGAGACCAGAGGAGGGGAAAAGAAAGCGCGCGGGGGACGGTGGGAATTCGCGAAGGGGAAAGAGAGGAAGCTGTTTTTTGATTATTGCTATTTTATTGGGATACCTAGTGGGAGTCTCCCCGGAGGAGAGAGGGAGGGCAGTCATGATCCGCTCAGGCTACTCAAAAGTCTAAAAGTTTGATAATTGATATTTTCGTCCTTCAAGGATCACTGCGTTTCGAGCCCTGCCGTTGACAACCACGTAAATATTTTGGTCTCCCGAAGGAGCCGAATTTGGGAATAACATGTGTCGATATAGGCGTAGGTTTTGAGAGCACCACAGACTACAACATATCATTTATAGCGAGGGATTATCGCAAATCGTAATAGGAGTCACGATGGGCCTAAAGCTTCTTTATGGAATAATGTTGATTGCCCTTTTCATAAACGAAGGTAAGAATGATTGTTAGTATTTTATATAGTCGCACTTCAGGTAATTGCACCGATTCTCTTGATGAGCAGAGAGTTTCGAATATCGTAAGCAGTATAACATATGATGGTGAAAACACATGGTGGAAGCAAACTTTCTGTGGTAAGCACGTAGTTTTTGATCCTGGTAACGACTGAGTTTCACCAGGAAATCGAATCACTTAACGTTTATAGAAGGGGCCTGTAGGACTTTTTTAATTGTTCTAGTTTGCACGGGCAGAGATTCATTTTCATAGGATATAGGCCTCTAAAGTATCAATGTGAACAATTATAATTTTTGGCTCTTGGTTTCAAAAAGGTATTGGTAAATGAAATGAGAAATGAAAAAAAAACCAGGACCTCTAACTTCAACTGTACCCAAGTGAAGGTCCTATTGGCGCGCACATCCTGTTTTAAGCGGCTGCTGTGCGGTTTTCCCGTCACCTGAAAAAGTTTATTAACTTTGTGAAATAACCCTCAAGATATTTCCACTTCAGCGTTCTTGTCGTACATTTGAAATTTCAGAAACTGGAATCGTTTTTTTTGGTGGCAAAATCAAACAATTTGTACAATTTGTTGGCCTCCTTGCACCCAAGAAAACTTTTAAGTTTTTGTTAAAATAAATACTTGTTTAAGCTTCTGAGTGTTCCGTGTTTTGCTTTATTGAAACGAAACTGTGACAACCATTTTAGGAGAATATTGACTTGCCATAGGAAGTGTCGCATTTTGTAATGTTGCAAGAACAACTCAAAGTTCAAAATACAAAATCACGAAACAGTAAACAATTTTTTGTTTTGTCAGAATATGATACTGTGACGGCAACAAAAACTAATAACACTAAAGTACTGCCTTAAACTGAATTCCGGTTAAACTTTTTAAAGGGCCTTGTGTAATCTTGACAGACTGACGAGAAACTCTGGCATGGTTTTCCCTCGGGCTCTTCTTTTCATTTATTATATTTTTTTTTCAGCCACCCAAGTGATATGAAATTAGAGATAGCTATTTAGTACAACTAAGAAATGCTCGGAAAAAAATTCCGAGTTCTTTTCGTTTTTAGTATTGAGCTTGGAAGGAAAGATTTTAGACTACAATTCATCCAAAATCTTAAAGTCGATTAAACAGCCGAGCAGTTGTCTACAAAATGAAAGTAAATCAAGAATAGGGTATTCTATATTGTACAGTTGGAGATGGGAAGGTTTCGTTTTTGATTTGTATGAGGGTGAAAAATCCACGCTCACCCCATGCAAACTTGTTATCACAACTGAAAGGCTTTACAACTTACAAGAGAGTTACAATGTTGTATTGCAAAACCTTTGACTCTAATTATCGTTATCTTCATAGCATCGTTACCGTTTTCATTATCATTAACGTTTGCGCAAATATAACTTTTTTTTTAGCTACGCCTAAAACCTGTTCATGTTTTTCCATTCACGAAGAAGGCGTCACATGGCCTGACGCCAGGAAGTCTTGTCAATATCATGGCGGAGATCTTGTATCCATAGAAACAGAACATGAATGGCAAGTCCTAAAAGGTCAGATCGAAAACAGGACAAACAGGTTTAACAACAGTTGGTACATCGGTTTGCGAATGAAGTCAAGGGGGATCTGGACCTGGGTGAGTGGAAAACCGCTGACTTTAAACCAATGGCATGGATGGAAGCCTCGTGATGGTGCACCGTACGCGGTTATGACTAAGACCTTCTCTCCAGGAACTAAGGGACTCTTCAGAAACGTCAAAGGATCCATCTTTGCCGGCTTCATTTGTGAGAAACCTGTCGGTAAGTGAACTTAACAATCGCAAATTACGATTTAACAAAATAAACACCCAAAGTAATTTTGTAACAAAAGTAAGAGCGAGTTGATACATTTTTTGAACAGGAGTGACGGTCTTTCCGTTTAGCGTGCTTATAGATGTTTTCCTTTCTTTCTTCACTCACCAATTCAGGCGAATATTTCATTTACTTCCTTAGAATTTATATTAAGACACTAAAGTACAATAATGAGTTTCCCGACCTTTCTAAATTGGCAAAAACTGTGACGTGCTTCTGAAGAAGAGTTTCAGTGTTTTACAAAAATAATTTGCCGCCAATGACTAAAATAACTAGTTCAGCCAAGTTGAAGTGGCCATTGTTTCCTTCATATATGAATTTAGATAATCTCGCCTCCTTTTGTATGAAGTAGAAATGGGAAAGGAAAAGTCAGTCAGTGGAACCACTGAGCATCACGTACATCCACCAATCTATGAGTACTGACGTACAACGTCTAAGATCGTTTTACATGACTGCATTTAAACATAATAGACATAATTTCCAATATTTCTGAGATACCTGTCATGAGATGAGTGTGTGGGAAGATTTTGTTGGTTTCCGTTTGCTTGCGAAGTGCTCTAAGTTTGGGTAGTTCCACCGATACGAAACACCGAGATGATCATGCCTCGCTCCATAAAGTTGAAAGAAAGCTAAATATGGTAAGCCTGAAATTGTTCCGCGATCTGCCTTTAAACAATCCATTTTTAAATACTAATTAAAAACCAATTAATCTTCAAAAACCATAGATACTACAATTTTTAAAAGCCAAATCCGTTTATCTTTTAGCATATTAATCCTCCTTCTTTAGAAAATCGAGCACCGTTTATGACCAAAACATAGGTTGTAATCCTTTCAACTCAGCTGATTGGAACAAACAAAAACTCCACTTTAGCAAAAGTAAGAGATTAGGAGTCTACAGAAAGGAAGAGTGAAGGATTGACGTAATCCACCCTCATTATAGAATCACGTATGTCTATTTACCACATTTTAAATGTCAAATTACTTTTTAAAATCTTAATTGTCACACCGGAGTTCTGTACAACTAATTTAACAGGTTAAAAAACCTTGATCAATTTATTATACTGGTTATACTGTTACTGTGACTGTACAAGTTTGTTAGTATCTTGCGTTACTGATTTGATTTTTCAAAGTCGTCAGTTTTCCTTTTTTAACACATCTTAAAAGCTTTCATCAATTGTCAAAATGCACGAAACTCATAGTTAGTCACGCTAACTCTGCGCAAGGAAACCCTTTGTGCTTTGTTTCGACTATAGTTTGCGTGTAAACTCGGTGGAATGTTTTTGAAAGGCATTAAAAGCGTGCGGCTTCGAGCATTTCAGTCAAGGTTGTAAAACGTTTATGAAATCCCTCATAGACACGTAAGTTTTAATACTTATACGGTTCTGTTATTTATAGCAATTCGTTGTTAAGGACGTTAGTAACAATTTATCTAGTTGTAAACTATTGTATTTTAATTTGCCATTTATCATTAGTGATTTCTCACGAGTTCACTGGGGACCTTTCAGCTGTATTTAGAAGGCTGAATAGTTTTTACAAACGTTGTGTTACTGTGTAAACCATTTCTTATCATGTTTAATGTTTAGAAAACTAAAAATTATTTCATGTTAGCAAAACGTAAATGTCCAAATAACTCTTTAGTTGCTAAATTGAATTTAGTATCAAATACCGAAATTTAAGAGATAACTCCCATCCAAGTCTAACTACTTGCCGCGGTTGTTAACGTGTAAGTTTTGTTTACATTCTGCTCCTCGGTTTATCATAACATTGACTTCTTCTGTAATACACTCTCTACAGGCAAAAATAGCGCGAGTTATATTTATTTGTTTATTTATTTATTTATTTATTCAAAATTCACCTTTCCTTTGAATGCTGAAAACATCACTGACACTGGCACTAAATAGTGTGAAAGGGAGATTGAAAAGAGGATAGGTATCCTTTCACTCGTCCATCCCAAGCCACTTGAACGTGTACCGTAAACGTGACCGAACTACAAGTCCCTTAGAATGCCTTAATTTTCACCTTCAGCAAACGCACTGCAGATTTTAAGCTTTATCCTTGGCCCCTTTGAAGTGACTCATGACCAAAATAACAAACAATCGTAACTTTACTCTGTGTAGTGACAAAAACTTGCTCTACCGGAAATTGTTTTATACGGCAATCGGTTGAAAGGACAAAACCGCCGAATAATGAGCCGGACATCGAATTTACGTCATTAATGACTGTCATCCTTAGGCCCGTATCAAACGTCGTGCTACTGCCGTGCCGAACTAAATTGATCGTATTGTCGTATTAAAGTCGACTTTAGCAGGACAGTAGCGCTACACGGCCACAGTAGCTTGACTTGGTTTCAAACGTCGCGCTACTACCATGCCGAACTCAATTCATAAATTATAAAAACATTTCAATACATTTAAAAGTTTGCTAAACTGTTTCTTTATTTTTGTGGTCTGTTTTCGGCAACAGTCGTTCTGTTCGACTGAATTTAATTCGACGTCTGTACCGTTTAATTTTCGTTTCTCCAAATTCGCCGTTAAGGAGCCTATACTATATTTTCAGTTTAAAACAAGACAGATCAAACCGTAAAAGATTTTTCTCTTATTATTTTAAAGTGTTTTGGTCGTTTTCACGCGACATGAAACAGTTCCTTGGCAGGCATGCACCTTCGCATATAAAACTGGGCCAACGTACAGGCTGCGTGCCAGCCTGTTACACATATTGAGACAGAATGTCATAGCAGACACTTGTCTTGCCTGAATAGGCAAAGATGACGCTCCGGAAGGGCAATGAAAACCAAGCTAATTTTGGTTTGGAGATTTAGTGAACTCCTTCCTTAAGTCACGCAGAGAATGACAAGTTGGTTTAAGGTCGTGAAAGAAAATATCCAGGAAAAGGTGTTTACTGGCGGTGCCATGGGAGGATTCCCAACAACGATCAAGTTTTTTTCTTAAGGAAAAACATTGTCAAGTTTTACAGTTTACTAGTTCACTCCTTGTCTTGAAAACTTCCTTGTATAGATCCATGCACGCTAAAATTATATTACTGTGAGCCATCAACCGGAGCTGCGATAATACTGTAATTCGCGTTTAACCTTCTCCCACAGAGTGTTCAAGCAAGCGTGTCATCTGTGAAGAACAAGGAAATATCGTTCAAAGCAGGGAAACTTCTAAGCGGAGAAACTCAGAATCTGTAGTTATGGTTGAGAAAGGTAAGCTGGACAAACTGAGAAAATATTAACTTATAAATATTACAAATGCGAAAATATTAGTTGCCGTTAGTGAACCTTACTGATACAGAACGTTGTAATTACTTTAGGGGCTTGAAAGACTTCTCTTTCTGTAAAGAAAATAATAATAAAATAAAAATAATAAATAATGAATTTACAATTTTTTAAATTATTCAATATTTCTTTGCCTCCAAAAATAATTCGTGTTTTAATATATAACGCTCTGTATATAATTACAGTTGCGGTTTGATTTTGATTATCTCATATCCATCACTATTAAAGTGCTGGTGATAAAAGTAATTGATTTTCTATATATAGAATCTGCGGGCAGAAATTATTGACAATCTAACTGACAAATTTTCTAACTGAGAGCGTAATTGGAATTTTAGTTCTTTTTCTCACACCAACTGGTCCATAGCAGGATATTTTTTCATTCAAACTATGTTCAAAATAGGTAACAACTCGCTGCTTTGTAAAGCTAATCTGCTTTAAGTTTTCGTCCATTAGGAGACTTATCGATCAGTGTTGTCTATAGTACGAGTTATATTTATTTTAAAGAACACGAGGATATAGCGAAGGAAAATGTAATCTTTTATATTGATGTTTTCCTCGTTTCGATCAACAGTTTTTTAAAAACGAAAACTTAAGACGGAATCCATTAGGAAATAGAGTAATTTTCATAAAAACCTTACACCAGAATATTTTAAGCCATATCTTATGATCGCATTCTTTTTTACACTTTTCGAGGGCTATAAATGTAATAGCCTGGATGTATGAAAGAACTCCAAAGGAAACTAAGTTTCTTATGGGACCCGAGAAAACAAACTTCAGTGATCACGAGCTTCAACTCACAAATGAAATCTTAAGCATGAAGTTACCGAAGACCTTCGCTAACGGCCACTTCTCTAGCCTGAGAAAACAGCTGACATCTGGCGACGCGATCACTGGTTTCCCGGGCTGCCAAATAACGTCTGAGAAACGAGCTCAGAAATTCCATACTGATGACACGTCACTACCCAGATCTGGGTAGTGCTTCTGATTGGTTGCATCAAATTTCCTATACAGCATGACCAATCAGAAGAGTCCCAACGGCTCTTGCCAATCAGAAGCACTACCCAGATCTGGGTATTGACGCGTCATCAGTATGAAATTTCTGCGCTCATTTCTCAGACGTCATTTGGCGGGAAAACCAGTGGTAGGGTCGCCAAATGTCGGCTGTTTTCTCAGTCTACCGCCTCTCTACAAAGCTCTACAACGGCTACTTTTTTTCGTCCTGGCGGACAAAAAACTCTCTACATGGTCACTTTCTTCTGTCCCCAAGGTGGCCGTCACATTAATGGCACTTGAAAAGTGTAAAAAAGAATGCGATATGGCTTAACTTCTGATGGATTCCTTCTTCAAAATGTTTGCCACCAGATCACTTTATTAAATGAAAGATTGATATGACATAGGGGATAAGCTTGGGGGATAAACACAACCCAAATAACCACATTTCGACGTCCACTACACTTATTAGTACCGTCTTCACACCTTGTCCAGAAATAAACATTGTGATTGTAATTTTCCCTATTTTGAACATAGTAGAGTTTTTACGTTTTTCAAAACTCTGCTCTGAAATTAATATAATATATATACTGTCGTCGGACTCGACCAGGGCTGTTTTAGAACATTGTTTTTTTTTTGGTTGTTGTTTGGAATACAGCGGTATATGCAAACAAAACTTTACGTCTGAAAGGTAAGGTCCAGTGTACAACCTCCCTTTCCCTCAAACAAAATCGGGGATTGAGGGGAGGGGAGGCTGTACACTGAGGCTATTGCAAAGGGGCATTGAAGAAATTCACTAGTCCACCTCAATGTCTGAACTAGCCGAGCCACTACTAGTAGTGTGAAGGCAATGGGCCAGTTATTTAAACGGAGTTTAGCCACTGTTCAACAAAATTGCGTTCTAAGCCGTTTACAGTTTGCTGAACGCTTTTACTGAAACACCATTTATCGTGAACAGTTTCATCAGTAACCCGGTAAGGAAGGGATCTGGAGGTCCTAAGTTAGACCTCGTTCAAATAACCGGCCTATTGGATTTGATTTTATGGATTTATTTATTCATTCATTAATTGCATGGTTATTTTACTTATTTATTTATTTTTGTTGTGAGCAATTTACGGAAAATTGACGAAGGTTGAGCTGGTGAATTATACTGTTTCTGAATCGAAGGCACAGCAAGGGGCGTTTAACGATACTGATACAGGCAGTTATTCATAATTGACGGGGTACCAAATCCAGCGTCGAGGTATTTCAGGATGTTTTGATTAAGGGAAATATCACTCTTCAATAATTTCATAAAATATCGTTAATGAATTTCTCTAATTTGAAGTATTTATAATAATTATAATGCATTCAATTCCAGGTCAACCTCCTAACGGATACATACATTGGACGGTAGCTGTAATTCCCCTGAGCAGCGTAATCGCCGCCCTATTGTGCGTCATTGCTTTCCTTCTTTGGCGCCTGAAATACAAAACGAGGAAACAAATTGAGACCCAAATAACTGTAAGTCCAATGCATTACGATGTGCAAACCAGATCCATCCTGAAAGAAGTTAGGTCAAACGTGAAGAACGGCCAAGTTTCCAATACTGCTACGCGGGTGCACTTTCAGGAACCTAACAAAGACACAGCCACAGGGAAGTCTGTAGACATGGCAGATGGTACATCTTTGCTCCCAAACCTAGGAGATCGTTCAATTCCGAGGCGACTAGCAGTGAAAAGAAAAAGTAACTACAACGAGCTCGAGGAAAAATATCAGCTGGATAAGGGCGATGGAGAGGTGACAAATAAAGTCGACTATGCGATTATGAGACGCTTAGCAATCAGAAGAAAGAATAGTGACGAGCTTGATAGCAAATATCCCTTGAATAAGAGCGAGCATGAGGCTGAGAAGGAAGAGAAAGAGAATGTAAACTCGTATGAGAACAAAGGTTATCGACATGATGCGGGTGATACGTTACCGAAATCTCCTCAGGGATCAGACTACAAAGAACTTCATGAAGTTGTTTGAAGCCCAGGTTTGAAGCGAGAGCGATTGACATTAAAGTCTTTGACTAGGCAGACATGTTGTGGCAATCAACTTAAAGTTTGTTACAAGAAGTTTATTGTCGAAAAAATCTCGAAGTTTCATGGGTGTGCCCCGGTCATCCGATCACTGAAAGGGGAACGGAACTCTCTTCCCTAATCTACATTTTTCTCACGCCAAGAATTCGTTCTTTCCAGGATCCTTCCTGAAATGTCATTTCTTAAAGCAGAATGATAAAGTCTAAAGTTTTTAGCTTTACAGGGTTCTTCGGTTAAATTGCTCATTTACATGATCCCAAGTGTTAGAGCCACTGGTTATTATCCAGCTTATAGCTCACATCTTAAGAGCGAAATCGTCTTCCAAAAGTGATACTAGATGAAAATATACCTTCCACCGAAAAGATTTTCATTCTTTTTATTCCTCTGAAACTATTTCAGCGGCCTAGCTAGTGTAAACAAAATGTAGGAAGGGAAAGTTTAACGTTAAATATTGCCGCCGACCTCCTTGAATCGAATATGGGAATTTTAACGAGTGCCTGAGACTTGCTCACAGGCCGATTGAAGAAAAAAAGTTGCTATTTTTTAAAAAAACAACTAAGTACATTAACTTTATATAGTTCTCATTGTTTTTTGGACTTGGCAACGAGCAAATTTTCAAGTGTTTGAGATGGGACGTGAAACTCAGTTTTCCCAAAACGACCGAAACAACACGTTGCATACAGTTGTTTTCGTGGGCGGTATCCAAAGCTACAATGTTGCTTAAGAAAGAATTACCTTCTTGATTGTTTTTGTCTCAAGTCAAAACAGGATGAAGTGTTATTGTATAAATATGATTATTTGATTTACGATCAGATTTATATCTGAGATTTGATTTCTTTCTGAAATGTTTATGACATAGATGATATCAATTATCTTTAAACAGTGTCAGTTATATCTAGCACACAATTCACAGGGTTTTACCGAATAAGTTAAAAAATGAACATGAACGTTTTTCGTGTTAGTGTAGCTTGAAATTCTTCAGCTGATTGTTCTGTAATTCTTTTTTCTCATCAGCTGTAAATGCTCTACATATTATTTCATTCTAAACCTTAAATCACATTAGCCCAGATATGCTTAGCGACTATAGACTGAAACATGCTTTAGTCTTTAGTGGTAGCTTCGTTGTGATCGGATATATCGAAAAAAGACACCTGAACATTGTATTCACGTAGGATCATTTCTTAACCCGGCGCTAGCAGTCCCTCATTCGCGCGAGAAGCGTGTTACATGCGAGCGAGCGATACAAACGCGCGTTGTCTTCCTCGCGAGTTTATCTTTCTTCCTCGCATGCAACTCTTTGCTCGCCCGCGTTGAACATGAGGATGGCTACAGGCCACCATACCAGTAGTCTAGAAGATTTCGTTAAAGTCAACCATGCTTTAATTCATTTTAACCTTGACTTCACTGACACGAACCATTTAACGTACGTAGAAATATATTAAATAGAATTGTAAGAAACAACACAAAATATCGAAATAACAATAAAATATCATGTGGAAAAAGAATGCAACCACGAAGCCCTGACCAATGTGGAATATATCTACACTCCTACCAAATCCTGAAGTCTGCCTCTAAATAACCCGTATGTCTCTCTAGCACGTACCTTCAGAATATTACAAGTTCGTTCCTATGACACTCAGTCATAATAATTACTTGGCCTTGCCTGTTCCTGACAAGGCATCTGTAACAGCAAGAAGCGAATTGCTGCCGGTCCGGAACATTTTCCTAAATACCCACCCTCCCCTCCCCCAACAAAACCCATGGAAGGTAAACAACACCACTGGGGTCTACGTGGGTTTTTTTGGATCGATTTAGATTTCCTGGGAAACTGACCACCTACCCCTCCCCTAAGCCAACATTTTGCCCCAAGTAAGAAGTAAGTGATAATGTTGGCTTAGGGGAGGGGTAGGTGGGTAGTTTTCCAAAAAACCTAAATTGATCCCTTTTTTTCTTTGCGGCTGAACAGCCAATTATGGTTCTTTTGACCTTCTCACTTAGCTGTTTTACATCTTCATCGAGATGCTGTGGAAGGTAAAGAGAACAAGACCAACGGCCAAGTTAACTTCACTCCTAAGTGAAGCGATTATCTGAACTGTCAGTTCAAGGATCGATATACTGGCCAAAAAAATTTGATATAAATCCTGGAGGGGCTTATATTTCCAACTCCTTTCTGAGGAGCTTCTTTACGGAGGGACTTATTTTTATAGGCTGAAATATGAGTTTCTACAATCTTATGGGTTTAAAACTGGAGGAAAAATTGTTTAAGCATTTTTTAAGGTGATATTCCTTGAAGCGCAAAAATAACACACATATCTTCCATCGTTATATTTATAATTCGTACAATCCTCAGTAACTCTTTATGTAATTCGCGATTTTTGATTGCTTATATTACTTCTTGTCAGTCTCCTTCAGGCGATGAGGTTTAGTGGTCTTTGGGGATTAACGTTGAGCCGGCTTTTTCAGTGGCAGGTCAACAGTTCAAATATTTCAGCCATGTGTAGGGGGCTGTCGTAGTTATAGAGAAAGGACTAAGTAAATATACACTTTATTATTTTGAACAACTCAAAATGGAAAAACATGGGAAAAGACATAGAGGGCCCGAAGGAAGGCTCTTTGGAATCCGGGATTTGCTTTATTTGAAGGCCGGGATTCGGGATTTTTGTACAGCAAAATCGCAAGACGCCGTTCTCATGATTGAGGATTGAAAGTATGAACAGGATGCGGGGTGCCGAAAATCATCGGGATTACAGCATTGAGCAAAACTTTGAAAAATAACCCTCATCGGGAACTTTACATTTCGTCTTAGGCCCGGTTCAGACGCCGAACTTTTCATGAGCAAAATACATTGAATTAAGTACATGAAAAGTTCGGCGTCTGAATCAATTAGTTTGGATGGTGGGATTCAGACGCCGAACCCTAATACATAAATTATTATAACGTATTTTTGATTTAACTGAAAATAATTTTTCTCCTTTTGAATTTAGTTCCTTTAAGATCGGCGTCTTTTTAGCTTTAATTTGGGTCGGGAATTAGTTCCATTTCGTCTGAACCGGGCCTTAGAGCACTGCGAGGCCTGTATATCGCGCAAATGCGGCAGCCCTGTCACGGCTCAAAAAATTATCTGTACGTGAAGCGAATATTTTACAGTTTTACGTTGGTTCCACGGGTGACAAGGGGTTTCCTATATGTACAGCATCTTTACACTTGTTCATTTCTTAACTTCAAATATTCACCGGAAGATAATATGTTCTTGTTATCCAAGAAGAGCTTGTGAAAAAAAACACGGATGCCTTGTAGTAAAAAATGACTTGCGGAAATTCTCGGAGCTGTCTGAAAACTTTAACAAAATTAGCTGACTTTCCCAAGTCGTCCAGGCCTGTTACCTTAAAAGCAAACTGAACAGAGCCTATTGTAAAAATGATGAAAATTTGCACGAACAGCACAATTAGGGTCAATTTGCAAATTAAAAGCGCTAAGTTATTGTAAATGTTCTTTACAGGATTAACTGGAGTAAAGTTTAAAACGCTCATGATTGCAATCAACGACATTCCGTGCAGACAAAAGCTTACCACTAAGGAAATCTGCATTTTAGTTAAATCGCTGAAGTATATGATGATCGCAAATCCGATAGTTTCCATCATCTGCAGTATCGTAATAGACCAAAAAGTTGGAAGACGAATAGCTTTTCCGAATATCACAGAGTAGCCGAGAAATCCGGGAACCTTCCTTAGAAAAAATGCGAAAGTCACCATACAGACTACCTGAGATAACAGCCACGCCAGCTCTAATTCTTGTGAGTGAGGAAACGTAACGAAGTTTGAACACCTGAAGGAAGTGTGGCGTTCTTTTATGCAACAGAAATACGCACGTACAAAGTAGAGGACTGAGCCAGCGATCAACCATAACAGCAACATTAGGTACAAAATGTATCCAGTGTAAACCATATTGATTCTGCAACGACCATTTCGCTTTGCGTTCGATTGTATGGGAAGAAGGGATGAATTTTCACTCCGGCACGGTGACTGGTCTTCGGAATTTGCCAGTGACTTCAAAGATGACATCCTCAGAAATCATCTGTAAAAGAGCAACAACAAAAACAACAGCTTTTGTAACTTCTCTCAAAAAGCCCTTTGGTCAACAAAGTGGCTCAAACAACTCCGCTTTAATTCATGGTCTATGGCTACATCGGTGTATTTGTATGTTCTAACCATTAAAATTTCCCTTTAAGTCAACTGTATCGTTGTCAAATGAAGATGCGAACGAGGATATAAGACGATTGAAGAATAAAATGCAAAGCGGGTCCCTGTTTCTTCTTCGGAGATTACCGGACAGTAAACTGAGAAAACAATGAAACCGAAATAGGCCCTTGTTTTAATATACTGGCATTAAATTTGTTACCACCACGAACAAGAACTTCACTCCCTTGAATGGAGACGTTTTTTGCAGGACAAAGGCAGTACCTCTATTTCTTAGTTACTTAAAAACCCTGAGTATTGGTCCGACCAGCGGAGATCGAAGGCACAACATTGCGCTACCGCATTATGCTGTTAGTGATTTATCAAGTAAACTTTACTAGGATGCCCAGAGATTCCAGAGTTCTTACATTCTTATCGCAGAAAATTACGGGGTTAAATTGTGTTCAAACTAAATATCCACTGGCGATATTTTTATTTCGTTTTTTGTTCCGCAGACTCAGTATAAGCCCCTAGTATAGAATCCCGCCCAAAAGTAATGTCTCCGGAAAGTGGCAAATTCTAAACGCTACCAATTTCGAATTGATGGGATGGAGTAGCTACTTCCGCTAATGAATCGCTGATCCATTTCTTTCTTTGGGCCTCATGGCTATGAAGCTAAATTTTAAAATATCGAAATGTTTCTTCTGTGAGTTTACGTCGTGAAAGAAATGGTAAACAAATTAATGTGTATTGTTCGAACTGAATATTAGCGGGGATACTGTAGGGTAAAACTGCGATGACGAAACATTTTAATGCCGCAACTTAAGTCATCTTAAGCTGTCGCAGCCATCAACGAGAGAAGCTGACCCACCCGTACCAGCTGAACTGTACCTAGCGCAGATTAAGGGTACTTATAATGCGTGTGATAGTATCAGCCATAGTGCCGTCTGGCATATTTAAGCGATCCCTGAATAATCTTACTCTTTGTTAGCTAAATGATTCTATTGACGTTTGTCCATGGTCACTGATATAGTACATTATGACCGTGAAAGTTACCTGTAGTTAAGTTCAGAATAGAGGTTGTTGTGACGCAGAATTATCTTGGCAATGGGTTCTTTTTTGGCAGATAACTCCCAAATAAACTTGATGATTGAATGGTAAATGTAAATTCTACTCAGCTTATATTATCACGAGAACACGATGGAAAATGAAACTTTAGAGGTTCGAATTTCGTATTCAGTTTGTAACTAGTTTTCGCCTTTAAAGGAAGTTTCTCGAACAGTAACACTTTGGAGTTAAAAGTTTTCTTAACTGAATTTAACTTATATATGATCGACCACATATAAATGGTGAACATAGGAATTCAGTTTGTTGTAGTACGTGAGGCGTGGCATAGACAAGATGCAGCTTCAACAGATTCGAAACCTTTCACTTTAATCGAAGTTATCACCGTCAGTAATACATGAGAGTCCATTTAACCTAATCAGTCTGTAATTGTATACACTTCTTGACATTTTCTGTCTTTGTGTCTGTAAACCTGGAAAGACGATATTTTTCAGTTTTCAAACTAGTGGAGAACTTATTCGACTTAAAGACCGTTTACGCGTAGCGTAAAATTTCACTTCCGGTGGGGTACGACTTCCGCTCACGCGTAGACGGAACTGTGAACTCGTAAGTCCAATTTATTGCATTTAAAAAACGACACGGTCTTTTTTTGTGTCCTCAACAAAGAATATCCTTTTCTTGATCAAACGGTGTGGGAGACTCGGTCTCAAGCGCCGCTCAAATATAGAGGAATATCAAGACGCGCAATGTGTCATGGGAAGGATGCAAAACGAGACGCCAACTGGGGCGCTTTCCATTTGTCAGAACTGATCGGCCAGGACATTTCCGTCGTAATGAAAATTTTACTTTTAATCAAAGCTATCCTGCCAGATCAGTCAAATCCTAAATAGTATGAACGAAGGAAATCGTTTTTCATCAACTCTTGGAAAAAGCCTTTTTTATTTTCAAAATGACCGGTCCAGCCGGCCATTTCTGACTTTTGGACAGCGCCCTAAGACTCGACCCTCACCAATCATGTGACCAATGCGATTTTTCTTGAAACACATACAGTTTGGCCTTGCGTCCAAAGTGAAAACGATGGTCTATTGCTTTATATGAAGGCCGGAAAAAACGGAGATTTTCGAAAGCACTAATCGTATACAAATTCGAAGTTAGCTCGGGAACTAAAACGCACCCTCAGATGTGCGTTTTCGATGAATAAGCATGGACCGTGGAGAACGATTCAAAACTCAGTGGCGGACGTGGATATTTTGGCGCATTTTTCGGTTACATGAAAAAGGTGGACTTCGAAATCCTTCCCCAATGACAAAATTAGATCTCCCAGACTCTATTCCTAAACATCAGTATTCATGCAGTACTCTCTTCTTCCGTTCTTTTGCAATTTTACAAGAACTATTATGGCTCTTGGTCACCATTGATACTTTCTTGCGGACGCTGGGACTAAACTCGAGGCAGCCTAATCGTGCAAGAACTAGTGGGATTCGATCATTTATGAAATTTTTGCTTTTCTTCACGGTACTGCTTAAGTTTGGGGTCATTCTACACAAATTACAAAAAAAGGCAGCAAGGCTGGTGATACTACGTAGAAAATTTAACTTTACTATACATCAACATGAACGAAACTTCAACAGAGGAGGACTCAAGCTGTAGACAACTTTCTCCTAAATTCGTAGCGCAGTGCATGGAAACCAGTTACTGCTACCACCGTTCACGGGTTGGATTCTGGTAGTAAAACGAGGTGTTCGTATTAACGGAGTCTTCAAAATAAGAAATTGACTCACTGTTTTTGCGTTTGGTTCACCGGGAGTAAGAAATATAGTCGTAATAACAAAGTGGTGGTCCGGTAGAAACGGAGTGGTTCGTAAGGCGGGGTTCCACTGTATGAACCTTGCTGCTTAGTTTGTCAAAAGTTTGAATGTTCGGCACGTGCACATTACACCCTTTTAAGAGTAAATATATATCATAAGTAGATTGCAACTGTTTTCGTATGCGGCCCTTTTTTTAATCTCTAAAAAAACCTTCAAGCCCCAAATCTCTTTGTTTCTGTTCTAGTTTGACAGGTTTGTGACAGTTTCATTGAATTTTACCAGTGAAATAATTGTATCACCGATTCGATGTCTTTAAAAATTTATCGTAAAAGCTTCTTCAAAATTACTCCAACGTCGTTATTGACCGCCTGTATTTCAGTTATATTTTTAAAAAAATCGGATTGCAACAAAGATGGATTCCACAGGGAGCTGTGTTTTCTCCGTTATAACTTTTAGTGGTAAGAAAGTTCTGTTTGGGAAGTTTAAATCAAGGGCCAGAGTACTGTTTTTTTTTTTTTCTCTGTCTTTTGTTTGTCGATTGTACCGCTTTACCGCTTCTCCTTCAACCAATATTTCCATACAATACAATAAATAAGTAAACATTTTCATAATTATATTGAGTTTGTTACATAAATATTGTTTGTTTTAAAGGGTCAATAGATTTTTGACCCAATTACACCCTTCTATGGCAGAGAACTGTAAGCACTTATTCAAAATTAATTGATCAGGAACTTGTCGAGGTCCACATTTCTCAGTTCACTCAGTTTTAACTATAAAACTACATTAAACTCCTTACGTTTAACGGGTAACTAGTTCTAAGTAAAAGTTGTTAACCCTGAACATGAGACAGAAAGAAACCAAGAGAGATAATTCTCTCTTGAGAAAACTAGTTCACATAACCATTGGGAGTAAAACTGATTTTTGTTAAGTTACATTTCGGATCAGGGTTACTGATTATATGACGACAAACGGGGAATAAAACAAATACAATAAAGGATATATTTTAATTGCTCAATATTTTTTATATAAAGTATTTTGCAGTAAAAAGGTTCGAAAATTTGTCCGCAAAATACAGTAGTCAGACAGACTGTAGTCATTGTTCACCGTTCTCTTCCATGTCATTGCTCCGCGAAGAAGGTCGTGGTGACAGGTACTAAAATGTAAATTATATTGTACGGAGGCCATTTGAGGTGGCACAGAGTCTGAGTAGATGTTATGCCAAATTGAGCGCACACTATATACAGTCCTACCTCTGCCTCTAAAGGCCGCCACCTCTCTACAACGGCCAGTTTCTTCTATCCTTAAGTTAGCCGTAGAGGAGAGGCTCAACTGTATATGGGATGGTTTCAGCTGCTAAAATCTAGAGGGAAATGAGTTGGGAGGAGGGAGAGTAAAACTGTATCATTTACACACGTTTAATAGAACAATTTGAAGTAAAGTAAACTAGACAGCTAGACTTAGCTGTCGACAAGTTTGAATGCTTATGTGTAATAACTTTAATAGGTATTCAGTGTTTTTTTAATCTGTCACTCAGATGCTGAGGAGTACACCCAGCTTTATGAATTTATTGGAAAAACAGACAAAGATTATATTTAGGCACAGTATATATTTAAAGATTAATACTGATTTGTATTTCGATTGCTCCGCTTTTGCTTTTCAGCTATTGTGATCATCTTGAAAATGGACGTTGTTTACGCCAGTAAGTCCAAAATCTAATAATTTGTTTGGTGCAGGCACATTGTACACTCCCATTAGTCTATTGACATACCCTAAGCTAGTTTTTAAACCTCATACAACCTGAGAGGAAAGTTGTACAACCTGAGAAAAGCAAGGCGCGCGAGAAAGTTGTTAAAAACAATTAATTTTTTGAAATATTTACTTTTGTGAAAGGTTTGAACCCAGAAGTCATTTTAAAAGTAGGTTGAGTTTGATCGTGCGGGTGAACGTAGTCCTGAATAGGACTGTTGTTGTTCACAGAGACTGACGTTTCGACAACCTGTACGGTAGTCATCT